CAATATACTCGAGCTACCCGTGTTCAAATCCCAATGGTACTAAAATTGTATTTCGAACATACGTAAAGTCCGACCCGCGGTGAGGCCGCGTGGTAAACTATGCCTTAATACCCCACTAAAGTACCCACTAGTGGACATTTAGAGGCTGTGACTTTATGACTTTTTCTCAATTAAAAAAATAACGTCTAATGTTCTATTCAAAAATGGCGGCACCTCCCAACATTTGTATTCGAATTTTTCCTTTGTTACGAACTATTTTTTTTGCTTGCGATAAAGACGCTTAAATCCACCGAATTGGAAAATATGCAGATGAAACCAGTCGCCGACAGCGCGTTAGCTTTGTCTAGAAGCGCTCGCGGAAGAGTCAATTACACAGCGCCCTTGACTAGACATCATAAATCGCTTCCCGCGGTACTACGTCACGTGAAATTACGCTATTTCCTCAATGCCAACGTCAATGTTCAACCCCATCTAGTTATAAAGAGTAGGCAGAGCTTCAATGTTCTCTCATTTCTTACACATTCAAGGAAACAACGTCATTATACCCGCAATATTTATCATAGAAATTGCTTTCGTCAATTAGTTTGCGCGTTGCGCGAACGTGAAGACTTTCCTGTCAATATATGATATTTTTTTTGACTTTAGATATTATAATAAGTATTTTTTTCTTATATCTCTCTTCTAGTATCATATTGCATTTTATAATTATCATTAATGTTCCAAGACCTACCGATAATGCAACGAAAAAACATAATCAAAACGGGCACTAATGCACACGCGTAGAATAAACATTTTTAACATTCATTCAAACGATCATTTGTTTTAAAAGCAAGACCGCCATGTTTCTAAACACAAGACATGAAGATTGTGGGAACCTGTGCAGAGTGTTCCGTGGGGCGTGGAACGTTTTGCGTTATGTTTATGCTACGAACACGTACAAACGGTTCGTCTGACACGAAGCTTCGTTATCTTGCAAGAACGAAATAAACAATGTTTTATATTTACGTCGAACATTGATAACGTTTGGTAAGTAAACCTACTCTCGGGCACTAGTAAATGTATGGTTATACGGTAATAATAATAAAAAATATTTTACTTTAAACCAGTGTTTCCTAACGTCGGGCCCATTTGATTGTTGAGGGGGGCAATTTGAGAATGGACTCGCCACGAGTTTAACCCTTTCACTCCGGGCCATTTAAACGCATTGCTAGATTTTGGTGCCAAATTTAACGAAAAAATTTCTTAAATAATTATAAGGTATAATTTCGCTTAATGAGACCAAAATATCAACTGGGTATTTGGCGTCGTCAATACTTTAATTTTTGAAAGCTTTCTTGAATATTTACATTTCCAAATTAAATTTTAATGAAAAAGTAAATCTGGGAAAACACATAGAAGCACACACATACATTTAAATCGCACAATTGCAAAATGACGATTAGTGAAAACTTAAAGGTTGATGACTTAAAAGGTGCGACGGCATGGCTTTGTGAGGAAACACAAATCAAATAACCAAATTCAACCAAATGTTCAAGAAAACTATTGCTACCGTTTCCATATTCATTTTAAGCTGAATCTGGATTTAGTGCTGTAAATGAATAACTGGTAAAAAAAGAAATCGGCTGGATATAACACAATTTGGAGACTTCAAACTGAAGCTGACCAAATTGGAACCTAACATAAAACCTCTGTACAGCAAGCATCACGCAAAAGGATCTCACTAAATTAAAATAATAAACTAATATAGAAAAAACTTTATTAAAATTATTTGGAATTTGAATTTCAGTTTATATGTTTGGAAAAATTAGGTACTTACTGTGTGTTTCGTTAACAATTTTGTGATTTCTTCCTAAGACCTATCATTTAAGTTTCATAAATGAACAATTAAAATTTTTAATATTAAAAATATTACATGTGTATAAGAATTTTAGAAAGGCTAACAAAGGCCACCGAAACAAAGCAGAAATTGGTAAGTCTCTTTTAGCGCACCCTGTGTCAAATCTTTGTGCGCGCCACTGCCCTAAATAATACTATGAAAAGCTTAACATTACTCAGAATGCTACCCGTGCAAAGTCGGTGAACTAGCGCGAAGAATATTTCAAGCATCTTCGAAATAGCTCCGTTGTTTACGTAATAAAGTCGAACCGTTATTGACGATGAGTAATTATGACGTAACTCGAGCACAGTCGCCTGCTGACAGACTGTCGGCCGTCGTAAATGGGTTTATTGCGTGGCGTTTAACGGCACGCCTGATCGGACACACATTGACGACGGGTGGGTCCCACATAAGTTATTAAATGCCTACTATTACGCGAGGCCTGGCACCGACTCGTCGTCAAAAGTCTGAGGTGTTCGGGTTCTGTCTACCGATTTAATGACGGACTAAACAGCAGTGTTCCGAAGAAATTAGTGATATTAGTAATTACTTAGGAAAAACATAATCTTAGAAGAATAAACAATTACTATGTTCATTTTTGTAACATTGTTTTTTCTGGAGATGAGACTTTTGTTTTGCATACGTGCTTTTCTCCACGAGGGTACTGGAAATATAGATGAGAAATCATTAAATTTGCTCTTCGAAGATCATCTCTTATCCAATACACGCTTTAACTAATCACACAGCCGTAAAGGTCATCGCTTTATCTTAGGACTGTGTGATCGGCTAATTGTGGAGTGTGATGAAGATAACGCCGTTAAAGCATTATTTCACCCGTTAACGATGTCGGTGACAACTTTTACGGCAAAATCATCGAATTCAACAGCACACCTCGCTTTCCGTATCTTTTTTTTTATGTGAAAAAGTGGCAAGGCACACTCCACTGAGCCTACCTTCGGTCTGATGACAGGAGCCTGCTGGTTTTGAAGGTCGTCAATTCATCTGTCGCTTAGGTTTCATTAGAAGTTCATGGGCGGGGAAAATCTGCGACCGAATAAACCATCACAAACTAGCAGTGCATAAGGTATTAAATTGAAAATATGCTCACACATCTTAACCTATAATGGGTAGAAGGAATATCGAACATTACATTAACATAGTTATAGTAAACATTAGTTATACTAAACATTATTTTTGATGGACACAGTGATGACTTAACATCAGGCAAACCGCCAACTCGCTTGGCAACTTTTCACGTAAAATAATGAGAAAGTAATACATTCTGAGGTAATTGTTTGAGGCTGTGATCCAATATTGAGAATAGTTCACAAAACTGGGCCTTTTTTTGGTATCGGTGGGTAAATCTTCGAAAGATGTCACCTTACATGACAGGGTCATGTGGGGTTCGTACCCAACAAAACCCCCTCGGTGGCCACTCTCTGTACGTTTGGAGGGTCTAAGGGATCTCCTACGGAACGCACCGGTGTCTCTCAATACTGCGCGTGAGCACGCTAAAGGCTAAAGCTTCCCCGGTTCCCAAATGTCATGATTTCTATTATGTCGTCTATTTTAGGTCGTCTTTAATTTTAAGATACTCTTTAATAGTATGTCAATTGACTAAACCCGATATTTTTTATATTAAAAAAATATCGAAGATGGGGGCGCTAGTGTGGTTGATGTTTTTTGTTTTGGCGGGAGATTTTGACAGAGATACGAAAGCTTAAAAGACGAAAGCTGATTATTATTTTGTGATAAATTATTAATAATGGTTTATTGTATAATTTGTAAAGATAACAGTTTGGTGTGTTATAAATACAAGTGTTTAGAAGTAAAAACCAAGTTTCATTGGAATTACAATACCCCTCTTGATATACCACGAACACAGGATTTTGGATGCAAAAAGCGTAGAGAAGTATATAATTGTTACACACACCAGGGGATACAGGCAGGGGATACCTTAGTCCTATTATATGAGCCCGAGACTAGGGCCTCACAAAACTAGACCTATTTTGGCCTTACGCCCAAACTTTATATGTACTTAGATATTAAAAATCTATCCGTTCATTTGTCGACCTAGTTAGCGAACCAGTAGTAGTAGTCACTTGATAACTAATCGCCTCTCACGGCACGAGTAGTGTTCATAAAAACACTTGTGTAGTGAGAAAATTGTGTCGAATTCAGGGCGAATACTTTATTACTAATCCCCATCAATCATATTACTGCTCTATCTATGTTTTTTCCTATCATGTACTGATTAAATTATCTTTTTACATAAACTCTTAGTTACTGCTCGTTTTATTTTCATTTGCTCATTTCCTGTCGTTCAATTTGAAAATGAGACAAGTTTTACTAGTCTTACTTTGGTTACGTTAATATTAACCTAACTCCTAACTAAGATACATACCAATACCGAACATGCACTTTATTTTAAACGATTTTTTGGTTGGCAAATTATTTCTTTTTAACATTATATTATATTGAACTCTAGATCTAAGCGTGCGTTAAATCCATTTCTTGGAACTTATTTTTTGAATTCCTAGACAGTCCCTAATTAAGAGAACCTTCTAAAGATTCGTAGTTATTTAATAAATACTCTAAAACGTAATATTTATGCAAACTAACGTTAAGCCAATAAAGAATTGTTGTGAATTTACCACCTTTTACAATTAATAAGTAATTATTTATACAATTTGTAATTATAAAAGTACTATATCATTAGTTACCCTTACCTAGATGTCTATGAATCAATATTTATACAGCATCCTGATGATATTTTTTATCATCGCGAGCGAACTTGTATACACACGAGTCATTGTTGCGCCATATAAAGAGAAATGGCGCGGGATGATTCACATTTAATATTACACTACCGATTTCTTTTTAAGCGACTACTAACAAATTTGCGAGTGGCGTATACGCTGTTGGCTTATGCATCGAAGGTCATGGGTTCGATTCCCATACGGGGCAAGTGTTTGTGTGACCTACAGACACCTAATCGTTCCGGATCTGGGTGTTTATCACTAAATAAAGTTGAAAGTAAAACATACCGCCTTATAACATAACAGCCTTTCCAAAATAAAAAAACAAAACAAACATTTGGTCAAAATTTTATTGGACAATATTATAAGAAGAAACGCCTCCGGGAGGTCTCCATCAGATGGCGGCGGCCGGCGATTATCCACTCGTAGTCGCCTCGCTTGGAGTCGAAGGTGCCCTGCTGCAGCGAGACCAGCTTCAGGGTGAACCTGGGGCCCAGCTCTCGGAGCTTCGCGCGTTTCCCGTCCGCAGTGAACTCGTACCTGTTCATTGGAAGTTTTATTCATTTGTTTACTAGCTGCTGCCCGCGACTACGTCTGCGTGGAGTGGGCTGAAGGGGTAACATTCGGCCCGAAAGACAGATATACATGAAATATGTAAGTATATAAACTATAGTCTGTGTGTTATTCTGATGTGTAAGCTATATTATTGAAAAGTTTCATTAATATCCATTCAGTAGTATTTGCGAGGAAGAGTAAAAAAACATCCATCCATACATACGAACTTTCGCATTTATAATATTAGTAAGCACTTGCTGGCCCGCGCAACGTCCTTACGTTTCGACTTTTAAGATAGCGCTGTCTATTTACTCAATCCCTTACTCAATCCAGCCGATAAAACCTTACACCGCCATCTGTTAAAATGTTATGGAACTCACAGATAACGTATAACTCTTTGTCACCTAGTAAACAAATAATTTGCAATAAAATTATATATATGTGTATCTTTGTGTTTATTTCTAATGTATTTCTAATGTAATGCTAAGTGCACATGGTGTACAAATTTGAAAAAAACCGGTTAAGTAGTTTAGGAGTCCATCGCGGACAAACAACGTGACACGTAATTTATATATATTAAGATTTATTATATACATATTAAAAACCACATACCAACAGTATACATGTTAAAAAGTTTTGTTATATAAAATTACATTATGTTCTTACATGTACACCAATGGCAGGTATATACAACTTTTACAAATATGACACGTGTGCAATATTAGTGTTTTCAACAGAGGGTGACTGACTGACTAGTTATCTAGTCGCTCGGATGTCGGAAGTCACTCAAAAGTCAAAACTATCCTAATGGAAATGGCCTATTATAATATCGAAGGTATTTATCGTGGTAGGGCCACGCAACAGCCTACGCTTGTTGCACGAATGGGCAGGTCCGTCCGGGTGAGTACCACGACCTCACAGACGCGTTGCGTCTGAGGTAGCCGGGGCCCACTTTACTATAAGGTGGCAATGCATCAGCAACCCTACGAGCGATGCAACGGTCCAATGGCGGCCGTTGTCACTTACCATCAGGCTAAATCGCCAGCTCGCATGTCAAGCATAAAATAAAAAAAAAATCGAAGACAAGTATTTTGTTTTCATGTGTGTAAATAAATTTATGTATGTGTTTTAGTATGTGTAAATGAATCTCGCTCTGCACTTGCAAGTACCCTGGCTGCTACTGATTTTCCAGCTAAATAATTTTGTATACTGGTACATAATTTTTAAAAAATAGCTTCTTGCCGACTCTTCTATGGACAGGTCCAGTTTAGTGAACCGGTGTTAGTTTTATTATGTTCAATAGGACTTGAATTACCTAAATACAATAGCCTATGTTGAATGAAGACATTTTGACTTTGGAAAAACATATCTTCCAGAAGAGCTAAGTTCACAGCGGTGGGGGCACGCAACAGCCTCAGCTGTTGCAGGAATGGGCAGGCTCGCCCGGGGCAGTACCGCGGCCTCACTTTCGCGTTTCGTCCGGTGAGTGAGGTAAACGGGGCCCACTTCCTCGCTTGCAAACGATTTAAACAAAAAAAGCGTAACGGATTTTTGGGTTTCAAACTCTTTACGGAACTCATATGGTCGTAGGACATTCTATCCCGTGCCAAAGGGCACATCCCTTTTAATTTTATTCAACAATTTAGGGTTTTTTTATGTGTAAAGGTGTCAATCAAGCCGGCTGAAAATCGTCCGTCCCTCACATTATTTTCCCAGTGGTGAGGGGCCCCATTCCCTCCGGTGTAAGTGAAGCATCATCTTTTAATAGTATCGACTAAAAACCGTACCTGTGATGCCTGAAGAATATGTAGTCGCGCTGGTTGTGGAAGGTGACGGCGCGTCTGCCCCTGAACTGCGGCTCATAGTGGAACAGGGCGCCCAGCATCCGACCCACGGTCAGGCCCAGGCGGGTGCTGAAGTTGTTCAATATCACCTGCCGACACGTTGTGAACACCGAGTCTACATAGAGGACAAGGATGTTTGGAAATGACTCTTGCTCTGCACTTGCAAGACCCCTGGATACTGCTGATTTTATACCCAAATAAATGTGTATAATTGCATTAAAAATATATATATATATATATAACAAAAAGAACAAGACCGCAGAGTTTCTTGCCGGTTCTTCTCTGTGCAGGTCTAGTTTAGTGAACCGGTGGTAGATTTTTTGTTGACGTTCAATAAGAGCTTAAGTTAGGCCTATATTGAATAAATATACTTTGACTTGACTTTGACTTCATAATGTCTATACCAAGGATGAGCAACGCGCGGCCCGTTAAACATGTTCATGCGGCCCGCCAAGCATCTCTAAAATTTATTCATCATTTTTGCATTTCTCCTATCAATATAGTGTTATAAAATTACTTATAATAAAATGGTAGTACATACTGAACCGAAATATTTTTTGTTCGTTTTTCTGTCTTTTCTTGTTTGTTTTTTTTTATTTTTTTATTCTAATATTTATAATAAATAAAGTTATTACGTGCGGCCCGCCAAAAAATTTTAAAATTAAATTGACCCATTGATTAAAAAGGTTGCTCACCCCTGGTCTATACTTTATGTTACTATTGCTAACATAGGCCGAACGGTCGTGAACACTGGCTGAGGAGTCTATGTAAACGTCTATATTTATGTTGCTATCGCTAACATTGCCCAAAGATATTAAAATTTATAGATTTTATCGCGTTTTAATTTTGCGTCGCGAATTAAAAATCAAAATTAGAACGCGATAAAATCCGTAAAATTGTTTCGTTGAATATGTAGGTATAATGTTTTTGCCCATGACATTTGATATACATAACCATGGACATTTGCAACATCCCGTAGGATTGCAGATGAGTTGCCACCTTTTATGAAGTGAGCCCCGGCTACCACACTCACCAGGCGAAACGCAGAACTATAACACATCTACTTCACGCTGGTCTCCTGTGAGGTCGTGGTACTTCCACGAACGGAGCTGCCCATTCGTGCAACAGCGATGACTGTTGCGTGGGCCTACCGTAGTTATCGTTATTGGTGCACCTTTAGGTAAATCAATAAATATATCTACTACTGTTATCACGTGCTCGGAGGTAAAGTAAAACATCGTGAGGAAACATGCATATTTTCGAAATAATAATTAAAAAAAAATATTTCGAAACTATGTGAAGTCCGCCAATCCGCAGTGGGGTCGCATGGTGGATTATAGGCCGTTACTTGACTTTTTTAATCGGTAAATGTAAATAACTTTAACACTGGCGTAATTCAATTAAAATAAATTTTACGATAGAGAAAAATCAATAATGAATTTATCAACAAGCAGAATTCGGCGGTCGCTTATAGTTTTCGAAAAAATAAATAATGAAATAGTGTGATTTTTACTATAGAAATCCACCATTTTTTTGTTGTCAATATGTCAATTCTGCTCGTATTTCTTGGTGGTCATAAAAAAAAACCTAACATCGAAGGAGCGGAGCTCCCGCCTGAACCTTATAACCTAATCTGTCCGAGTCGGATTCGCTCTGGGTCGGTTCTGTCTGTGACTCATTAAATTTAAAAGAAATCGGACTATCGATACGAGTATGATGTCGCCCGCTTCCTATGTTTATCATGTTGGCAGAACTGTGTATTGAGTTTTTGAAGTCAAATAAATAAAATGGTGGATTTCTTAGTAAAAATAACAAGTTTTAACTATTTTTTTCTCGAAAACTATAAGCGACCGCCGAATTCTGCTTGTTGATTAATTCATTAGAGATTTTTCTCTATCGTTTAAAATTTATTTTAATTGAAATACGCCAAAGTTAAGGTTATTTACCTTTGCATTTTTATCTATTACTAAACGAAAATGTATCATACCTCAGGCCGGTGCGTGGTGATTTCTTTGTAGTCCTTCCTTAGTTCAGGGGTTATTTTGCAGCTAGACAGTCTGAAGTGAGCGGTGGGGCCGCCCGGCAAGTGGATTAGAAGGAACCCGTTTGGCTGCTTCTGGTTTTCATTTATGATGACCACGTCCGTGTATCCTTCGCGTATTGCCGATTGAACTATTCGTTTAACTGACGACCTGGAAGAAGGGCAAGAAGAAAGTTCAGTTGTATGCTAAATAGATTTAAAGTTGTAAATCACTAAACATACTTTTACAGACAAAACTATTTGTAACATACATATAATTAAAAATTATGCTTATAATTTCAACTAATAATATATATTACAATTTTTAATGTAAACAGGATACAGATGGTGAAAGCTTACAGCAATATAATTTTTAGTAGTCTATCATTTCCCGATATTCTCAATTAAATCACATACCTCTGTCTATAACGAGACAATGAATTAGGGATTATCCTCATCAGTTCCTTGCCAAATATCCGAGTCTTTGTGTGTGGGTTGTCTGAGTATGTGATGAGTACTTTAGGCTCATAAGAGTTTTGAAAATATGATGAAAGCTCGTCCAATTCCATGTCTTTTTGTGCCTGGAAACAAATAAAATATAATTTTTTTCACTATTGAACTTGATTTAATAGATGGACATTGGTTCATATGAGTTGAGACGTGGATTTTTGCAATAGAATTACATCATCATCATCATCATCATTTCAGCCTGTTTGAGTCCACTGCTGAACATAGGCCTCCCCCACAGACTGCCACGAAGTACGATCCTGAGCCACCTGCATCCATCGACTTCCCGCACATTTGCACAGGTCGTCACTCCATCTAGTGGGGGGTCGTCCTACACTGCGATGGCCAGTACGAGGCTGCCACTCGAGAACCTTTCTTCCCCAACGGTTATCGGTTCTACGAGCTATATGGCCGGCCCATCGCCACTTCAGCTTGCTAATCCTCTGAGCTATGTCGGTTACCTTGGTTCTACTGCGGATGTCACACGAATTACATATCACAAAATAAGAAAGAAACTAGTTTACGGATTTCAACAATTATCAACAAGTTTTAATTTTGATTTTGATTTTATAAAACTGTTTTTTTGTCCAGTGACCATGAATGCTGGAAAGGGTTCTTAACGTCAGGAATTATAAAATCTAAATTAAAACATGACAAAATCCGTAAACTAGTTTCATTTAATATGTACAATATTCGCGTAAAATCAAGAAGCCAAAAAAGATATAATCAATATATCATTGGATAAGTACAAATATTCAAACATTTTAATAAAAGTAAAATTTGGTTAGTAAAAATTTAGCAAACAATATTTATATGGTGAGGCTATACAGCAGCTTTCGCTGTTAAACAAATAGGCGGGCTCATCTTACAATCCCTTATATCTTTAAAATAAAATTTACCATTCATTGACAAATGTATTCATTTGTACATTATTATATTACCATTAGATGACTGATCACGGTTCTGGGCGAAAATTTTGCTCAGGTCATTTAATTTATGCTACTGGTGCAGCCAATATATCAGCGAAACTCTGTGTTTTCCGATATACAACAATAAATATCAAATTTTCAGTTTCATGAAAGGACAGCTTAAGGGTTCTAGAGGAGGGGGAGCAACTATCCTTGTCTTCTGCAACCAAAGTACAGTCATGGAGGGAGACAAGTGTTGGTATTGCATTTGGCCGCTCTCTCTATCCTCCGCAACTCAGCGGGGCTGCACCACTAGTGCAGTTGTGGAGCCGCGAATGGGGATAATGATAATAAATGATTATTTTGGTTAATGATGTGCCATAAGCATAAATTAAATTATCTATATTAATATAAATTTATACCTCCTCTTTTTCTTCATCTTCCACATTTGCAAGCATTGTTTCATCTTTCTCTCGTAAAGACTCCAAAGTATGGGGAACTTTCTTGGGAACATCATCCCCCTCTTGCTTTTTCTCTAATTTACGCCTAGAAATGATTTAAAATATTGAATACCAATATTATTTGAATGAAGTATTTTCTATTATGAAAAGCGTAGTAGTGGCAAGTACAATATTACTGATGGTTTTTAATTTACAAACAAGAAAATAGGTAGATTTTATTTTATAGATTATTTTCGTATCAATATTTTCATCTAATAACACTGTATTTTTAACATGACATTATAACCTATGAAACTAACTTTTTCTTATCCTTGCCACGAGCCATCGTTAAATTTAAAAAACAAAACTCTTTAAATTCTTATTGTAGAATTAATTAGTCATTTAAAAATATTACAATGAGTGTTATAATTAACTAAACAGAAAAAAATTCAAAACAACACGAGAAAACAGGGAAACCAACACCACCAACGCATACACTAGGGATGCTGAAAAAATATCGATATATCGATTTTTTTTTAAATAAATCGATACTTTTTCGGTATATTTTGATCCGATATATCGATAAAAAATTGAATATCGAAATCATATCAAAAACGATATTTTTATTCAAACTGATTCAAGGCTTTGAATAAAGGATAAAAATGAACGGAAAAAATCTGTGGTCTACTAGTATTGTCGCCGATGCGGAGTTGCACTATAATTAGTACTATAATTATGGTATTTATACTACAATTTGATGCTTCCTACTTTATACTATCCAAATCCATAATATGGTACAACATGTTATAGAGGTGTTTAATTATTAATATTGAACTACATAATATGTTCATTTATAAATAGCGTGCAAAATATTAATGGCATCAACTAAAGTTACTTTAACTTAATATGTAAATAAAGTGAACAAAATTTAATTATAATCATATTCTCAATAATTAAATGTCGCACAGTATAATATCTAGTTTTCATGAAAATGTTATTTGTGGTAATTTCATAAAAATGTTAAGTGTGTGTAAATGTTAGTTATGTCGTCATAAAAATGATTACCATTTAAACACATAAGTTACATTTTCAAATTGTCGTTCAGCATTTTTATGTCAATCAAACAACTATTATTAAATTCTGCTAATCAAGACCTGTCTATTAGGACGTCTCTGCCGTTTTCTTTTTGACCAATTTTCAACTCCTTTTTAAACATTTTTTATGTTTTTTTACAAAGTTACATGTTTTTTATTAGTTATTTTTTCATTTCATTTAGAGCTAAAGAAATTGATTTATCTTACTAAATAAGCTGTTTGTTTTTTTTCCAATGAAGGTCTTGATAAATAATATACGTGGAAATTTAGATTAATAAATTAACGTTTTATTAAAATTTCTCATTCATTAAAATAATGTGAATTTGGTATAAAAATCACTCTTACTTATTATTGAATCAGACTGAACTAAATACATTTTTTTAACCAAAAATTTGACCAATATATTGATATTGTTTTCGATATGCCGAGGCCGAATTGATATTTTTATAAATATCGATATATCGATGATAATTTCAATTTTCGGCATCCCTAACATACACTAGGCATGGGCAAAATATATCGATATATAAAAATACCGATATTTTTCCGCACAATTATCGATAATCACCTAATCTTTCAGTAATCTAAAGTTGTGCAAAATAAAACGACAATGGATGCGTTCCGAATAGCTAATCTAGAGAATTTGCAATGACATGAATCAAAAAAGGACATATTTTTTGTGCCTTCTTATAGATTTATTTCTTATAGTCCTCTCTCCAACATGTATAAGTAACAAGGTCATGAAATATTATTTGTAACCAGCTGACTTTTTTTCTATTGGTTAGTTAATATTTATATAATTTAACACCCACATTGTCCTACAAATTATGTGTTTGTTTGTTTGTTAAGTTTTTTAAGACCTGAAAAAATCAGACCTCTGAATCTGACTCATCAGGTACGATTAGGCCATGCTCCTTTAATCATAAAATATATATACTATTGTACCAAAATCCGAACGGAAACTTCTAAATTAAACGTATGTCGACGAAAACAAGCTTTTGTCTTCTCCGTACACGATATGAATGTAAATGATACTGACAGCCAAATGAATTTTGACTGACCGGGAAAGAGGTGATTTATACTGATTGAGCAAATTTTATTTCGATTATTATGGCGAAACAATCAAAGGTAAGTCATAAAATTCATTAGTATGTTGTATATTTTGAATTTTTCTAATAGGATTTATATTATTTATAGATAAAGAAAGATCTTGATTTCTTGCAATATTGTTCAAAAATTATAAATTTAAAAATAAGGGAGGAATAAATTTAGGGAAAATATGACCATAGCCTGTTGAGTTAAAATAATTTGTGGAAACGATACTAAATTCAAATACGAGGTAAATATGATACTAGTGCACTGAAACCGAGTTACTCAAATTATGCCAATTGCAAGTCTGTAGACTGCCATCTTTTTACCTCTTCTTCTTCTAAGGCAGTTGGCGGTCCAATCTTTTTACTTATCAATATACGTTATATATCGTCTGTTACATTCACTTATATTATACGTCATATAGATAATGTAAAGCGAAATCTTTTTTAAATGCTGCGCAGTCAATGATGTTTAATAATATAGATGACGCATGTCCATACTACGTGGCGTTTTCAAACTTATTCCGCTTTACGTTATATGACATATTTAAGTTAATGTGACATAATATGATATAGAACGTGAGATAAATAAAGAGATAGCAGTCTATAGGGTAAATGTTAAGGACATTGCGACGCCTCTTACTTATATACTTCGTGACATTACGAATTTTACGTGCTTCAAAGCATGTAAAGAGGCCACGATAAATATCATTTTAGACAAATTTTCATGCCTATAGGGATATTTAAATATGATCTAAACATTAGGTAATTTAAAAAAACATTAGGTAGCACTTTTTTTTAATTTATACTTGTTTTTATGTAGGGACATCATCATCAATCAAAGGAGAATTCATCATCAGAGAATGAAGAGGATAAGGAATGTGCAGCTTTATACTATATCCCTAAATCAATAGATGTATTGTTGGACAAAATGCAATGTATGTCGAGCAACAAGTTCTTACATATATTAGAAGGTACCGAAGAAGAGATGCTGCCGTCCTTACCAACTCCTTCTCAATCCCGTGCTTCTGGTGCTGATGGAGAGATACTTTTGCCTTTACGTACTCTTTCTCAAGCTCGTGCTTTTGCCGCCGACGAGGCGATGATGCCGCCTTTACCTCTTCCTTCTCAAATCCGTGCTTCTACCACTGATAAAGAGATCCTGCCCTCCTTACCTGCTCCCTCTCAAGTCTTTGCATCTGCTGCGATCGATGAGACGTTGCCTTCTTGTATGCTCATGCTGATGTTGTAGTACATGACATACTACTGTCTTTCTGGCATATTCTCAGTTATAATCCGGAAACGAAATTTGGACAACCAATTTAGAAAATTGGGTAGAACCTCAATTGATGAATGAAGTTAAAACATTTCTCGCTATTAATAAGCTAGTAATAATTATGGGCATATATTGAAATACATATATGTCACAATAATATAGAAATTAGTAGCATGACTTGCAAAAGATTCAAAAAACTTCTGGAGAACATACACGCATGTGATTTTACAGCCCCTTTACTCCGTAGTCCCAGAGACCACGAAAAACTACAAAAAAAATACCATTGCTTACCAATTCGCAAACTTTGTCAATAGACGAGAGTATGACAAAATTTAAAGGTCGTTATAGCAGAAAGTAACTAGGTAATTGAAAGAGGGTTCAAAGCATGATGCCTTTGTGACTCAGAAATTACTCGATAATGAGTTTACTTTCTGCGTATACTCTCATTCAGCTGTCATTAAATGGAAAGACAAAGGATGTTTACGTAATTACCACTGGAGTAGACCATAAAAGAAACTGAAAAATTCAACGAATCCAAAAGGACGGGTAAAAAAAGACTTGCTGTACCCATCTATTCTTACAGAATACACGAGACATAAAGCCAAGAATCTGAAAGTATAAAGGACAAAAAAAGAAACTTATGAAGTAGAAACCGACGTATATTTTCGTTGAAAATCACACTGAAACAAAAGATAATGAAATAGATAGACATAGAGCAATGGACTGACAGTCATGTGCATGTCAATTAGGTACGAGGTGGTTGGTTAATGTATCTTTAATGATTTCGATGAGATAAAGTTAGCGATAGGCGATGTGTGAGGCAATCACTGAAGCAAAGAGAATTTAAGCAGTGCGCACTGAAGAATACATCCTCCATCAAGAAATGGAACGACTTTAATTAAGATCCAAAAGAACAATATGAAGTGGACAAATATTGCGTGTTTCACGACGAAGGAAGTCTATCAAAAATCTGCCAATCACCATTTGAAATGCGGGTGAGCTGTCCGAATGAAAAGTTCGAAGGAGGCTGGACATTGACAGCAAATCCAGCTATAACTAAAATAACCGATTCAAGAATGATAAAAAAGGCGATATCGGATGAAAACATTACCCTTCGCGGGAACGTCATTCGTATCCGGGATGAATTAATTATTGATTTTTGAATATGTATAAGACTGTTGATTCTAGTATATAAGATTGGTGATTCAGACTATTGATTATGTATTAATTATTTCTGATTGATCTCAATCTACCTGTCCCTATGTACATGTGTAAGCGAGAAAACTGATGTTTTTATAATGCCCAAAGATTATAAACATTTTCTAAATAATACATTGATGTGTATTTTATCATAAATAATAAAAATCATCTCATTAACTTCCGTAGCCGTTTCTAATAATATGGAAGAAACCTTTCGCTTAATGAAGCATGATAAGTTATTATAAATTTTTACATCAGAGATCGATAAAAGAAGTTTCACCTTTTTGAAATGGTCATCTTGATAACTATTTACACATTTAACATGGTCAATTGATACTTAGAACGTAAAAAAAATTGATAAAACGGGTTTATAAGGTGTGAAAAAAAAGGTTAGTCTAATGTTACCCTAAAATCAATTTAACTTTGTAGCTACAAATAGTTGATTTGTATTATCTCAGGATTCAAATCTGTACCTCAGAGGCATACCGTACAACAATAACTCCACATTTTTCAAAATTATTTTTCTTACAGCATTAAAATCGCAACAAATTCTACACAGTACTACAATAGTATAAAACATTGTCCTACGACGCCTAATTAATAAAATATCCAATCGCATATGACATCATAATAAATACTGCATTCAAGGATTCATTCAAGCATTTTTGCTTCTCCTGTAAAATTTTTTTTTGTCATAATGCTGTTTACGTCCGAGGTACAGAAATATAATTTGTAAACTTTCTTTAATGTAATGCACATTTACAACACCAAAAGATCACAAATCACAATTCTGTGCAGTAATTCTATACATTTCTTTACTAAATACCGGAAATTGTCTCTACTGTCTTAATCCTCTCGTCTGGCGATCCAGTTACTAAAACTGAATCGCAACAAAAATTTTCTGTTTTTGTTGGTATGGAATGAAACAAACTGCTAAAATTTTGCCCAAATCTTGACAGGTCTTACTAAAACTAGTTTATTGGTATTCTTCGGCTTGTTGGTTATAAACTCTACACTACCATCAGCATGCACCGTAAGTAGTCCGTCCACGATTTGAGGTCCAGTAAAATGAAGAAAAAAAGAAAGTATTTTTTAATAAATTTAATAGATAAAATAATTGTGTTACATTAAAATATTTATAATTAAGTAATACGGTATTAATAATTTCAAAATATTAATAATATCGAATCGATTGAGAATTTAAGCTTAAGTATCTTCCGTCATTTGGTCGCCATAAATACTGACGTCCGTGTTGGTTGGATATAAAGAATTTCTCGTCAGAAAATATTGCTATGCTTAAATCAAAATCGCGATGTTCTCTGGCAAAACGATACCTAGCATCTTTTTGGTTTTGGTTTAGAGCAAGTTTTTTTGCAGGCTTCCTGTTGTGCCGTGTAAATCCCGTCTAATTGTGTCTACGGAACAATCAAGTTTTACGGCACAAGTATTTGTAGGAGTAAAGGGATGCTCCTCATAAACTTCAATCATGTGTTCTATCTGATGTTTTGGCACAATGCGTAATGGGTCTTGCTGTATGGGAGATAAGGTCTTCAGGTTAGATTGCAGACAATCTCCATTTTTCTTCAAAACATTACTAAGAGATCTATTTGATCTCCCCCATCTACCACAAATATTTGAACAAAACTTCTGACATTCTGTATCTCCGAGGTATTCAAAAAGATTTTTATCACCAAAGATCCAAACTCTGCAACAAAAAAAAATACACTAATTAAATTTGTCTAAATGATGTATTTTGTTGTGTAGAAATGAAACAGGTGGTTCAGCTGATTTAATTCCACTGCTCAAAGACATATACAACTCCTTTGGCAGAAGCTGTGCATAATTTCAAGGAACTGGTGTCCTGGTTATCTCACTCGCCGGACAAAATACAATAGTACTCGTATAAAACTTCATATTGACGCCCATGTTCTGTGAGGCCGTGTTACTTCTCCGTACGAACCTGCCCATTTGTGCAAAACAGAAGCTGCTGCTAGATGGCTCAGCTACAACTTATTTTAACTTTAACATTTAATAAAATATGTTTGAACATATTACTTGAATCAAATTTGTATCTATGAATTTTTCTGTAGTGTGTTCATATAACCTGAAATATGTTAACAAATATTCCTGGCAGTTTAAACCACAATGCTCTCTGTCTAGCTTACAGAAAATGCAACATGACGAAGCATTCCAATAGGAAAGTAGACAGCAATAGTTCAAACATGTAATACTAATGGACAAGACAAAAAAATATTAGATTAAAAAAAATTATAAAATTTACAAATGCAATGTTGGCCAAAACTTTTGTTATACATTCAAATTTGTACTAAGAATGGTGAATGATAGTTCTACTTACCAAAATCATGTTTAGAATAATTATTGGTTGATTTTTTCATAATCATCTTTTCTTGCGTTCTGTAACCAAATAATTAATATAAATTTGGTACTTATTCTTTACACTATTATATTAAGAAATTTTTAAGTTGATTTCTATCAGACACAAAGTTTGGTCAACATGGTTGATTGGGTTCTCTCTGTTGAGGGAGACCTGAAGGTCTAGTCATCATCAGAAATCATGCAAATTAATTCATTCTTCAACAAATTTCAATATTTTCTTTTAATAAAATAGGCATAGTAAATACTCACAAGGTTTTTGCTTTTGAAGGACTGTATGAAGATTTTGAGGTGTGTTATGTGCTTTCTTCAGTCTGCATCTGAAGTAATATTAAGAAATAAATGTTATACTGATTATTAGGAGATATACAAATATCTCATTTATATATCTTATCAGACATGTATGGTTGGTCAACATGGTTAATTGGGTTCACTCTGTTGAGGGAGACCTGAAGGTCAAGTCATCATGTAAGATTTTAAATTTAGTGTAAAAAATTCACATTTACCAAAAAATATATCAGTAGGAACAAGCACTTTATGAGCAATATCATCTTTCTTTACTTAAAATAATAAAATTGATGTAAATGTACCATACAGGAAACATAGCAGTATTCATTTTTATTATATCATTTGATAACATGGTAGTTTTCTTTTTAAATTGCAAGACAAATTTTTAACACTGGGGGCACATGTAAATATGAAAAATAATACTCACATAATATCAAAAAATGATGATTATTAATAGATTATATTGCCCCCTTATTTGAAACCACTTTTCTGCAAAGGAAATTTTCCATAAATATAAATAAGCTTTACCATAATAATGTCCAACAGCCAATAATATAAAAATCAGACATGTAAGGTTGGTCAACATGGTTAATTGGGTTCTCTCTGTTGAGGGAGACCTGAAGGTCATGGTCATCATGCAAGAATGTTATTTAAATATCACAAAATTGTCATTTGATGGTTTTTAATTTTTTTTTATCACACTACTCACATTTTTCTGTAGAGTAGCTTACTAGAACATAATCAGACTCTTTAATAAACCCTGAAATTAAAATGTTTTAGGTTAGACAAAACAAAATAAAAGCAACTGATTTTTGCTGGCAGTGTTTAAAATCAGACGCAGTGTTGGTCAACATGGTTGATTGGGTTCTCTCTGTTGAGGGAGACCTGAACGGTCATGTCATCATATTTTATTCATTACATATATACAGCAATTTAAATATGATATAGTTAAACATAATAATGACATGAAACTCACCTAATGACAGTTTCTAAAGAGATGCGACAATCTGAAATAAGAAAAATTGCACCTAAGATATTTTCTTTCAAAAATCATTTTGTACTGGGTTGAATTGGATCAGTTTAGATAGTTATTTTAACAGCATAATTGTTCAGATGTCCCTATCAAGAATCATCATTTGATTGGTTTGCATTTTTTATAATTAATATATTATTTAGTCACTGTTATAGATCTTTATTTTGTTACTTTTTAAATAAGAGCATTAATTTTATATTTCAGCATGAGTTCAATAATTTAAACATAGTTCATACCTTGCAAAACATCACAGACATGGTTCCCTTGTAACAATAGACATCAATTCACAATATTAGTAATATTTGGAAATGAATTTGTTTTATATCCTTAAAGCAGAATATAACAGTGCTGATATTTCACTTTCATATCCTGAAACAAATAAAGTGAGCTATTTCAACTAAGACACAATTATTATTCAAAAACACTGTCAATTGCAATCAGTTTGGATAGTTATGGTAACAGCATTATATATTCAGATGTCCCTATCTAAAATCATCATATAAATTTTGCCAATGGAGTATGATAGTAAAGTATTGGTCCTTACCACTTTCTTATCATTATTGTCTCAAACCAAGAAAGCATATTACTCTTAAACAATATTTGTAGTTTACCAAACCTGAAATAAAGGTCCAAAATATATTAGAATGTTCATAGGGTATTGATGTATCGAAAACCTATTAATTTAATCAGATAGGAGCGAAAGACAAAAAGCATTATGCATCATAGCAATCAGATGAACTATGAAATCATCACTTAAATTATATTATAAAATAACACAACAGTAAAATTTGCAAAACAGTATACATAATATTATAAATCCCAAAAAAACAATAAAACTAATTATTAACTGCTTATTTTGGTGTTAATGAAAAATTCTATTAAAATTATCTGTGATTAATTATTCCAATTAACTCTGGTATCATATTATATTATTTCCAAACATTTAAGGATATTATAGTCATTATCTTAATTGAAGTCACTATTGGGATTATAAATAAAACATTACTCACATTTCCTCATTTGAGTTGGACATTTCTCAATAAAGTACTCAAAAAACCTAAAACAAAAAAAAATTCAACATCAAACATTTTTCAAATTTTAAAAATGAATGTTCAGGATTTGTGATAATCAGATAGGAGCGAAAGACAAAAAGTGTAATGCATCACAGCAATCAGATGAACTATGAAATCATCATAATCTTATGTAACATTCTTTTCTGTGGCGTTTGAAGTAAAAAATCGGCAAGTGGGAGTCCGACACAAGCACGAAAGGTTCGGTACCTTTGTATATAAAAACGGTAAAAAAATCATGTCTATTGTATGGGTATGCCACACTTAAATATTTTTTTGTTTTTTAGTAGTTACAGGGGGTAACAGAAATAAATCTGTCACGGTTCATGAGATACAGACTAGTGACAGCCGAACAGATAGACAGATAGTGGAGTCTTAGTAATAGCGTCCCGTTTACCCTTAGAGTATAGAACCCTAAAAGTTATCACTGTCTAATGCAATCATAGATAGTCCTTATAGTAATAAAGAGGTTTTCATTATCTTTATTGTATGATATCATATTACAGTTCCTAGACTTCTTGAAAAGCCAGGTTCCACAAGCTAAATACAACTTACCACATTGGCTAGAGCCGCATATGTATTGATTCATGCATGTGTTATCTACAGTTAATGAGTTCAATTAACAAGTTTCATACATTTAAAAGCAAATAAACTTACCAAAAATTTTGTGGTGATATCTGAAAAGAACAAAAAAAAGAGTAATTCATAGAATATTCATATGCAATTGCTAAATATATAAATATAAAACTGTTTCAGAATGCCAATTGGCAAAGATGTACATCAAACCTCACAATTTGTGGCCCTACTCTAAAAATTAAATCTAAATTAACAAAAAAAATAATTAACGAGAAAATGCTTAAGAACTGAAACATTAAAGAAGGAAAAAACCCTACTCTAAATTATGACACTCATTGTGAGGTAACTAAGTTTCAGCTGCACTGCGCTGTCATCATATAAATGCATGTAACTATTTATTAATGTCTTGCTTTTTATTCACAACAAAAATTAATAATTTAACATAAAAAATACTTACAAATAATCCATTGTTTCCTTCATTCCACATGGACCCATTGTCACCCTGAAATTATTAATTTTTTTTATGAAATAAAAAAAAAAGAATTGTACTGTATATTTTTTTTAAAAGATTGCTTATTCAGATAGAGCTAATATACATGCAAAATCATTATTAAATCAATGGTTAGCACTTTTCATCATTTTTACGATATGATTTTAAAATAAAATCTTTAAACCTAAATTAATTTTACCTATATCCACTGGTCTTCTATATTTTCCCTGAACAAAGATACGAGGTACATCAATGCCCTCTTTGTAGTTCACTGTACGACGTTGCACATAAGTATTCATGATAATTTCAAACCCCGCATCTGTAAATAGTTTTGAAAGTTCTTCTTCGGTAAAGTAGTAGCTCCTGCAAAAAGGAAAAACTATGTATTATTTACATAAGCATACAGAAACATTTTCTGGAACTAAGTTTATACAACTTATTTTGAAAAGGTTAGCAACAATAACTCTCAGACCAATAACTTCTATATTGGTCTGAGCAAAAACTAAATTAATAATTAAGTATGCAATAGGCTATCAATACCTTGTCCCATCTTGCCGCATGTAGAAGTTCTCAGATATTTTATGGCCAGCTTTAAACCGCAGTTGTGCCATGTCGTATCTGCCATAATCTCTAAATAAAACCACGCCGCCAGGTTTTAATGCTCTAAATGCTACTTTGACAACATGTGGCCACTTAGTGGGGTGGATGGCAGATAAAACGAATATAAGGCTCGCAATATCGACACTGTTTTCCTTTACATTATCAAACAGGTCATCGGTGGTTAAATCAGTGCAAAACGCTTTCATGCGGTCCCCGTCATACAACTTATTTTTCTTCACAAACTCTACGGCACGAGGAGAAAAGTCACACGCATAAAAAAAAAAATTTGAGAATCCCTCTTCAACAAGAGGAAACACCATATTGCCAACGCCGCAGCCCAATTCTAGATAGACTATGCGTTCATCGGGATCGAAATTGATAAGTTCTTGAAACTCACGTGTGGTCCAATGCCGGTCCCGAAAGAACTTTGTTTCATTTCGTTTATAAAATATATCCCAGTGGCGTTTCGCATCCTTTTCCAATTTAGCGGCCTTTGTTTCAGGAATAACACGCATATTCTGATTCTCAAGCCTCTGCTTTTCTTCGTCCGTTAGCTCCTTCAACCGGTGCACGAATCGGTCTCCATTATCGCCGACGCGTTCATCTCCATCCTTTTCCATCATATTAACCTCTTGCTTTTTCCATTAAACTCAATTGAATTTTAAATTAAATACTTATAAAGAAACTAGATATCTTTTTATTTTCTATGCTGTTTACTTAAATCTTACAATAATAAAATAAACGCAAAAACCACCAACCTCCTATTTCAAGTCTGTTGACAAATGTGAAAGATTGAAAATGATGAAGTGACAATGATTGAATGAGTGACACAAATCACAATCAGACAGACAGCAACTGCACCCAAGGGATGCCGGAGAAATATCGATATTTTACCCGATATATTTGGATCGGATATGTCATAAACCAATATTCAATATTGATATCATATCAAAAACGATATTTTTTGAAATTCGAATGCGGCACAGAGTCCGTAGAAGTCAAATATGTAATACACTTTACATACCTTTTTTTTGGACGAGTCCTAAACAGAAAATATCGATTTATCGAGGCCAATATTGATATTTTATAAATATCGATATATTTCTTTACTTTTGTCATCCCTACTGCAACCTGCAACGGCAGCAAGGCAAGGTCGATATCGCAGTGTTGCCATAAAGTTTTACAGAGTTGGCATCACAGAATTATAAAGAGAAGTTCTTCTCTTTATAAGTCTTCCTACTTTGTTTAATTAATTTGTTATAATTTTTCATATTTTTTAATATTATTATACGATAATGCAAAACCCACCATATGCCGTGAAGTTATGTGTTCGAATTACCGTATATTATGGCAATTGCCGTATCAATAGTAACGTTGCTGGATCGGCAAGTGCACAACAGCTGAACTCTTGAACTAAATTGAATTGGTAATGTTATAACTTGATTTCTGGCAGCCGGCTCCGAACCCGAAGAAGACCGATAGTTAATACTGGAAAAGAAGTCCGAAATCTCAGCCTTTAGTGTGAGATAATGCCTTTGGCATTAAGTCCGCCTATGTACTATTTGTACATATAGAATACATAAATAAATAAAAACGATATATCGATAAATAATATTCAATATCAAAAATCGTATCAAAATTATATATTTTTTAATTCTAATCGGGCACAGAGACATCTACGGATTTTAGATATTTAATACTTGACACACCCCTATTTTGGGACAAGGAGTTTCTAGGTCCTTTACCGATATATCGATATTTTCTCTTCGATATATAGAGGCCGACAGTTTTATCAATATAAATATATCGATCAATGTTGTTTTGATGTACTATATTATTTTTGTTAACCCTACAGGGCGATGTTATCGCTCAGCGATAAAGTTCTTTTATAATAAATAAACATAGGTCATTAACTATAAGCTGTAACTCATTACCATTTAGTCCATCGAGGTACAGGATAGATTCCCTCAGCGTCCGGCCACCTCAAACCCGGTGGATCTGTAAAGGCCTCCTCATGGCCAACAGTGGACGATCCAGTCAAAAAAACCTTTTAGATCTTTATTCACACGTTATTGCGACCGAGGGCACGAGGATGATGATTATGTACACATATCGGCTATATTTTAATCGCGATATACTTATATTCAATATTTATTTTGGAGTATCGAAGTCGTATCATTTTCGATATATTTCTTTTTTAAAGAAATACGAGACTAAAATTTTTACGATGCGCGCGCACCCAGACAGCCAAAAAGCGACATGATAAAGCTGGTTGCCAAACGACAATATTATTATGGTAAACAAAAACTTTTTGATATTAACTTATAACTCTAAGTTATATTAAACCTTTATCCATTTAATGTCTTTTTCACAACCAAAGAGTAATGGCACTGGGTATAAATTTTAAGTAATTTTTCTGTGTGGTTCGTACATAAATATATACTTTATTAAAGCAGTTCTGGTTTCGTAAATAATGTAAGATAGGTAGGTACATACTGCTTGAAAGTTCCTTGCATTAAGTTTATTAAAAAAAAAATCGATCAACCTCTTAGTCGCCTTTATGTACTAAGTTATTAGGCATCTTGTGTCTTCTGAAAATTTTGCTTTCCTGAGTCTGACAGTACACGACAATATAAGCCGCGTGATAGTTGATCACATCGAACAGAGGATGTTTCTAATATCATTTTCTGACGAATACTGTTTATTTGTTACTTAAATTAAATCGTTTTCTTACTTGAGTAGTTCCCACTAGGGTTTTACAAAACTTTATGTTGTAACTTTCTCTAAAATAATATTGTCTTCATATGTACTATTTATTAACAATTTTGAATGTTTGGGGAATATGTCTGAAAGAATAGCCATATATCGATCGGTATATTGTTTCAAACATATAAAACATTGCTAATTGAACAGCTGAGTTAGGGATAATCGATATTTATTATAATTGACTATTTATTCACTAATTCCCACACTAAATGTTTATAATGATTATAAATGAATGTAATCATAAAAGATTGGCACACAGAAATATAATATTATATATAATATTAAGCGTTCACAGCTTTTTTTTTAACGTGGTTTTGCACGATTTGGCAGTCCCGGCCTTAGAGAAGGCTGGCGTGAAGTGAAAATACGAGTAATACTTCAATGTGTACATTTTTTTTTTATTGTACTTAAAACACACTTTGGAATTGGACTGTATTAGTTCAGCTGCACGTCCTGCCTTGCAAGCTCGAGCAACATGGGGTCGTCGAAGAACTTGTTGATGGAGACATCCTCGCTGAGGCCTTTGCGCCTTCTAGTTTTGATCATAAACTCGCGGGCCAAATGTGTCGCTGGCTGCGGCTCTAAGGGTCTGTAATTGACAATGTATTATAACTTCACATTAAATTACAGGTGCGTGTTTAGTTTAGAGTTAAATTTTAAGAGGGAGGGGGTTCGATACTGAATTCGGAAACTGCACATGAAACATATTTTATAAAATAAAAGAAAAATATACTTTGTTGTTTTGTTGGTTTTGAGGGTCATGATCACGTTTCTCCACGTTAGTAGGCGAGGACGATATTATGTAGTGTCGGGCGGGACCTCTGGTGGGTCTGACGTACTATGTTCCTAGCATTATTTCCTGTCACGACAATAAGAAGTTCTTTTAGGTTTATTTCTCAAAACGTTTCCACTATCCGCGACGCCGAAGCCGATAACTTGGCAACGCGCCACCGAGCCACCTTCTGACGATGCTTAATCATGATTGACTTGAGCACGCACGGTCACCTGATGACTATGGCTTCGGCACCACCGAGTCATTCGATGACGATGTTAAAACATTATAGATTTGAGCGTGAGCAATAACTTGGGATGGCAAAAACATATCGATATATCGAGGCCGATATTGATATTTTTAACCGACTTCAAAAGGAGAAGGTTCTCAATTCGCCTGCATTTTTTTATGTTTATTAACTCATAAATTTTGACTGAGTGAAACAATTTTGACGATTCTTTTTTATTTGAAAGCTGGTGCTATCCATGTGGTTCCATATTAATTTCATTGGTATTGGATATTGGGCTCCGGAGATACTTATCCGAACTACTCCTGAAAATTAATTATGAAATGAATACAGAGCGAGATATTTGGAGCCGCTTTTGTTTTTCGTTAGTAAAAAAACGATTATAAATATCGATATATCGATATATTTCTCCGCTTGCGGCATCCCTATTCGCGTGCACGGTCGCGTTTTCCGTCACCTGATGACGATGCTCTTGTCGAGCGGGTCCCCGGGCACTATCTGCCAGTGGTGGAAGAGCTGCAGGCAGAAGGCCTGGCCCTGCGTGTGCGTGCGCAGGTCCGTCTCGAAGCCGAACGAGTCGATGGCCGGCACGAACGCCTTGATCGTGTACAGCGGCGAGCCGGGCACGGGCGCGTCCTGCGTCACGTGGCCTGCGGGTACAAGTGAAACTATAATAAGTATAGAGTATATATTTGCTTTGTATGCTTTGTATAAAAGGGACCATACAGGCGATATATAATCTGAACAGATACAAAACAAAAAACAAACACAAGTTCCTAACGCCAGTTACTAGACTCCATAGAGTAAGTAACTCGTCTATTAACAGGTTTAAGAAATTTATTAAAGGAAAGCTATTTTAAAAACGGTTATTATTACAATATAAATGTATACATTAATGATAAAAACCCCTGGGAATGACATGATCGCTCCTGTTTCTAAAAAAATACAGGGAGGCTTTTTTAAAGGTGCCCAAATATACACCAGAGGTTCAGACTCGGCAGTACAATCGTTTATTGAAATAAAAACAAATTTGTTTTTTTTTTTTTCAAAAAAATTCCATTCCGTTCCCTAAAATACAGAACTTGTTGACAACGCGATAGTCATTCATAAATACCTAAATTTTACTGTTCACGCACACAAACGAACTTGTGTGCGTGTTAGTTATGAATGATCGCGCGTAAAATAAATGAGTTGCGTACCTATATAATCAAACACTTTTTGAGATAAGTTCAAATGAATGTAATAAATTACTTACGAATTTTTATTATTTTTTATATAACATTATTTATGTCAAGAATTTAATAAAAAAAATGAATACACTTAGAAAAGACTCCCTGTATAATTAGTGATAGTTTGAGGAAAAAACATGACACGAAAAAGGATACCTACGGAGTTTCTTTGGCCCGTTTTTTTCTCCGTTTGAAGAACCTCATTACGAAACAGTGGTAGATTTAAAAAAATGACTATCAATAGATGAAATTTATATTTCTTATTTCGATGAATAAATGATTTAATTTGATTTGTGCTAGGGCCACGCAACAGTGTTCTCTGTAACCGAACTGGCGGGTCTATCCGGGTTAGTACCGCGACCTCACAGAAGACCGGCGTGAAGTAGAAGTGTTACACTTCTGCGTTCCGTCTGGTGTGTGAGGTAGCCGGGGCGAACTTTATTTAAAGGGGGCGACGCATCTGCAACCATACGGGTGCATGTGCAAATGTCGGACGAGCCTGCCCATTCGTGCGACAGCCTAGGCTGCTGCGTGGCCTTACCACCGATAAAATAAATTGAGAGCACCTCTCCGCTTGGCGAGCACGGTGTAGACGGCCGAAACACAGTCAGCCGGCGCCTGCACCTCCACGAAGAGGTAGGGCTCCATCAGGCGAGGTGTGGCCATCAGGAATGCGGAGTAAGCGACCTGGACACATTAACCAATTTAAGGGCAGTACAACTCGTGATAGCTCCTGATAGCTCAGGGTCCGGTTCAGTATACTCGAGCAACCCGAGTTTGATCCCCGGTGACAGAACCAATGAAATTGTTAATTTTAATTGCTGACGCATCACGTGCTCAGCAGTGAAGGAAAACATCGTGAGGAACCTACATATTTTCGAAATAATTACAAAAAAAAATATTTCGACGATATATTGTGAAGTCCACTAATCCGCACTGAGGTCGCGTGGTCAAATATACCTTAATACCATATGTACAAGTTGGACATGTATAGACTGATATTTATTAAAGGAAATTATGTTTCAGTGTGTTTATCATTTACCCAGTACAGAGTTGAAGCTTAGCTTGGTTTGGGACTAGATAAAGTTCTGCAAAAATTGTCGAGAAAATATGTAGGTATATAGCTTTTTTTTTAAATTCAAAACTGTCCAGCACTTGACTGCCAGTTTTTGCCATCCCAACCGATAGATGATGGACAGTGGTCAGCTTACCCTTCGAGCTGTAGGTATGACCTGGCCGCCGCCCCTGTGCAGCGGCTCCTGGGCTATCACGGCGTCCAGGATCTTGAACTTGACGTTCCTGATGGGCTCCTCGCAGAGAGGACCCTCGCGGGTGCCCCACTGGAACCCTGCGGAGGGAAGAGTCGTTTACATTCCACATTTCAAAACCGTTCTTCGCACTCCGCACGTATACGTTCCTCGTTTTTTAAAGGTGCCCAAATATACACCAGAGGTTCAGACTCGGCAGTACAATCGTTTATTGAAATAAAAACAAATTTGTTTTTTTTTTTTTTTCAAAAAAATTCCATTCCGTTCCCTAAAATACAGAACTTGTTGACAACGCGATAGTCATTCATAAATACCTAAATTTTACTGTTCACGCACACAAACGAACTTGTGTGCGTGTTAGTTATGAATGATCGCGCGTAAAATAAATGAGTTGCGTACCTATATAATCAAACACTTTTTGAGATAAGTTCAAATGAATGTAATAAATTACTTACGAATTTTTATTATTTTTTTATATAACATTATTTATGTCAAGAATTTAATAAAAAAAATGAATACACTTAGAAAAGACTCCCTGTATAATTAGTGATAGTTTGAGGAAAAAACATGACACGAAAAAGGATACCTACGGAGTTTCTTTGGCCCGTTTTCTCCGTTTGAAGAACCTCATTACGAAACAGTGGTAGATTTAAAAAATGACTATCAATAGATGAAATTTATATTTCTTATTTCGATGAATAAATGATTTAATTTGATTTGTGCTAGGGCCACGCAACAGTGTTCTCTGTAACCGAACTGGCGGGTCTATCCGGGTTAGTACCGCGACCTCACAGAAGACCGGCGTGAAGTAGAAGTGTTACACTTCTGCGTTCCGTCTGGTGTGTGAGGTAGCCGGGGCGAACTTTATTTAAAGGGGGCGACGCATCTGCAACCATACGGGTGCATGTGCAAATGTCGGACGAGCCTGCCCATTCGTGCGACAGCCTAGGCTGCTGCGTGGCCTTACCACCGATAAAATAAATTGAGAGCACCTCTCCGCTTGGCGAGCACGGTGTAGACGGCCGAAACACAGTCAGCCGGCGCCTGCACCTCCACGAAGAGGTAGGGCTCCATCAGGCGAGGTGTGGCCATCAGGAATGCGGAGTAAGCGACCTGGACACATTAACCAATTTAAGGGCAGTACAACTCGTGATAGCTCCTGATAGCTCAGGGTCCGGTTCAGTATACTCGAGCAACCCGAGTTTGATCCCCGGTGACAGAACCAATGAAATTGTTAATTTTAATTGCTGACGCATCACGTGCTCAGCAGTGAAGGAAAACATCGTGAGGAACCTACATATTTTCGAAATAATTACAAAAAAAAATATTTCGACGATATATTGTGAAGTCCACTAATCCGCACTGAGGTCGCGTGGTCAAATATACCTTAATACCATATGTACAAGTTGGACATGTATAGACTGATATTTATTAAAGGAAATTATGTTTCAGTGTGTTTATCATTTACCCAGTACAGAGTTGAAGCTTAGCTTGGTTTGGGACTAGATAAAGTTCTGCAAAAATTGTCGAGAAAATATGTAGGTATATAGCTTTTTTTTTAAATTCAAAACTGTCCAGCACTTGACTGCCAGTTTTTGCCATCCCAACCGATAGATGATGGACAGTGGTCAGCTTACCCTTCGAGCTGTAGGTATGACCTGGCCGCCGCCCCTGTGCAGCGGCTCCTGGGCTATCACGGCGTCCAGGATCTTGAACTTGACGTTCCTGATGGGCTCCTCGCAGAGAGGACCCTCGCGGGTGCCCCACTGGAACCCTGCGGAGGGAAGAGTCGTTTACATTCCACATTTCAAAACCGTTCTTCGCACTCCGCACGTATACGTTCCTCGTTAGTTTAAACGTGTGCACTTTTTAAAAATTTGCAGATAAATAGACGAACATTTTATCGCCTGCTGCGGGGATTTAAACCCACGTCCGCCTGGATACGCGGCCGACATTCTAGCTACCTAGCTAAAGGGCTTATCTTCCTCAAAATCAAAAACTAGCAGCGATACATAAAATTACTCGAAAGTATTCTAATAATGTTACAGTAATATCCTACAAATTAGTATAGTACTCGGCGATAAATGTTGCACATACAGATTTGGAAAGAGACAATCGGCTAATTTCGCCTTCGTAGAGAGCTATCTCTATCGCACGTAGCACTAAGACAGGAGATAAAAAAACTATCACAAAAAAAAAAAAAAAAAAGACAGATAGTGTGTGACTGCTGTCACATTTCCGCTGTCAGATCGATTCAGAAACCGGGCGTTAGTCGTGCAAAAGATAAGACGTCGATTTTGGACTTAATTCACCTTGCACAATGCTGTCTTTGACCGAGGCGAGGAGGTGCTTGTCCACCTCCGACGGCAGGGTGTCGTCCACGAGGATGTTGGGCCCCGTGGAGTCGGGCCCGAAGGCCCATATCGAGCGGGCGGCCAGCAGATCCCAGTCGTATCTAAAAAGTAAAAAAAAAAAAAAGTTTTTTTTAATACCTTAATTATTTTGCGGATATTAGGCGATGATCCCCACGTGATGGTTGCGTATTTATTTTTTCAAAACACCGTTTTGCGGATATTAAATTCAGGAAAACACCCCCACGTTATGGTTTCATATACAGGGTGGCTTTTCTAAAGGTGCCCAAATTCACACGGGAGGTTCAGACTCGACATATAATCGTTTATTGAAATAAAAACAAACATTTTTTTTTTTTCAAAAAAAAAATTCCCATTCCATTCTCTGAAAACCAGAACTTGTTGACAAAGCGGTAGTCATTCATAAGTGCGTCGTATACTTTTGCAACGAACTTGTGCGCGTGTCAGTTATGGATGATCGCGCGAGATGAGTTCAAATGAATGTAATTCAATTAATTACGAGTGATAATAAAAAAAAATGGATACACTCAGAGAAGCCTCGCTGTACGTGTAAAAAACCGCAGAGGGGCCCACTTGTTCTGGAAGAACTCGCCGAGCCGCCGCCGGTCCCAGGAGACGCAGACGGCGCCCGCCTCTATGTCCTCGGCCAGGCCCCTCTCCAGGGGCTCCGCGATCATCGTCAGCTTGTTGCGCTTGTTCGGCGTCTCCGCGAAGCACTTCAGCGACGACGTCTCCACCACCGTCTCGCAGAACGACACCACGGGGTCGGCGACTGTGACGCGTAATGGTATTATATATATATATATATATTTATTTATTTATTTATTTTTACAGAACGTTCTCTAGTCCCAAACTAAGCCACGCTTGTACTATGGGTGCCAGATAAATGAGAAACATACTTTTTGTTTGTAAATAAATACGTATACATACACAGCATGTCGTTACCATCGCGACAATAAATGAACACACATATAGGGGATAACTTTTTAAAGTTGTATTAAACATTTAAATTCTTTAGACATCAATATTTACACAGTTATTAAATTTTCCAAAACAAAGAATTTTAGAACATCCTTAACTACAAAAGCGTAACGTAAAGTTCATTTGTAAAGGTCACAAAGCATATGAATGGGTTGAATGAATTTAAAAGAGACAAAACGTACTGTTAGAAGGAGAGGCTTGTAATTCGACGCTGTGGCGCGAATTGTATAGGATGTTACAAATTTTGTTTCTGTTTTTACTTAATTAGTTTGTTTGAAAAATATTTTTTATAAATTATGGATTTAGTTTAACGTTAATATTTTTTTATGATTATTGGCAAGTAGCGTTAGACGTGTGTTCATTTATTGTCGCGATGGTAACGACACGCTGTATATATTGTTATAAGATAGGATGGTGGTAGCACACCGCGACCACCTATAAACGGAGCGGCGCTCGCCGTGTCAAGAGACTTTCTCGTCAGCCGTTGTAGAGTGCGGAAGCTCTACCCGAATTAATAAAGATTGTGTCGGCTACTTAGAATCATAGTCAAACTTCTATGTAGTTTGGCCTACAGGCCACCAAATTCTTTTTAAAAAATCAATCATCGTATCTATTTCCTAACAATATATATATTTTTTTAAATACTTTTAGGACACATTTTTACAGAACGTTCTCTAGTCCTAAACTAAGCAACGTTGGACTATGGGTACCAGTTTAACATACTTTTTTTTGTTGTAAATGAATACATATTATACATATATAAACACCCAGACACTAGAAAAACACAATGTTCATCACACAATATTTTTCAAGTTGTGGGGATCGAACCCACACCCTCTGGCGCAGGAAGCAGGTGCACTACCCATTGCGCCACTCGGATCGTCGATTTGTGGCGAGACCACGCAACAGTCTTCGCTGTTGCACAAATGGGCAGGTCCATTGGGGTACGTACCACGACCTCGCAGAAAACCGGCGTGAAGTGCACGTGTTACACTTCTGCGTTTCGTCTAGCGAGTGTGGTGGCTGGAACCCACTTTATTGAGAGGTGGCAACGCGTCTGCAACCACCGCAACAGGCGAACCGCCACCGTTCGCCACCTTCTGCCATTAAAAATGTAGTAGCGGCACCTTTGATGTCGATCTCGGAGTACATGTTGCGCAGGTCGTGCATGACGCAGTCCAGGTAGAGCTCGCCGGTGCCCAGCACCACGTGCTCGCCGCTCTCCTCCACTCGCGTCGACAGCAGCGGGTACGACTTGTTCACCTGCGATCGGGTAAGTCAGTCACACTTCGAACATCTCAGCCATTATAGATTTTCTATATGACTCGAGGAGTTCCCCCATGTCATTGTATCTCCGGGGATACCACGGACCAAAATAAATAGACTTAATATGGGATCACAAGGGAGCTAAACCGATCCCAACGCAGAAAGAAATTTAAAAATCGTTTCACATATGACGGAGTTCTGAGTTAACAAACATAAAAAAACATACAAGTGATGATTCTCCTTTTTCAAAGTCTGTTGGAAAAAAATAACTACCGTCTCTTCAAACAACGCTAAGAGGGACTAACGTTTTACGCTGTGCTAGTGCCACGCAACAGTTCGCTGTTGCATGAATGGGCAGGTCAGTTCGAGCACCACAAATATCAAATATCTTTATTCGAATTCTCTCAGAAGACCGGCGTAAAGTGATGTACTTCTAATGATGTGCGAGTTAGCCGGCGGCCGACTTTTTCGAGAGGTGTCAACGCAGCCGCAACCCAGCGGGTGTTGCAAATTGAATATGTCCAACGGCAGCGGTTGTCACTCAACATGAGGTGCAACCGCCAGCTCGTTCGCCACCATCTCACATAAAAAAAGCTGGTCACCTTGCGCAGGCCGTCCAGCATCTTGGGCAGCTCCGAGGGGTTGACCGGCTCCACGGCGATCTTGACCACGGCGTGCGTGTTGAAGCGCAGCGGCCTGAAGGTGTGCAGCTCGGCCTCCTCGTGGGCGGCCACCAGCGTGCAAGTCTTCACGATCGGCTGGTCGATGCCCTCAATCAGCGCCCAGCAGCCGGCCGGGACCCGGTTCAGCTCCACCTGCGCCGACGTTATACACAACGTATACGGGGTGATTTTTGGACGAAGTACACACTTTGACATAATGTTAATTGAGCATTCCATGATTCAAAAAGAAATATAATTATTAAGGAATAATTAGTAAAATATCAATTCAAATATTGTTTGTTTACCCTGTTGAGGGTGGTCACACTATTGATAAGCGGTTTAGTAATTATGCGTTCAGCGAAAAGTTTTAGTGCTCGTGAATAGGTTATTGTATTGAGACGGTAAGGCAGGAATTTATTAAGGTGTTATAACGTTTGAAAAAATAAGGTCACAAGATCGTACCAGATTCAGATTTAGAATCAAATTCTGCATATGCCCTGTTAATATGTCCGTCGTCTATAAAATCAACCTTCTATACAACGTGGCGCTACTACCGCGACCATAAATCAACACACATATAGAGGATGACTTTTTAAAATTGTACTAAACATTTACTTTCTTTTTAAACATCCATATTTACCGAGTTATTAAATTTTCCAAAACAAATAATTTTGGAACAGCCCCTACGAATGAAACTGTTAACGTAAAGTTCATTTGTAAGGGTCATAAAGTGATATTAATTGGTTGAATGAATATAAAAGAGATAAAACATACTGTTAGAAAGTTTCTGAATGTAATCAGTCAGTTGTAGTTGTATAGGATGTTAAAAATTTTGTTTCTTTTTGTATTCAATAAGTTTGTTTGATTTTTTTTTTAATTATGGATTTTCTACATTTATATTTTTTTATAATTTTTAACAAGTAGCATTAAGTATCGCGGTTGTAGCAACATGCTGTATATGTATATTTTTTAAATTGCCCTTTGCCATTGCCCCTACTACAGGTTAACCTTATCATTTTACAAACGTAAAGTTCACGTGGCCAATTGTTTGTGGGTCACACAAATAACGGAAATAAATAAGGGGCACAGAGCCATTGATGTGTCATCTTTATTAGAACATGACTGCACTCTCACCTTGTACCTGGCCTCGTGCAGCCACAGGCGGCCCACATTCATCAGCCTCGAGTCCTCCTCATCCTGGGCGCTGTAGTTCTCGCCCAGAACGCGCACCGTCTGTCCAGCGTACAGCGTGCCCGACATTATCCGTGCCAGCACCTGCCAATGGAGAGAGAAAAGAAATTTATTTCATTACTTAAAGGTATGCTCAACATTTCAATTTGAAACTTAAAATCACCTACGAAATTATACAGATAAGAAAATCTAATATTAACACAAAGAAGCTAGTCATTTATTTATTTATCACCAACAAAGTACACACAGAATCAGAAGAAAAAAGAAAATTAATCAAAGAAAGCAATAATATTAAACATCAAAATTAAAATTACAATAAAAGAAGAATATTAAGCAGAAAAAAGATTCCTTTTGAATTGTTTATCAATTACTTTACAGATCAATTTTATATTGAACAACAGTTGTTCAATTTCATCACGAAAACTGTTGTGTACAGGTATCCTTAACATGCCACACTGACCAGGAAGAAGGTGCAGTCGTCTGTGGGGTACATCTTCGTGGTGTGTGCGACCAGCGGGCCGTTCTGGTCGCAGGTGAGCATGCTCTCGCGCAGGGGGCCCGTAGTGCCCCGGTAGCAGTGGGCCACCTTCCGCTCGGCCGCGTCCAGAGGCGACGGGATATTGCGGGTCACCATCTCCACAAAACCGCTGGGGAGGCAAGGTAAAATATTATAAAATACAAGCGGTATCAGTTTCAAAGTTATCATCATTAACTTCTATAATAGTTATGCGTAAGTATGACCCATGTACACATTAGTGTAATAATTATAGTAGCCGTTTAACCAGTGCTTTATTAAATTTAACATATTTCACAAGAGTTTGACATATTCAATGTGAGAACAAGTTTAATTAACCCCTGACTATGGAGGGTAGAGGTAAGGAGTGACATTCTCGGTGTTAAAATCAAAATTTCTTTATTCAAAATTGGTATATAACTCTATTAAAAGTCGTAAAACTAGCCACCTTTTAATAGCAATGTATTAAAAAGTATCCGTCAGAACGCCTTCAAAAGGGTGGCGCTGCGGTACCGTATATAAAATTTTAAAGAAACTGCGAAAAGTAATTAGATAGAGAAATAAACAAGAACCCACAAGTTAGGGCTTGGTTTTGGCACTGTCCAACCAAGGACTCATATTATTATTTATTATTAATGCTTTTTTCACAAATGATGAAATATAATATGATAAAGGGAAAACCTTTATGATTTTGTGCATAATTAAGAGTTAAAATTAAAAGAGATTCGTTTTAAAAACTCAAGTTAACAATTTTTTTGAAAAATGCGCCAACAAAACTAACCGCACAGTTAGGCTAGGTTAACTAATCATATTTAAAAGGAAAAGCCAACACACCAAAAGTCTCCGAAGAACCGGCTGCAGACTAGCCTCAACAACGGTCGAACGTTTAGCTTCGCTTCTTGCTTAGTCAATTTGATACCCAATTCTTCAAGCACAGCCGGTAAAGTGTCGTCCACATCACCAACAACCTATAGTAAAAAAAACAACAACATATTTAGATATGGGTTTTAGTTTAATGACCACAACACTAATTACTATTACTGTGTACTAGTGGAGGCCCATACATAAATCTTTTACGTTCGTTACTCTAATGGACGAAACATTTCTGTATAACTCAGCTATGGTAGGGAAAATTAATTTTCTCAATACATTGCCGACATTAAACATCAATATTATTTACATCTTTTAAACAATTGCTAATTACAGAATCAGCTAAAGCTTGTCAGAATCTAAACAGTAAAATAGAACAGAAAATGGTTTGTTAAGGACCCAATTAGAAGCCAGACGTTGAGACACTGAAACTGGCACATCGGAGCGAGTGGAATACCTGAGCGAATATCTTATACAGGGGCTCCAGGATGAACTCGACGAAGCTCCTCTGGGCGGACGCGTGCGGGGACTTCTTCGTGAACCTCCTGGTCTTCGCGTTGAAGAACACGTCGCCCCACAGCCAGGCGGCCATGTCTGAAGCCCGGAGACCAGACTCCGAGTGGGCGGTAGCGTACATGGCCGCGAACGACTCCAGTGTGAAACACACGTCGTACAGTGACGACGCGAAGCAGACATTGCCTGATAACGGGGAACGCTTTGGTTGGTACTCCTGATATAATAGATGCAACTACTCGGAGCAATTATTCATGTGCCGAATTGCTCCTTCGTCTATATTTGTCAAACCCCTTAGTACATATAATAACTAATAGACAATGGCCTTATCTAGACTGGCCACAAGCCCCCAAAGCGGTTCACATATCCTCAAAATATTATATTTACTATTTTTTTTTATTTATTTAATGGATGCAGTCTTGCCACACATACAATTTGCGAATGGCAAAGTATATGGTTAGGATGGTGGCTTTTAAATAATAATAATTACAGGTTTTCATATACAGCGTGTCGTTACCATCGCGACAATAAATGAACACACGTCTAACGCTACTTGCGAGTAATCATAAAAAAATATTAAGGTTAAACAAAATCCATAATTAAAAAAAAATTGCAAACAAACTAATTAAGTAAAAAAGGAACAAAATTTGTAACACATGTGTGTTGTCACAGCGTCGTATTACAAGCCTCTCCTTCTAATGTTTTGTCTCTTTTAAATTCATTCAACCCATTCATGTGCTTTGTGACCTTTACAGATGAACTTTACGTTACGCTTTTATAGGTAAGGGTGTTCTAAAATTCTTTGTTTTGGAAAATTTAATAACTCTGTAAATATTGATGTTTAATACAAGTTTAAAAAGTTATCCCCTATATGCGTGTTCATTTATTGTCGCAATGGTAACGACACGCTGTATATGCATATTAGGGTGTATGTTTATTTTTATTGTACAATGTTTATACTTACTGGCATCAAAAAAAAGCCTATGCTATCTAGTTTAATAATGAATAAATAACATATGCGGTATGATATAAAAATGTTTGTAAAAGCTTGTTACAAAAAATATTTAAATAAAATTTAACAAATATTCTCTACTTTAATATTTATTTCTATGTTTTGGATAAATAGTTGAACTTTAGGTAACTGTATTAACATTAACTTAATAATCCTAGCATTATACACACCTGATTAAGCCATTAATAAATATATTTAATTTATTACCTAACAATGGCGAGAATATAACAGGCGGTTCATCCGGGTTGTCTTGGGGCTGGTTTGTCTCCACCAAGGAGTTCAATTCATCTACAATGTGGCGCAATTTGTAGTAAGCGTCCGCGGGAGGGAGCTTCAGCTCAAGTATCAGACGGTCGATTTTATTGATGCAAACTGTGAGAGGTACCCGCTCTTGCACAGCATGGCGGAGAAGGCGCTCTGTGTTTAGCATGATGCCTTCAGCGGCATCAACGAACAGCACAGCTCCTGTTGGAACGAAATGTTAATGTATATGATAATGGTAATTTGACTATGGTAAGGCCATATATACCATATAGAAGTCTTTGTTCTTGCAGTGATACATAGGTCGCTGAAGAATGTGTTGTATATGTACCACTTTAACCTTATGAAGAGAAATCATTTTATTTTAATGTAAATATATCTTTCCTACTTACCATCTGATATCCTCAATGCTGCAGTGACCTCATCACTAAAATTGACATGTCCAGGTGTGTCCATTATGTTGAGTAAGTGTGATTTCCCTTTGATGTTTTTCAACAAGAGCGTTACTGGCATGGACTTAATAGAAACACCCCTCTCTTGCTCCACAAACAATGTGTCTGTATATCTCATTGGAATTGTTGTTTCATTGTTTATTGTACTGGGATGTGTCTGTCTGATTAAACAATCAACAAATGATGTCTTCCCTGTGAAAAAGGAGTAAACAAAAAACTAAGATAAATGAAACATGATTAAGTTCAAATTTAAATTATATGAAAAGTTAAGAAATAAATGAATTAAAGTTTTATAAATCTTATTTGCTTTGAAATAAACTTCTATTATTATTCAGCAAGATGTGCTCAGTTAATTTTTATGTCACTGTCGAAGGAAGGTATTCTTTAGAGTGCATTTCTAAATATTGGGAAACTCTACAGTCTGATGGTACTCAAAAACAAAGTAAAAAACTGGGAACAAATATGGGACACATTGGTTTGGAACTTCTAATCTAACACAGCAGGGGTAACACATACAAGGTAATTGGTTTCGGTTTGTACTACTGTATCACAAATACAGTTTTTTTTAAACATAAAACAATTGGAATAATAAGCAAAAAATCTTTTGGTTGTACAATAATATGTATAAAAAAAACAATTATTATTAAAGTACTAGTAATAAAATTTAATAATAATGCAATAATGCATTACCATTATGTAAGTGCCCCATTAGAGTAACATTCCTCATCAAATTTGTGTTGTCCAACATGTCAGCCATATATTCCATGTCATATGTGGTCTCGGGCAACTGCTGCTCTTGTAATTGAAACTTCTTATGCTTTACAGGCTCAACAAGTGGCTTGTCTAAGGCTTGTGTGTCTTCTTCTTGCACTACTGTCTCCACATCTGGCCCATAGACTTCTATAGCTTGAGGATAGTATCTGAAAAATAAGAAGATTTTTTTAAATAATGACCTAATGACCTACTAAATTTTGAAAAATTAAATTTACATGATAGCTATAGTAATACACTGTATAATTTTAATTTACTAGTGCTGCAATAACAGTCATGTGGAGAATACAGAGGACAATTTTAATGTTTACCATTTTTCCTATCGAAATTAATCACAATATTTTGAATTTTATGAAATTCCAGCATAACTATGCCGGAACTCGATTCAAGAACTTTACAACCATCAACATGTTTAGTAGTACACGGCAAAATATGCCTCTTATTATGAAACAGAAAATAAAATACCTTTTATCTTCGTGCAGAACAACGGACATGGGCGCAGCCTCAGGTTCGACGTCGGCGTCCTCGTCTTCTTCCATCGCATCTTCGTCAGCGTCGCGGTTGTCTTGCCCATAAACGCTTTGTTCATCGTCTGAATCAGATTCCAGATCAGGACCGATATAGTTACCAAATTCATCATACAGGTCCCCGTCCATTTTTATTTAATCACAAAATTTTTTTGGCACTTACTGTTAACTTAACTAAAACAACAAAACCACACAACATGAAAACACCGCCTTGACAATTGACAGATAACCTCAACAGCAACAAAAAGATGATTGGTTATTGATTTTTTTTTTGCAATTTATGGCCTGGTATCAAGGACCTTTAAGCCAATGGTAATTGTCTGATTCCTAAATAACACAGTATATATAATATACTAAGCTTACAATCAATCGCCTTTTGTCTGTTTATAATTATTAAAATAGTAGTCAAGCCTGGTTTTAATAGTTGTATATTATTTGGCGCTGAGAAGTGCCCTTTTTGTTGTTAGGGCTCTAAATAGTGCCGTTCATTATTTTTTGAGCGCTCCGTACCCAAGGGTAAAACGGGACCCTAAATGACTAAGACTCCGTTGTCTGTCTGTCTGTCTGTCAACAGGCTGTATCTCATGAACCGTGATGATAGTTAGGCAGCTGAAATTTTCACAGGTGATGTATTTCTGTTGCCGCTATAACTACATATACTAAAAAACGGAATAAAAAAAAAATTATTGGGGCTCCAAAAAACAGACATGATTTTTTTTGCCGTTTTTTATAGATAATGGTATGGAACCCTTCGTGTGCGAGTCTGACTCACAGTCCGTTTTTAGCCTCCTGCACCTACGAAGACCTGAAACCCTTGAAGCCAACTCTGTAGCGGTGGATGTGGCCAAGTACTGGTCGAACGAGATTTAAATAGCAATTTTGACTCAAAAAGAAGGATTATTGAAATAGATAAGTTTCCTTCACAGTCTCAATAATTAAAATCACGATAATTTGGTAAAAAACTAAATAATTATACCTTCAAATATCTAATAACCAAAATAATATTCATAAAAAGATTGTTATCAAATGCGTTTGTTGGAACATAATATGAACAGATTATAAATAAAGATTTTCCTGAAAGTCAGTATTTATAATCTGTATCTCAATCTTTTCAATACAAAAATGGCTGCAGTGCTACAAAATTTATCAAAAATGGTCTCGGCACAGCTTCGTAACAAAGCAAATGAGTTTTTAAACTCTAGAAAACATGCTAACAATCTGGCTGATATCTTACAAATGTTTGATGTGAGTATAAAGAATGTTATTCACTGCTATAAAATTTTAAGAACTACGTCTTAGGTTACGTCTTCGGGTTACTCGTTTACTTGTCGGTATTTCAGGCTGAAACTGATAATTATACGCCACTATTGCTGACTATAGAAGTAATATTCACCGAATTGCTAAAAAGGGGCGACCTGGTGCAAGAAATCATCCCATTAAAACCAATTGGTAAGTGTTAGGTCTATACAAATATGTCGATCGTTATATTATTGATTTTGCGTGTTTAATGCGCGTCGGTGACGCCTTTACAACCTATTTTACGTCACTAAATTCTAGCGTATAATTAGGTTCGTTATCTGAAACTCTCGTGGTATGTTTTTATATAAAATCTAATAACATGTGATATAAAATCACTACAATCATCATCAAAATATAATCTTAAGATTTATTTGACATTCTAATGAAAGAGATTTAATGGCAGAACGGTGTTCATCTTTTCTAGAATATAGCTTGTGTAAAATCTTTATATGTAAAATTTAATAAAAAAATATGAAAACATATTATATTTGTAACCATTTCTGTATTTATGAATTTCATTTTTATATCACCAATTCTAAAGTTATATAAATATCAAAAGTATTTTAATGCATTTAATTTACAAGTGATACTTTGCTTGTCAGTCAATTTGTTTTGTTAAGTTTCTCTTAGGTATTGAAAAAAAATGATGTATGGATATTTAATAAACTTTAACTTATTCACCCAAAGAACACAGTCCTGAATCTGAATATACAAGATGGCTGCATGAATGCTATGAAGCAGCACTTGCTCGGTGTCTGGAATGCATCCGGAGAGGCCGTACCAGTTCCCGTTTGCAAGCTCTTGTTACTGCTTGCAAGCTGCTCCAGGCTGAGGGTCGTCACCCATTGGAGACTGCTAATGGATATTACTTTCCATCTGTACGTCTGAAGGTAAGAATAAAGGAAAATAGTTTTTCTCAATTTAGAATATTTTTCCAAAAATTTAGTGTAATTCTTAATGTAGACAATTGAAGTCCTCCATCTAAACTAAATACATAATTTTTAATCTCCATTTTTTTTTTTCTCCAGAATATATTCAATGTGTTACTGGATTCAGAAATATCAATGTCAGCACCCATTGCCCGGTTCCAAGAGTTCACTGAGTACAAAGATGTACAGCAATACGGCCTCAAGGTTCTTGCAACAATGGGTTACAAAAAGTGAGTTTCTTTTTCAACTTTTATGTAAAATGTGTATTGTTAAACTCCACAATTTTGAAGAGCAAGTTTTCAAATTTCTATGTGTGTTTAGAACACCATCAACAATCTACATGCAGAACTATTTGGAGCTGATGGACAAGCTACTTGCAACTGAAATTCCCACTGAATACAAGAACAAAGCAAAAGACAGGGAAGAGGAGAAAGAAGAAAAGGTGTTGTGTGCAGCAGAAGGTAATTTAAAACATTTTGCATTACATTCCTTCCTGTGAAACTGTAACTTAAACTTTTTCAATCTATTGAATAGCTCTCTAGTTAAATATTTAATTAAACTGTTTAAATGTAAACTTTCTATTACTCACTACCAAATACTTTAGTATTTTATTGCACTACAATACTGATTTGAATCAAAACACTTAAAAGTCAAAAGTGCAACTAAATCTTATTTCATTTTATGGCTGTTTATAAAATTTTGGGTATATGTATATCAATTTCAGCCCGGCCATTCACTCACGCTTTAAATTGTAAATTTTTGTAGATAAATGTACATAAACTTGCGGTGCTGCGAGATTTGAACCTTCTGGTTTTGCGCCCAGACTCTTTACCAACTAGGCTAAGCGGCCGATGACCACACGGCGTGAAAATCTTGATATCTATCTACTTTTGTTCTATTGCATTTTTAGCAATGCTTTGTGTAGAACACCTTACAAATAACATGCATAATGGATATTTTGTAACGAGAGATGCCACCATTGCTCTTGCTCGAGCGCTGAGACCAGAACTAAAAATTAAAATTAATCTTAAAAAATTGCAATCGACAATCAAAATGATATCTGCATTTGAACTCTGGTTGATTGAGTACTTTTTACTTTACTTTACCACATACTAGGATACTTACTAACGGGATCATTGTCCAAAAATGATAACTTTCTATTCCTCTGTACATATTCTTAGTAATAACTGAATGTTTTCAAAACTCCATTATTTAAATTGGCTGTGCTATAAGCTTAATTTTGTAAATCCTCCAACAACAATAAAATCATAATAGATCAGATATAAATATCTATAATTATGTTAGATTTATCTACAATATATCTACAAAATAGATTTTATCTACAAAATATTTATTTTTCATGTTTTCATAGTCATTTGATACTTATTTGAAATCCCTACCTACCCCTAATTAGTAACACTTTTTTTTTTGACGTGGGAAAAATCTTTTGATGCCCCGCCATTGAATACGACAGGGTAACTTCATCTTGAACATTTAATGTGACGACGATTACATTTTTCGAAACGTGACTGTTCCTTTCAAAAATGGCCAAGACACATCTATTTATCATCCATAGACATAACAGGTCAAATATCTTTTTTATATGTTTTAGTTTTATTTCCCTGTATTACAATTATTAATTATACTATTGATTGTGCAGTGGACGGAATCAGAACATAATTAATTATTAAAAATTTGTTGATATTAGACAATTTTGTTTATACATATTTATATTTTATTAGACACTACCGACCCGCCCCGGCTATGCACGGGTGTAATGTATTATACATGTAAACCTTCCTCTTGAATCCCTCTATCTCGTAAAAGAACAACATCGAGATGGTGTTAGTGTAGTGTAGTAGGCAGGTTCCTGTTTTGTAAGTAGAATCCTACACACACTTCTCGCCACAGAGGCGGCATCGTTTCATTTATTAACTGTGTGCTTGTTGCAATAGGCGACAGCTCGGTACCCACCCTAGCGGCCGCTGAAAACGCGAATGCCGATGGCTTCACCGTCGTTAAATCGCGTAAAAAGGGCAAGAAACGCCCTGCTACCGACAGCGACCCCGAATGCGAGGCCGCCTCAACGATCCGTCCCACCCATCGTGACGCCCGCTGAAAAGGCGGCCGCGGCGGCTAAACCGATGCCCGAATTCGCCTCCGAGCGAAAAATAAAGCCTCCTCCACCCATCATCATTCAGGAGAAGGCTAAGTGGCACCAAATTTGTTCGTGGTTTGAACGCCACGATATCCGCGACCCCCGTTCGAAAAACACGCACATGGGTATCCGCGTATACCTTGACACTACGTATGACTTCCGCCGCGTGACTAAGTACTTGCGCGAAAACAAGATAGGTTTCCACACCTACTCGTTGCCCGAAGAAAGAAAACTTCGGATAGTAATCAAGGGCGTCCCCAAACAGTCTGATGTCGACAAGGCGAAGACCGACATCCGCACTCAGGGATACCCTGTGCATACCGTACGGCGCCTCAGGCACCCCAGAATCCGTGTCCCTATGGACATGGTGATGGTTGAACTTGACCCTACCCCGGAAGGTAAGGCCATCTTCAACCTGAAGAGGGTCTGTGGGCTCGGCGACCTCGCGATCGAGCCCCCGCGTAGGTCAGGAGTTGTGGCGCAGTGCCACAACTGCCAACACTATGGCCACACGGCTAATAATTGCTTCGCTCACCCTAGGTGCGTCAAATGCACCGGTGACCACGGCACGCCCGACTGTACGCGGCCGAAAGATTGCGCAGATCCACCAACTTTAGCCCAATCGCAGCCCGCCGAAAGCAAAAACATCAGTTAATACAAGATACAAGAACATCGAGATCCGTTGCTTAGTTTTAAAGATCTAAGCATACAAATAGCAGACAAATGATAGGGCAAATAGAGACCAGGACAACTTTGTTTTATACTATGTAGTGATTAACAATATTTGCATTCTAGTTATTTTCAATTATTGTCTTTTTCAACTCGTAAACATTTAATGTACTATAATTATTATACATTTAATGTACTATTATATATTATACATTTAATGTAATATAAAGGTACGAAAGATACCAACTGTTTAATTTTATTATGACACTGCGTTAAAAACTCTTTAATACGGTGGTAGGGCCACGCAGCAGCCTCGGCTGTTGCACGAATGGGCAGGCCCGTCCGGGTAAGTACCACGACCTCACAGAAGACCGGCGTAAAGTGGAAGTATGACAAATACTTTCGCGTTTCGTCTGGTGAGTGAGGTAGCCGGAGCCCAATTTTCAAAGGTTGTCAACGCATCTGTAACCCTCGAGTGTAGCAGATGTCCATGGGCGGCGGTATTCACTTAACATCAGGTGAACCGTCTGCTCGTTTGACAACTTTTTCGCAAAAAAAAAAAAAAAAAAAAAAACTAAAGGTTGTGAATAAAAAGAACAAAAGGTGTTCTTTCAGTTTTGTCTGTAAATAGGTATTACATATAACATTTAATGATTTTTTTCCGTCCTATATGGCATAATAAATCCCGTCAAAGACAAGACTACCCGCCTAGTTATTAATAAATTGTCTTTGTTTGTTCACATCTTCGTACTGCAAGAGCGAAGGCCGATTTTTTTTAGTTTTTATTCAAAAATAAAATTCCGCACTTGATAATTCGTAGAGTTTAGGACCCGATAATGTGTTATACAATTTGCCTATCAGCAATGTGATATACAACATATTTACACTACGTAATTTTAAAAAGGAAACTAGAGAAATGACGATTTAAGATAATTCTAGACTATTATATGAAACTGACATAAATTTATCATGGCTAGAGTGAAATGAAACTGAGTTTGAAATATAATAAAACTACATGTACCCTGTAGTTGTTACTAAACAGAAAATTGTATTCGATGATTTGTTTAAATAGGGAAAGTGAGCCTCCCCCTTCCTCTTCCGATATGTTCTAGACATGTGACAAGTAATTTTCGATTGTGACGCAGGGAGGCCGAGCTTCGTGTACCACGCGACTATATGCCGGCGCCAGGCGAACCGCTGCTGGGGCTTCGCCTGCCAGTGGGCGCTCTGCGAGGAGCCCCGCGCACACCGGCGCGCCCTCCTGCTCCTCGTGGAGCGATTGATGCCGCTCCTGTCGCGGCCCCATCTCGCCACCGACATGCTCTGCGACAGCCTTGACGCGGGTGAGGAATTCTTTTTATATTCCAGTCTTAAGCAACGGCATCAGCTGTCGCAGGAACTGGCAGGCTCAACCGGACAAGTACCACGGCCTCACAGAAGACAAGCGTGTAGTGGAAGTGTTATACTTTCGCGTTTCGTTTGGTGAGTGATGTAAAAGTTGTCTAAACATCTAAAAAGGCCCTCAGGTCCACATCAGTTGAACCACCTGCTCGCTTGACAACTTTGAAATAAAAAAAATAATTTGACTCTTACTTAATTAACTCTTCATGTGAAAGTGTCCAAGTAACAGTTTACTTATCAGTAACATAATAAACTTATTATACACACATGTTTCAGATATGTATATGAATTATTTTACTACTGCTAGGCGGCTAGGCTATACAGACCACAGAGATTATTAGGTTATAGTTCATTATTGGGCCAAGTGCGGAGTTATCTGTATTTACTATATATACTGTGCCTCTCTTTTAATATACAGGTTACATTCCGTTTTCCTACAAATGAGTACATGCACGTAAGTTGGTATTTGAAACAACAACAAACTGAAACATGAATGTGGGTTCATTTGAATAGACTAAATATATATGCATGTGCCCTGCTTTCGCCAGTAGCTTTTGTTCCTAGTTCCACTTTGTTCATGTAACAGGTGGCCCCATAAGCATGCTGGCACTGCAGGGAGTGCTGGAGCTGGTGCGGCGGCACAACATCGACTACCCGGACATGTACGACCGCCTCTACGCCATGTTCGAACCGGAGATGTTCGCCACGCGCTACAAACGCCGTCTGATCCACCTCGCAGACATATTCCTAAGCTCCACGTGAGTATTCAGTTCTATCTTCGTGGTAACTTGCCTACGTATTAATTTTTATGTTAAATTTTTACGTTTCATAAGAACGCGCAAGCGTGTATGTGAATAAAGATATTTTGATAAAGATACTTTTGCAAGTCATTTCAGGTCAAGTGCAGCTTATGTATTACTGTTGTTTGTTTTGTTCATAAAGAGAGATTAGTACCTTTTTAAATGGTTGTGAGTAGATTAGATTATATAACTAAAGCTGTCCTAAGACATCATTCTGTTAATATGTCATTGCTCTAAATTAAGTGTTGTGTAAATATGCTCAGGGATACACGTTAACAATGCTAAATCACATTTAATTGGCCCTTTTCTATTTTTAACATGAATAAATAAATTTATATTTGCGCCCCCTCCATTCAAATCTTCTAATCTGTTAAATATTGTTTTTTTTTTTGCAGTCATTTGCCCGAGGGTCTGGTAGCGGCGTTCGCTAAGCGCTTGTCCCGACTGGCACTGGTCGCATCACCGGAGGATGCCATCTCCCTCCTGCAGTTGGTCGCTAATCTGCTTCTGCGGCACCCAGCGCTCAAACGCATGATCTGCTACGAGGACACTCCCGCCATAAGTGAGTGGAACGGTTATTAAATTGATGCAGCTGATTTGCTTATTTCTTACGCTAAGGCCACTCGATTACTGTTGGATAGATCCTGTTAAGAAGTCATCGGATTAACAGGGTAAATTGAAAAATTATGTGTGACACGAATTTCTGCTTACAATCAGATTCAACGAAAGTGTAAATGAACAAATCAAATTTAAACTAATCATGAATAATGTCCTTATAAATGGCCATTCAAATAAGATTTGTTATTTTCTCAAAAATACTTGATATATTTATGCATACAGCAATTGTTGCTGTCTTACATAATAATGTGGATGTGTTATTTGCTCTAACCCACAAAATAACGACTTCACCGGAGCCAAACAATATTTTGTAGTATGCAGACACTTTAGACATTTAAGACGTTTATTGAAGATTGCGACTTACACATAATGTAATTGCTACTCACACATCTAGTTATACTTTACATAGGTACTTCAATTTGAGTACTAAAAGAAACTACTAAAAGTGTAGATCAGTGTTTCTCACTTTTTCGTGTACCGCCCACTTGAGCAAAAATTGAATACCCAACGGCCCATAGAAACTATTCCATTTATTATCTAAAGTTTCAATCGCCTCATCAGACAGTCTCACCGCCCACTTTGAGAACCATTTGTGCGGACCTTAGGAAGGTGCAAACGAATTTTTAAAAACTGCCTGTGGCCTCCTATTAACCCGTCCTTCTTAAACCGCCCGCGCAGTGTCGGCGGACCCGTACGTGATGGAGGAGACCAGCGCGGTGGGGGCGCGCGCGCTAGGCTCGTCGCTGTGGGAGGTGAGCGCGCTGCGGCGGCACGTGGCGCCCGCGGTGGCGTCTGCGGCCGCGCGCGTCCTCGCCGCGGCGGACCAGCGCGCCGCGCCGCTCGCCCTCGCGCCGCCCGACGCCGCGGTACGCACCGCACACGCACACTGCGCTACGAATGCGGACGCGCACGCACACAAACACCTCGCCGCCTGACGCGGTGCTAGGCACTACGCACACATGCACACAAAGACAGCGCCACCCGACGCGGCGGTACGCACCACACTGACACGTCCACTGCATTACGTTTGAGCACGCGCACACACACCGACCTCGCCGCCTGACGCGGTGGTTTACAATACATACAACTCGCGCGCACACACAAAGACAAGTCCACCAGACGCATTGGTACGCACCCGCCGCACGCTCACAAATACCTCAAAGTCAAATGTCTTTATTCAATATAGAAGCATTCACTTACTTATTGATAGTCAAAAAACTCTACCACCGGTTCGGAAGGAAAGCCACTGACCTGAGAAGAACCGGCGTAAGAAATTCAGCGGGACATTTTTCTTTTTTACTTGCCAAAAAAATTACAAATATGTGTACAATTATTAAATTCCACTTGAAAGAGCCTGGAGCGATCAATTCATTTCCAGAGTGTGTTATCATTCAGATAATCACTAATACTATAATAGCCATTAACACACAAATGTTCCTTTACAAGTTTTTTGAATTTAGCAACGGATTCATTTTGAACGTTTTCTGGAATTTTGTTGTAAAAGCGTATACATTGTCCCATAAAAGATTTACTTATTCTATACAATCTAGTTGAGGGTAGAACTAATTTATGCTTGTTCCTTGTATTTACATCATGCACATTACTAAATCTTGAAAAGTCATTCTTATTTTTGTGGACATACATAACATTAGCAAGTATGTACTGAGAAGCTACAGTAATTTTTTTTTATTTCTTTAAACAGGTTTCTTAATGAATCTTTGGAGCCCAGGTTATAAACCGCTCGAATAGCTCTCTTTTGCAGGATGAAAATAGTATTTATGTCGGCTGCATTTCCCCAAAGTAGAATGCCATAAGACATTATACCTCGCCGACTAACGCGGTTATATGCACTACGCATACGCGCTCACGGCGCTACAGGCGCGGACACGCATGCGCACGCACACAGGGATAGCAGCGCTAGCCCTCGCGCCACACGATATAGTATTCTCTACTATTCACATATTGTTGGATCCTGAATAAAAATGAGCCATTCAACGTTATATGAATTCATTATTACAGAAAATCCTCGTCTGGCAATTGGCCGTTTAGATTAGTTGTTAAAGCTTTTGGACGCGATTACATAAGCGGGTTCAATTCTCGTGGCGGCGAAATAGTCTGTATATTTATCGTCCATTGTGGTACAAATTAAAGAAACCAACAAAAATTTAATTGCAAAATATTCTTTTGACAGTAAGAATATTTAGATACAAAATTTATCATTCTGCTTAGATGATGTTTTAAAATTTAACATTTCACGCGTGTACACGGACAGATGTTCGACGCCGAGCTGAAGAAGCGCTTCAAGACGATAGAGATGAACTTCATGCGACCGCAGGGCCTCGCGCTGCCGGTCGCCGCCGAGCGCGTCGCCCACTACTGGCAGCTGACCGCCTGAATCGCGTCACGTCACGTCACGCGCGTCACGTCATGACACGTCGCGCTGCGTCACACCTGGACACGCCACTACTAGGCGCAGTGCGATTGATTGAATTACACGTTCTCAGTTGTAATTTAAAATTTTAACGTTTGTAATGTAATCGAAATTTGTTTTCTTAATACTTTCATCTATGACAATTTCATATGTACGATATCGTTACAAGCGCGTTGATTTATCGATTTTCTTGAGACACCGAGATGTGGTTATTTGGAAAGTCGTTGTTGTTTTTTTTTATTATTATTCTATTGACTTTTAAACAGCCGGAGGTATTTTTCTGCTTTTTAGATAACTCTGTTTCGGATCTGTTGTTGCAAATTATCCATGTTGATTCATTCACCAGTTCGAATTTTATTTTGTTTCTTTATACTCGATTTCGTTACCTTTGAGGACAAACAGACCGGTAGAATATATAATTGTAGATCCCTCAAAATTAAATGATCGACGCATTTTATTGATCACTTAATTTTGACATTACACAAAGAATATTTATGACGGCCCAACGGACTAAATGAAACATTTTATAGCTGTTTATTCAAGAAATCAAGTTTTATTTAAACTTTTGTAGTGTATTTTATAAGGGAACGAATGGCACGTGGTAATTTTATCTCCTCCCAGCCACTAGAGCATTTCTAATCTTCATTAACTTTCTTATTGTATATAAGTGGCGAAACTATTAAACGAAAGTCTAATTTATATTATTAATATTAAGTATTAAATTGAATACATTTTGCACTCTAATGTTAAATGTTTAAAAAAAGCAGTAGGTGATAAAAGTTTGTTGTAGTTTGGTTAATTTTATTTTTTTACGAAGCCAGTGTACAAGTCTGTGATCAGAGGATGTGAGTTTCTTTTTCACACAGTACCATGCAGCACTGCTCCCGGCACGAACCAACAGTATGATAAACCTGATTAAATTACTTTGTATTGGAATTAAACTCTTCATACTTGTCTACATACAGACCAGCTGGGTCCAAGTTTTTCCCACCTGATTTTGAGTTGAGTTGTCTTCATTTTAGATATTTTGTACTTTCTTATAAAACATGTGTTTCAATATTAAAAGTAATTTAACTCAGAGTCTTGGCATTTAATTTGATGTTTGTCTCCAGCCAGCGTTTGGAGCTATTTGATTGAAACCTTTTTTCATCGGTTGCACAATCCGTTAATTAGGGTAATGAAAAATATATAAAATGTCAAAAGTCATTTAAAAGTGAGTGCTGCTTTCAACTTTGTGAAAAAGAAGGGAATGAAATTTTGAAAGTTTCGAAATATTTTCTAAGGAGATACTTATGTCTGCGCGCCTGCTAAAATTGACATTGTATTTAGACGTTTGTTTCCCTCTGGATTATTTGATATTTGTTTGTATAGCGCTTTCTCTGTTTCATTCCATTTGTGAGAGATGCCCTTAACCCGATGCGTTGTTGCATTCGATGTGAACTGAAATTTAATTGACTTCATTTACCTCGGACATGCTTCGGAAGGGACAGAACGCGAGGGATACGGGAACGCCATATTTATTTAACTTGTTATAGTTTTATTGAAACCTCGCAGTCGAGGGTGCGGCGCGACACTTTGAACCCGAATGATCTTTGATTCTTTGTTGTTGCATGCTATCATTATAGCATTGTAATAATTGATGCGTAGATTGTTAAAGTGAGCAGTAATTCGATTTAAATACCGAGCGTTTCGAATATGTCGCCAACAGAACCGATACGTAAATGACAGGTAGCGGAATGACTAGGACATCCTGCGTATCCTTAAGACTTAAGGATACGCAGGATGTCCTCTCTAGGCGTATTACGGCCGGTTTCAATATTCTGTCTGTCTGTAGATTTGTTTACTGAAGATCGAATTTTGATGTAAGTATTATGGGGCTAATGTCTAATAAATATCGATTGTGAAAACGGCCGTTAATGTATGCCTTTATTGGCCTAATATTGTTGGGTTCGTTGCTAGTCCATTGTTCAGGCTTCGGGTGCGTTTGGTTGCCTGCAGCCGAAACAGTGCGATACAAATCGCGCTTTGTTTATATCAATTGTTCTTGTCGTTGCTCGTTCCATAGCACAGCAGCCATATTTAATTATTTATTTATAATTGGAGCATTTCTTGGAAAGACTCGACTACGTGTCGAGGATAGAATCTCAGGATCGTTGAGGAACGCCGAAGAGCCGTTGACACCGCGCCCGCCGCATCATGTGATTATTTGAAACAAAACAATTAGCCCTAAGCTAGCCTTAATGTATTATTTTAATATTATTCATTTAATAAAATAAACGTTCTATTACGAATAAAAGATATTGATTAACCCGAAGTGTTGTGTATTTCCCCATGTCTCTAAAAAATCAAAATCAAAAATATATTTATTCAAATAGACGCTTGCGCGCTCTTATGAATCGTCAAATTTTACATCAAAGACCATTTGAGTTCCTTTATTTAATGTTTGTATTTCACGTTCTTCTTCTTTGATTAATGGCCTCTTATTTCACGTTTTGCAGATTGGTGGATGCTAAAGATAATTACCATTAATTGACATTCTGTGCCCTTTCATTTCGTTTTTCGATTTTTTAAATGGCAATTAAATTAAAATCAAAGTAAGAGTTGAATTGAAGAATGAAATTTAAATTAAATACGTACTTGTTTAAAATATAAATAATATGTTGCAAAATAAAATTAATAATAATAACTATTTATTGCAATAACAACACGTATTACAGTGAAGAAATGATATTATTTTTGGCACATAACTCAATTTCATAGAGTAACATAGAGTGAAATATTTGAGCAAAGTAATAAGAATTCAATAAAAAATCTGTACAAAAATAATATATACAGCTCTATGCATTAAAATAACTATAAACGACTTCTAATTACAAAGGACAATCTAATCCTATTTACGTAAAAGCACCAACAAGTCTGACCGAAATTCAAAACACGTTAATTCGTCAAAATTCTAAACGCAATAAAATAATACACGGCTAGTTCACTGGAGTGGCAACACTCGCGCATTACGTATAATATATTGATCATTATTATTTAAACTTGAGACGGGTTATCGTCTAAATTTGAGCCTTTTATAAATGGCGCGAAAACCGTCACTCGTTCAATATCTGCTCCTGGCTTTCAGTCGCCGCTGTCATGGTGTTGTGGCAGCAGGTGATCTGAGGGCTGTCCTCCCTCGATTTCTCGCTTCGCTCGCGCTTGCAGCAGGCTTGGCTCTGTTCGTGCACTATAACGGCGGGCTCCTGACTAGATTTGCAGCACTTCTTGTCCTCTACGGCTGCCTGTTTGGGCTTGCAGCAGCCCTGCCGCTCGGTCCTCAGTAGCTGGACGTCCTCCACGCTGGGGCTGTCCTCCTTCTCGCTCTCCGAGTGGTGGCAGTGGCCCTGCGCGGCCGCTTGGGCCCTCTTCGCCCTGGCAACCCTGGAGGGGCACCTTTTCGCGCCGTAGTGGCAAGTTGCGTTCGCCAGGTCGTCGGGGGATTCCCGCGAGCCGCTCGCCGGGAAGTAGTGCGACGGCGTGATGCAAGTGCGCGTGCGACAAATGAAGAAGTCCGCCTCGGATTCCGTCGAACTGGTCAATAGCGGCGGCGTGGTGTTTTCAGCTGTAACGGAGAGTTGTGTTGAAATGTTGCCAGATGAAAAAAAAAATCCAAAATACGTTTATACGTATCTAAGTAACTTTGTATGTCTACGGTATAAAAACGAACAACAGTAAATACAGAGGCTAAAAATTAAATAGAAAAAAAAAAATGTAAAAATCAAAACCGTCAGTCAAACTGCCTGCATGCACCCACGGACGGTAAAGAATTTATTTGTGCGTCGCACTATCGTTCTACAAACGAGGCTGCTGTAAAAATTAAAAAATCAAACGTAAATTAAGAAAAAAAAAGTAAGAAACTTAGCAAATATGGGCTACAAAAGAGAAACGTTTACTGGAAGTGCTATCTTTTTCTACAATACGTAAATTATATTTATTTTCACGTTATTTATCTAAACCGTTGTACGGTTTAATTAATGTGATGCAATGAATAATCAACTAAATTAATAGTCATACACTCATCAAGGCGCTAATTATGATTAAATGCGCAGACCACAAAAGTTATAATAGAATAGCCTCAGATATCCCTAGGATATGGATTCTGCTGGCAATTATTTAATGTGATTGTTTTCCTTTCCATATTAATCATAATTATGGATACAAATTTTAGACCTCTTTATCTCTGTCACTTTAATTAAAAAATTAAGACGTTATGTAAGATAGAAATTAAATACAAAATAACAGGTAAAATTATTAAAAAAAAAACTTCAACGTTCAACACGATCGATTCACATCTAACTTCTCGTTCTTTAGTGCGGAAATTAAGTAGAATCATCACAAATTGTAAATGGAAGTAATTATATAGGTAATTGTATAATTTCTGGAAGAAAAAACATTTTTATTTAAACGGCCTGATACGATTCAGCGCCTTCTCTGAATCCTAACTGTGAATTATTGCAATTTGAATACTTAAGTATTTTCTAGTCATTTATCGACCATTTACTCTTATTCTCTTATTCCTTTAGATTTTATATAATAAATTTAGCAAAATCGGTACATGTTCTGTGAGATGTGCATCGCATTGTATATTAACTATAAGCTATAACTGCGTTTGATTAAGATTGGCGTCCCCAGGGCCGGATTAGTTTAAAGTGCCAGTAACGCAAATTAGATTCATTTGCTCTTTATCTTCCCGACATTGATTTTCATACAAAACTGGTTTCTCATCCAGTATGCATGTCGAATAATCCTAATTCAATAACATGAAATTAATTTCATTTCTTGAAATGCTTGGCACATCTATATAAATTAGCTATTATCTCCATTGGAACAAACAAACAGTTACAAATATGGTTTAATTTAATAACAAATATTTAATAACAAAAGAGAGATTTCGCTATTGCTATTCATTTTTGTTTCTCGAACCGCGCGCTAACCGCTAAGCGAAGTGATACAAAAACAATTCGCCACCGCCCTTTACGTTAATTCGGCCCTGGGCGTGATCTGACCGGAACGGATGCGATTGTTGATATGATTAGAGAGGCGGCACGATCATATTAGCATGAGGGGGCGAAGTGATGAGTGGGGACATGACGAGTGGGGCCGGCGGGATAATGAGGGAGGCGACATGACACTGAGGGGGCGACGGGATAATGAGGGGGCGACATGATAATGAGGGGGCGACGGGATAATGAGGGGGCGACATGATGATGAGGTACTTGTTGGAGCTCGGCTCCACCTCCACGGCGGCGTAAGTGTGCTGAAGCTCGAGCGCGTCGAGCTCCTTGCACAGCTTGCCCTCGCACACTTCCCAGCTGCACTTCTCGCGCTTGCAACGGTCTTATGGGGGGGGGTAGAGGTGGGAGCGGGTTAGTAGTATGGGAGGCGTCAATGTAACATCCCTATCGATTCAAATGAGGCCAACATACTATTATCATGGTCTACAGGCTTCAATGTGTTTATCGATTCAAATTCGGCCAATATTCTATTAGCATGGTTTACTTTTCTTTGTTTCTCCTATAGCATTCTTTATAAAGGTTAGTACGCTAGGAGCATGTATGAAATTGTCGGCGTTATCGTCGAATTATTACATAAACGATCGCATTATCTATTTTTGTATCGACCTAGAGATCTATTTAATTTAGGAATCTATCAATAACTTGAATCGGATACCAATATTGTGATGTAGAAGTAAGCTCTAATGGAATAAAATTATTTTTATTTATACATCATACACTTCATTACGTCTTTTCTTTATGCTAAAAGTTGTCACTGGATAAATATAATAGCCGCTGTTGAATTTATCTGTAGAATAGAACAATATAGAAATAAGGACAAAACACGTCATGCCAAAGAAAAACGGATTGAGTTTAAAATTTTCTTTTATTTCTCCGACATACTGGTTTACGCACGATGTTTTTCGAACTTTAGTCGTTGATTCGTTGAGTATATTGAATTAAAAAAATATATATTCCTTTTTAATTCGTACATCACAAACAAATCGTATTTCAAAAGTAAGCGGTTGTTAGTGGCCAGTCGTCACCAAGACTAAAGTTGCACGAGGATAATTAAATAAAAAGAAAATATTTCTTTTTAATTTGTACACCACAAATCATAATTAAAATATAAGCTGTTGTTAGTGGCCGGAGGGCGATAAGCGCTCACCTGTATCGTCACATTCGGGGGTGCAGATGACGACGCGCTTCGAACGGAAGCACTGCATCTGCAGCCGGGTCAGCTTCGTGCCGAACAGGAAATAGCCTGATGGTGGAGATCGATCGTACTAAAGTCGATTGTACTTTTTTTTTATGCGAAAAGTTGTCAAACGAGCAGACGGTTCACCTGATGTTAAGTGAATACCGCCGCCCACGGACATCTGCCACACCCGAGGGTTAGAGATGCGTTGACAACCTTTTGAAAATCGGGCTCCGGCTACCTCACTCGCCAGACGAAACGCGAAAGTATTTGTCATACTTCCACTTTACGCCGGTCTTCTGTGAGGTTGTGGTACTTACCCGGACGGGCCTGCCCATTCGTGCAACAGCCGAAGCTGCTGCGTGGCCCTACCACCGTATTAAAGAGTTTTTAACAAGGAGTACTAATTCGATGGTGCCGGTCACCGCCACCCTTGGGACGTTGGCAACACCAAAAGCCCTCTTTTAAAATGTAGACATCTTCTTTCTCATGCCTTGTCCCATACTACATTCTATTAACTATAGGTTGATATGTGGGACATTGACATACAAATATGCATATAGTATATGAAGTTATGTTGTTTTTTAAACAAAAAATGTACGTAACAATTTGGTACTTTATTTCGTAATGTTACTTCAGTTTTTTAATGTCAATGTCCCGCGTATCATCGTATATTTAACAAACTGTAGTTGTGGGTCCATCCCTTCCATTTTCAACCTCTATCAGCCGTCTTAATTTTAATCTCTTACATAGACAATATGTCTGTTTCTCTTTAGACAGTCCATCTAAACCTTTCTAGGTCTCCCTCCAGCCTTATACGTTCCAAACAAATTCCAAACAGCCGAGGCTGTTTGGAATTTGTTTGGAACACGAATAGACAGGTCCATCCGGGGACGTAACACGATCTCACAGAAAATCGGCGTGTAGTGGAAGTGTCATGCTGCTGCGTTTCTTGTGATGAGTGAGGTAGCCGGGCCCACCTTATTAAAAGTTGGCAACGCATCTGCAACACTACGGGTGTTGCAAATGTACATGGGCGGCGGTTGTCACTACTGGGACTATCTCGGACAGGCCTGCCCATTGATGCAACAGAAGGAGCCGTTGGGAGGCCCTACCGCAGTAAACAAAAGTATAAATTAGGTTGGAAGGTGTAAGACCAAGAGTCTCCCTCTCCTAGAAAGATTTAGATGGACTGCGTGAAGAGATACAGACATATTGTCTATGTAATTGTTTAGAAAGTTTTGGGTATTGGTTCAGCTCACCGAGCATCATTCCGAAGACCACGGCGAGCAGAAGGTGGACGTTGTACACCATTACCGCCAGCATCAGGAGGTAGCCCACCACGTTGTGGATTAGGAACACGAGCGACTGGTGCGTGGTCACCGCCATGCTGATATAATAGACCTTTAAGTGATGGAAAATTACGCCAAAAAGCTCACGAGGTTTTCCTTGTCGTATTTAACGATAATAACAAAAAAAATATTCCGAAGATATGTGAAGTCCGCCAATCGGCAGTGGGGCCGCGTGGTGGACTATGCCCTGATACCCTCTGTACAGAGGAGGCCTTTGCCAAGCAGTGGGACATGTACAGGCTGTTCGTAAATGATGAGGCATAAAACTCAATATCAACTTTTGTACATCATTATTACAAAATCATTACTTCTTATTCTTCTTCTTTCACTCTTAAATTCTCTTAATTCTCTAATTCTGTCTCTTTTAAATTCATTCAACCCATTCATATGTTTTGTGACCTTTACAAATGAACTTTACGTTACAGTTTTATACGTAAGGGTGTTCTAAAATTGTTTGTTTTGGAAAATTTAATAACTCGGTAAATATTGATGTTTAAAGAATGTAAATGTTTAACCCAATTTTAAAAAGTTATCCTCCATATGTGTGTTCGTTTATTGTCGCGGTGGTAACGACACGCCGTATAACCACATCTAACGTACTTGAACGTCCCGTCGCTAGCGAGCAAGCTACGGCTCGTTTGCCATCTCATAAAAACGCTTTAAACATCTCAAAACAATGCTTTGACACGTTCGGCCGAATGGAGTCCATCCGTTGGGATGTAGACCTCTTACATCCAACTGTGGGGCGAGTCCCGTAACGTTTTGTAACTCACCGCACCCTGAGTGCGGCCCAGCGACTGACAGGGCCGGTGCTGGCATTGCGGCTAGTGGTCGGCTCCATCGCGCCCCCTTGCTCGCTGCAACATTAACGCAACACGCTGAACAAAGGAAACTGGTAGTCAAAGCGGCTGGTTGCTACATTCTTCGACGGCGTTAGGGCCGCGCAACATTCCTCGCTGTTTCGCGAATGGACAGGCCCGTCCGGGTGAGTGCCACGAGCTCGCAGAAGACCGGCGAAGTGGTAGTGTTGCGCTTATGCGTTTCGTCCGGTGAGTGAGGTAGCCGGGACGCACTTCATTAAAAATTGGCAATGCATCTGCAACCCTACGGGTGCTGCAAATGTCAACGTATCACTCAACATCAGGTGAACCGCAGGCTCGCTTGCACCTCCTCATATGTAAAAAAAATCTTTCAAATCTCACGGTGATTTGTCAGGTCCAAGGTAAGTGGTGTTTACGAGAGACCGTCTCACACCGGATTTGTACAATCATTTACCATAGCAAATGTTGATACATGATCATTTATTTTATAAAATACTACATGTAAGAAAAGCACTAATCCGATTTATGCTGAATTTCTTTTTTCATTAACGGCAATAATTACGCGGCCAGTCGACTTTTTCAATTAGAATTTTTGGAAAAATCTCAAGTTCTTCATAATCTGAGAATAATAAAAAAAATAAAAATATTTTTGTAAAACTAAAACGTATCCTTTAAACGTATCCTATTTTGCGTTACACGCACACTAAGCAGTCTCCACAAAGATTTATCGGATTGTTTTGGCGGCAAGTCAAGAATCCGGCAACTAAAATTGAATCACAATATAATAAAAAGCCCCTACGTGTATTTATTTAGCATCGGCATTCCATCATTCAAACGGTGTGTTTACCTCCGTCTTTAAACAGCGTATTGCTCTACTAGTCGAACGTTCTAGACGCGAACCAATACACTGGCAATATTAATTTCGTGTACCTACCTGTGTCATTAATTAAAGAAAAAAAAAAAAATTAATAATTTCTAGCGCCCGCTATAAATATCTTGCATTCTTAGCTAGTCTTGTTCAACAGGACAGGCTAACGCCCGGTTTCTGAAACACTGATCATCGTAGAAGTCAACTAATCAGCTGTCAAATGGCTTTTCTGATGTCATTTGAGTTACCAAAAGGATTGTTAAACTCTATAGGAATCATCTCTATAGGAATCTCTCTCTAATGGATCATTCTCATCATTAAGGTCATTCTGATCAATTCAGAGTTTAAAGATCCTTTTGGTAATTCAAATAACATTTGAATTACCATTTAACTGCTGATTAGTTAACTTCTAAGATGATCAGTGGTTTAAAAACCAGGTGTAAGTATGCGAGATTTTGTGTGGAAGGAGTCTTTACCTGCCCGGATTTTCGTAAATTTTTAGGGTTTCTTACCTTAAAAGGTAAGAAAGGGAACCCTTAGAAGACCACTCTCATGTCCATCTGTCTGTCCGTGTATCGTCACCGATTTTCTCACGAACGGGTTGACCTAACAAGTTGTAATTTATACCAGATACTGAGGTCTATACTCCCTATTAGGTGTATAAAAATCAAGGTCAACAAGTCCAGAGTCAACACGATAAAAAGATATGGGCAAATTTAGATTTCGCAAAAACATGTAAGTACCAAAGTTTACATTCATTTTCAACTTTTTTTATTTTTCAGAATTTTCCCTTAACTTGTGCTCCAAGACCGCTTTTAACCAAAATTAGGATTATGACAGATTAAGACAAATCTAGGTCAAACGGAACTAGGGTCGAAAACCTATAGTAGTACCCGTTTACCCAGAATCGGTACGGAATCTTGGGCATACTAGCTCGACTCGCACTTGACCGGATTTTTTAATCTTAATTTAAAAAATATCTTATAAGCCCCGTGATTACGAATTGAGTCATTTTTGTTACAGAGTCATAATTAAAAAGGCGTAATGTTGAAATAACTTTCATCAGAAGTTTTCCAAATACGACTGCGTAAGAAATTAACCAATTCGAAAGGAAATTGCGCATATCGCTACCGATAAGAAAACAGCTTTGCTTGGAAATTAGACAACGTCTTGAAATGTAACACAATCCATATTATATCTTACCACGATTATTTTAAAATGCTAATTACGTTACACGTTGATACATACGATTTAATGCGTGTTCACGATAGCATTGGGCTGATTTGCATTTCTCGAAGAGTTCATTCAACTGTGTATTTTTAATGTGAACAGTTTTCATACAAAAAAACTTTCATTTAAAATGATTGGCGTTTAAATAATGCATTGGTAATGCCACATATTTGTGAAATATAGCATTATGATATAAATTAATAGACAAAAACTCAAATATTTTCTACAAATAGTAAAATATAGCATAAACAAATCACAAGAAGTACTATATTAATAAATATACATAATTATACGAAACAATAACATAATATGTGGAAATAAAAGAAAAATCACGTACGTAACACGGCGTTGTGTGAAATACGATTGTTGCACACGGGTAGAACTGTGGACAAAAACTTAATGAGTAAAAAGGAAATTTCTAAATCATGCATACAAATCATATTCGGATGTATTGTGAGAATTTTGAGAACGCCTAGAACTCGTTCAAAGTTGTACGCAATATTTTTCATATCACGTACCGCGTGTCAGCAAGATATGATCAAATTTGATCAAACTATTTTACAGGATATATTGATTTTATATTGTGCAGGATGCACTCGGGTTGGCTCTCTTCATTCAATCATCTTTTGGTATAGTACTTTTTTTGTTTATCATCAAGGCGTAAAAGAAAAATATGTGATATAATTGAAACAGTTGAGACTCTTCTGTTAATGTCCATTCACCGGTAGCTGCAAATACCCGGCGGCACATGCAAGTATGTCAATGTTACCAGCAGGCATTGCACACTAGTTCCTATCTATAATAATGTTGGTAACAACCTTGAACAGAAAGGTGCCCAATCCATTCCAAAGCCAACAATCGATCTAAGCAAGTGTCCTTAGGCTGTTCTTTGACGCAATGCAGGTACGCGGATCTTGTATAACACCGCTAATCGGAATTAAAAGCGGACGTGTTCGACGAGACGAAATCGAAATTGCTTTCAATTAATAAGTTAACATAATCGTCGGTCGTAACTATGTAAATTTGGTTCCTACGTTACAAATATTTACATCTGTAAATTAACTAGTTATCAAATAAGAAAATTGTATTAATTGGATGCTTGTGCCTGAATATAATGAACCGGTTGGTTGATGTCAGGTTCTATTTTTGCTTAGGGCATAGTCAAATGCTTATCGACGATAAGACGATTTCGCTGAATAGTCTTGTTTTGGACACAGTCGCAAAAACCTTATGGGTATATCAGCTATATCAATCTCACAGCACGAGAGGCAATTTGTGATGAGGTACAATGTACAAAATGATTATAGATCAAGTTTTGTCTAAAGTTGAACTTTCGATAGCGCATTTAATAAATGGGTACGATCATCTTGAAATGTTTCTGGATTATTTCAGGATTATTCTTTACAATCCAGTGTTTCATTTTATAAATTGGTTGTAAATGTTTCTTAGTCCTTATTTGAAGCTTCTAAGAAAATACGAAAAAAGCTAGACAAAGTATAATTCGGGGACTTGGGACGTCACGAAAATACGGTGAAAAATATCGATTAATTGGAATCATTATTAAGGAAAGACGAAATTAGTGCAATTTGAATGAGTTAAAAAATTAAAGATTTTTTTGGTTTTTTAAAAAACATTGCCCTTACTTTAGGATAAAATTATCCTGTGTGGTAAGGGCTAAACGTCCTTACCACACAGGATAATTTACATTACAAACATAAATTTTACGTGGACAAAAACCCAAATGCGAAACGACTATCTGTGGGTCACACAAATCGTTGTCCCGTGTGGGAATCGAACCCACGACCCCCGACGCCGAAGCCTTGGCAACTGCGCCACGGATTCATCAGTCATAAATGATTTTGGTATAGGAATTTTATATTACGAACATTTCGTTTATAAAGTATAACATTAGATACTAATAGGTAACAGGGTGATGAAATAACACTAACAACAGCTGACATAATAATGGTCGGCAGATTTTTGATATTGAAATGATACGATTTTGATTTGGTCCTATTACATTGTGAACGAATAGTTTAAAAATTAATATTATGTAAGTTTTTGCTGTGGAATTTGTGATATTTTAATTTAAAATAATTTTTTATGTTTAATTTGATAAATTCTTAAAATATTAACAAGCTTTCGGATATTTCTTGAATTGATTGTATTGAATTGTGAACATCAACGGTTAGACCATACAAAAAAGGAAATGAGAGGTTCATACATAGTTAAAAACTAAAAGAAGGTAATAAAAATTAACAATTATAATTTTTTTACCACGGAAATTAACAGCGTAGCGATAGATATCATGCCGGTACGTACGGGGATGAAAAAAAATTATGAGCGTACAGACTGGCAAAAATTTTCGTGGCTACAAAGTAGAGGTTTGTGACAAGCCAATAACCATTATCACGTGCGTTTAATTTTAGCGGAGAAATTGATTCAAGTCCAAATAATAATTCGTAAAGAAATCGTTGAGAAGACCTGACCAGTAAGACAATGATTTAAACGAAGAGAGACGCCCGTGAAGGGGAGAATAATGAAGATAGGCGCGCGCTGGGCAGGATTGCGTCATAGTGATGTCGAAAGTGAATAAATATATCGACATTTATAAAAATATCAATATCGGCCTAGATATATCGAAGATAATATATCGATATGTCGATTTATCGATATTTTCTTTATAAGCCCTGTTGTCAAAAAAAAAAAGACTGGACTGGACTGGAAGTTGCGGATTGGCAGACTTCACATAGCTTAGAATTTTTTTAATCGTTTTTTTTGTGTTATTTTGAAATCATGCAGTTTCCTCACGATGTTTTCCTTCACTATTGACCAATTCATAAGTCAGCTATTAAAATTAACAATTTTAATGGCGCTGGCAACGGATTTGAACTCCGGTTGCTCGATTCTATTGAATTAAAAGCGAGCGTCCGGATACCGAGCTATCAGTAGTGGGACGCATGTGTATAATGTAGATCGTACTTGACCTTTTATTGGTCAGTACAAGATAAAACAATTACGAATTTAAATCGAAAACAATGCTCTCCGATAGCGCATAATCATATACGAAAACATGTCAAAATAATTAAAGGCGAGTTTATATTTATTTTATTATATTTATTTTATTTTATGTTTATATTTATTTTATTATTATTTTTATTTTATTATAATTATCAGCATTTCTCATATACGTTTATTTGTAACCCACACGAGATCGCTCACTCCATTTCTTCACAGATTTCTTACATGTACAAAATACTTTCCCGTCAATTTCTGCCAATGTACGAAAAGTCAGAGTAACGCCCGGTTTCTGAAACACTGGTCATCGTAGAAATTAACTAATCAGCTGTCAAATGGCTTTTCAAATGTCATTTCACAGAATCAGAATGATTAGTTCAACACTTTGATTTGATCATTCTGATAATTAAGAAGATCATTCTGATCCATTAAGAGAGTTTAACCATCCTTTTGGCAACTCAAATGACATTTGAAAAGCCATTTGACAGCTGATTAGTTAACCTCTACGATGATCAGTGTTTCAGAAACCGGGCGATAGTATTCGACAGAGGTTTAACATCTGTCTATTAGGGAATTAAAAAGCTCTGGGAATAGCACTATTTAAAGGATTCTATCGTGTTTCACTTTGTTTCAGCGACGAACACATTGCAAAGCAATGAATTGTGGCGTACTAAACCACGAGGATACTGAAAATCCATAAATAGTTATATCCGGGCAACATTTACTTCCATGTTAGCATTTGAATATTGTTACACATTGCTATGGGTGCCATGGATGCAGGCGGCACAGGACCGTGCTTCGTGGCAGTCTGTGGGGAAGTGTATGTTCAGCAGTGTACTCGAACAGGCCGAAGTAATGATAATGTATCATCATTATCATTACTTCGTTGCATTTACTTCGTCAAATTAATGAATAAACAAAAGGCCTAATGTGTCTGGCTCCGCCCGAGGGTGTGGGTCCGATCGCCATCACATGATGAACATATCGTTTTTCCAGTGTCTGCGTGTTTTTAAAGATCTATTATATGTATTTATTTACAAAAGAAAAGTATGTTTAAGTATGATTATCAGTTATCCATAGAACAAGAATTGCTTAGTTTGGGACTAGAAAACGTTGCGTAAAATTGTGACAAGACAAAGACAACGCCCTCACTTTAGGATAACATTATCCTGTGTTGCAAGGACGTTTTTACATACATGACAAACACCCAGATGCGCAACAACTATCTGTGAGTCACACAAATAGTTGTCTCGTGTGGGAATCGAACCCACGACCCCCAACGCCGAAGCCGATAGGTGCCTCGACGACTGCACCACGGAGTCACAATTATTTATTATTAGGAGTTATTTACTTACCGATCGCATAGCAAATTCCGCCTTTCGTCAGATCTGTAGGGATACAGCTTCTTGTGGGCTTCGCGCTGAACATTCGCAAGGTACACCTGTGAACAAATGTGTTGTTACATCGAAGACTCTTCGCCTCATTTTTCATGAATTATAATTCATCCATCTCATTCATAATAAATATGTTTTTTTCGTTCGCTCTCTCTCTTCCGCCCAGGTCTCGACTATTCAATATGTTCTCTGTATAAAATATTAAATTATAAGTGTTTAAAGTGCATTAAACGTGCTAAATTGTGTATCAGTGACTTTGGATAATCTATCCCGAACCCCTTATAAATCAATTACTTCAATCATTGACATCAATGTTTATAAAAGGTTCCCAAGGGTTCTTCTTTATACACGTTACTCCTTCTATTGTCAAGAAAAATAGAGAAAAGAGAGGGAAATAGTTACTGTTTAGTGACGATGTTGTTGTTTGCTATAGACAATCATCAAAAACGTATTCGGGCATCTGGTAATGAACAAATAAACATGGCGGTCTTATACCAATCGCCGTAGCTTTTCTGCCACTTCTTTAAAACCCAATTACGTACATTCGACTTGTAATAAAATAAATAAGACACGTTTTAGCAAAAAAATCTCAAGGAAAATTCTGTCTGACAAGCAACGATTGATGCTAGTACACCACACACGAAAAACTGGGATCGGTTCTTTAATGTATTAATTTCTCCGCCGGTGGTTGTAGGTCCGATTTCCACACGAAAGAAGAACATCAAACTCCTTGTGCCGAACCCACATAAGTGGGGTAAGGGCAGGAGAAAGAAGATTGGTTCACGTGGTGGTAAGTGCAGTGATGTCAGCAACCATCTAGCACACTCTGTCCCATAAAGCTGTGGTTATCCACAGTCCAGACAGATCATTCATTTCATTTCATTTCTTCTTTCTTTCTTTCACTTACTCTACGCTGGTCCGTGAGGGAAGATACTTCTTCAGTCGAGGCATTTGTATTTATACTACAAACACCAAATGCCGCTACATGGCTCCGCGATATTGGCACAGAAGAGAATCTGTAGACGCACCTTCGAGCCCTCGAAGAGGAACGCCACGAAGAAGAGGACGATCCAGGTGAGGGCGAACGCCCAGCGAGAGCTGACCTCCAGCCCAGGGAACAGGAACTCGCCAAGGTCGTAGCCGAACCACATCCACATGTGCATCATGGCGGCACGCGGTCATCGGGCGTTGGCCTATTAAACAATCCATTAGTTTTTAATTTGGACCATTTTTTCCATTAGTTTACCTTTGGTAAAACTTTCAAACAGTACGTCTCGTTTTTCAAGATAGAAAAAAAATTTAATCGCTAGAGAAATGTTAATAATTAAACTTTATATACGTGAAAACCAATGAAAACACTTACTTTTTATTAATTAAAAAAAATTAAAGCTTGTTATTTTCATTAATAAAGTCCGCCATTTTAGTAATTTGACATATAAAACATGAATACACACAGTGCTGCTTTTTTTGTTAGAAGGTGGCACGCGAGCTGGCGGTTCACCCGACGTTAAGTGATAACCGCCGCTCATGGATATTTGCAATTTGCAAGACTCGTTGCGTTGCCATCATGCAAAGTGGGTCTCGGTTACCTCACTCACTAGACGAAACGCAGAAGTGTAATACTGGAGGTATCACGTCGGTCTTCCGCGAGATCGTGGTACTTTCCTGGACGGACCCGTCCATTCGTGCAACAGTGAAGTGTTTCGAGAGGTGGTGCGTATCAATATCAAACCCGAGCTGCAATCCATATCTTTATATTATTTATTTATTTATTTATTATTATATATTATAATTACATGTGTTGATATGGATATAGGTAATAATGATTTGCCAGAGAAAGCCGTTTCACCTCATCTGCTTCACGTCTATATCACTTTTCGGCATTAGAAAGGGAGCGACAACACACATTACTTATAAAAAAAGATACATAAAGGTATCGAGGACAGTCGGCCGGTGGCCTACTTTACTGGGCCTTCGATTTTACACAGGGCTGCTGAACTAATGCGCACACCATTGTACTATCGGTCCGCGGTAAAAATCCGCTCATTAATGCAAATTGACAGCATCACATTGGTTAGTTCACGAATTTAACTAGTTGACGAACATGAATCAACGTTGACGAAAAAACCTTCAACAACCCATCGCTTTTCTCTTCTCCTTCTTCGCTTGCTCGCATGGATGGAATTTAACGAGCTGGTCATGACCGATCATAGCGCGAGAACTTCCGAATGCAGTTTCGGTTTCGGCAGGCTTGGCGCCGAAACCGAAACTAGTTTTTTTTTTTTGCCGAAACTCGACCGAAACCGAAACCGAACTTTCGGTCGGAATCTACTTACATGACAGCGTAGCAGCGTGTCGATGTTCACATGACGGGAAGACACGAAATTTTGGTACAATATAATAAAAAAAAGTCTGTGATCTCAAGCAAATAGTTAGACGATAAAATAAACATCGTTACTTTGTAATTTATCGGACGCTCACATTAATAAACGTATTCTCTAAACGAAATATTAAGCAATTTCAAAGTGTGTAGAGTCAATTAAGTCGATCGAATCTCTCGACCCGTCCATATTATTATAAACAAAGTCGACACAATAGTCGACTTTATCATTTGTTTAAAATAGACCGACCGTATCTGTGACTACTTAGTACTAATATTGAATTGTGATCGTGTCACGAATATAATTATGATATCCTTTCTACGAGCGATCGAATTACTGCCTAATCGTACGTCTGATATTTTAGAGGCATATTTTTTTCTAACAGCTTATCTAACCACTGCAGCACAATATAATCATGGGATGTAAGCCGCAATGGTTTCTTACAACGTCTTAAGAACCGGAAAATGCCCGAATCAGAGATATTTATTTGTGGGTAGTTCAAATAACCGTCGCGGTGGGTACTGAACCCACGACTCGACAGACGCCTCACCAACTGCGTAAAACAAACCATCTGTCTGGTGGTATTTCAATTTAATTCGATAAAACGTTCGCAAACACTTAAATTATATTTACAAGTTATGAGTCACATTTAACTATAGCTTTTTGGATAAATGCTGGAGGACCAATAAAAGGAAGCTTTGTGTGATTTATCAATGTTACAAATTATACTAAATAAAAAAATAGTCTCCAATTTTTACGTTCCCTATATGAAAATAATAACAGTTTAGGTTTTACAATAATTGCTTTAGAAAATTAATAAGCCCAATTTTCAAAAGGTCGTCAACACATCTGCAACCCTCGAGTGTAGCAGATGTCCATGGGTGGCGGTATTCACTTAACATCAGGTGAACCGCCTGCTCACTTGGCAACTTTTCACATAAAAAAAAAATAAAAAGTAAAATTCATTTACAGTTTTTACTTTTTACATAAGAAGGGGCTCTTGATGAGTTTCCGAGAATCGTCTGTTAGACGTCTAACGCGATTATATTAAAATTTGACACATTAATTACCTTGACAAATCTCACGTTGATTGTCCTCAATCAATTCCGCGCGTCTCTTTAGACGAATTAATTATACAACACTTCAAAGAGTTATATTGTATAAACTTGTTATATAAGTAGACTAAATATATTCTATAAGAAAAATGTAGACGCGTCAAAATTTATATCATCATCACATATGAGCGTTTGTTTTTCGTTCATTAATACTTTAATATGTACCAAAACTAGTTATAATTTCATAAAGGCCATCATTTCATTGTCTCGTTTGAAAAAGGGGTTTAAAGTTAAACGCGTCAATACATAGTGTGTGTATTGTAACCTAATAACATAAAATTCCACACTTACACACATCTATTTGAAGTTAATTGAATGTACTCTATGATACCGGAAATGACATAGATTATATTCCATTTAACATTACAAATAAAAAGTCAACTCAACAACGAAATTTTATGTTTAGGGGCCGCATAGTGGGGTCAATTGTAGTGTATTATGGTGTAGTAGGAGCACATGGGACTAAGAAAGGTAAGGATAAGTGATATGGTGATTGGTCGTGTAACTTTGGCTGAGACAAAGAAAACGTAACACTGGCAGCCCAGCAAAGATATATGTTATAATAACCACAACCCCACATAAGACCGCCGTGAAGTTTCATCTGGTTAGTTAGGTAGTAGGGCCAACTTCATTAAAATATGGCAATGTTTTGTAGATGACAACCCTATGGGTAGGCATTTGATAACCACACTTACAATAAGGTGAAATGCCAGCTTGCTTGCAACCTTCACAAATTAAAAAAGGGAACAAATAAATGAAATAAACAAATTGGTGATTCAATTAATTATGCTTTTTAAAAAATAAGGGTACTCAATCATTAGTCAATCATTAGTGAATGAAAAATATTTGTCCAAATTTAATTCAGACTCTCTCCTATCAGTGATTGCTGCTTTCTAATTCATTGTTCATTTATAATCACATTGGCAGTTAGGGATCAAGTTGTTTATTGATATCCTGCTCTATTTATTTATTTCTGATAAAATTTTCAGTACTATTAAGCTACTCAGTAAATTAGTAAAACTATAGGCTTTAAAATATTTCAACTATCCCTCAAAGATATTAAAAAACACTTAATATCTTTGATGGATAAAAATAATTAATCTTTAAATGCTACTCTACACTAAAACTAAATTATGAAAAATTAATCACCTGCAAAAACATTTAATTTTAAATTCAAATTAAAGTCTCATATAATGGTTCAGTAAAGATTCTATCCCTCAAAGATATTAAAAAACATTTAATATACTTATTAATTATATTTAGCAAAGTCATAGTTACACTTTATACCTTATACACTAACTATACAATGAATTTTCAGGAAAATTATAATAAAATGAATGTTCAAAGAATGTATATGAATGACAATGATTACTTATAATTCTAAAATATTTTTACTATATTACTATGTTGGTTTCATTAACAACTTCAACAGCTTTAGTCATTAAACGTAGGGATAAGAACTAGAATAGAAAACTCTGAACTATTAAAATATATGCAACATACCTTATATTAAATATTGTTGTTTACAGCAACGCTAAAACCCATCCTTTGCATCTGTTTACAAATCGTATACCACTATGCAACGTGATAACACCATCGTTATCAATGAGATAAATAACGAATAAAATGAATAGAGCAAATATATACGAGGCCTACAAAATGATAACTTTCGATAACACAAAAAGGAAAAACCACGACTACGTTATCCGAACACACAAAGAAAATAGAATTTGGGTCAATTTATTTCGTCGTCATGGTAAATATTATATTCACCCGTAAAATTGACAAATTATTTCAATTCAAAGAAAAATAAACATAATTAGGCACAGCTATGTCAGAATGAGACCCAATAAAAACTAAAAAAAAAAACATATGATATGACAGAACTGTCAATACTGTCACTTTGACATATACTACAATAAAAATGTAGAGCTCAGTTTGAACTTAGCATAATAATTACAATCTTATTTTCTTTGTTCTAGGTAATTGCTATAATTATGTAAATTTGTTTAGATATTCTATATATAAAAATATATATATTTAACATTCATAAAATCATTCTCTTCATCATTTCATTATAAAAGTTAGGCAAAAATAAACAACCAGAAGTGTTCATTGGCGTATTCATTGAAAACCGCCAAAAAAGAAAAGAAGAAGAAGTAGAGCTCAGTTTTTCTATTGGGATAAGTTTTTGTATTTTTTAAGTGATATTTGCTGTTAGCCTTTGACAGCTTGTTCGAAAAAGATTCGCGGACTCAGTAGAACAATCTAACTGGTGCAGCATAATGAAGCTGTCTGCTCCGCTTCGTCTCCGCCGTATATATGTCTTATATATTTCAGTATATATGTCGTATATATTTCAGTATATATGTCTTATCTACGGTCTCCGCGACCCTTGCTAAAGAAAGCTGGACTCAACAACTGGAATTGACCTATAATTGAACAGCAGTCAATAGTGGAAACTATTCAGAGTAAAATTTACGTAATAAGATCAAAATAGCAATTTAATGACGTGACATACAATGTATCTTTTTCAAACAATCGCCAAGGAAAATTTAATATCAATTATAACAGATGTTGAAACTATTTACAAAATACAAGATTTAGTTAAATAATAATTTTCTAAATTTATAAGGATCGTAATTTATTACGTAACCAGTGAACGATCGCATGCAGATTCGCTATTACATATATAAAATGCTAAATAATTTAGATATGTACTCTTGCTCCCGATTAACCTACAAGAACTCTATTAAAATGCTTCTCTATAAAAAATAGTTTACCCTCAATTGTAATACTCACCGACTTGTGTTTCAATATATTTTATTATTTTATACCTCCAATAACGCATGATTGTACTTTCTTATTTCTCTTTCTTGCATTGTTTAAATTTTATTGTGTCCTTTGTAATTGTAATAGTTCTACCGTAAGTGTGCTACCGATAAATAACAAATTTGTTCTCAGTGAGACATTAGTTAAGGGAGCAGCTGTAAATATCCGCATGCTGTATGTTCATTTTTATTTTGTCTTTTGTTCCTGTTTGTCTCCGATATAGTAAATAAATAAATAGCAAAAAGACGGAAGCGATTCAAAACCGGCCTGGCCTAGGGGGATATGATGTGTAGGCTTCAAAACGGGGACCTCGCATTGGCCGGAAAATGCGAAAACTCTGTGCCTTGTGTATGAAACGATTTTACGATCGGCGTGAAGTAAAGGTATTTATACTTTTGCGTTTTGTCCGATGAGTAAGGTTGCCGAAGGCCCACGCCCAACATCATGGTAGCGGCATTAAGAGCCTACTTCTACCTTAAAGGCCGGCAACACAATTGCAACTCAACAGATGTTTGCAAATGTCCATGGGCGATGGTGATCGCTTACCATCAGGGGACCCGCTTGCTCGTTTGCCTCCTTTTCCCATAAAAAAAATGAAATGCTGTACTTCAAACTGAATGCAGATTGCGGTGTGTACAACGCTAAGCAGCAGTATAGTGTTAGTCAATGATCTCTTCTGGCCTCTATCGCATTTTGAAGGCGATATGTTGTCGGAATAAAATAGATTATTTGGAAAACTTATTCCCTTAGGTTTTTTAAAAAAATAATTGTTAAAAATGAAATGTAATAAATATGACTGAAAATTTCTGTGCAGGAAAATATTAAAAATTGATTATATGTAAACTGTAGAGACAACTTTTTTATAATTTTCTTGTTAAGCATATACGAAAACTTTATTCCTTTTGCTCTCTTTACCGAGTCTGAAATAGGTGTTACCTAACTTTCCGTGTTTTAGTAGTAGAACCAACGTCAATTTTATTTTTAAATGTAAATAACGATTAAAAAGGAAACAGATTTATTTCTTATATATTATATTAAAATGCAGTAAAACATAAAACAAGTAACGATTATCACAATTATTTTAGTTCAAGTATAGAATAACCAATTAATCTTTGCTTAGATTAGGATCAATGATGGATAGCGCTGCTCCTACTAAATGTAAAGAACCTGTTATTAAAACCGAATTCTTAGTTCCAGTCGTCTTTATATGACTTAAAGCATCCATGACACACTCGAATACCATTACGTTACAGCCTCTGTAGATGTTCTGAAGTCTATGCCACGTATCTGCATTTTTATGACATCTAGCGATCAAGTCTCTATGTTCCATAATCGAATAATTGTCATTTTTCTGTGTCAGTTCTTTAATCGCCTTTGGAATCACAAAGTACACAGTCGAAAATTCTAGATATACTAATGGTTTTAGCAGAACCTCAGCATCTCTGTCTCCAGTGGCACTAAATATTAAGCTTCTTTTATGATACCTGTAAGAAATTTAACATTTTTACATCCATAATATATATTTATAGTATAATCGTATGGAATTTAATATGGAAATAGTTTTTAATAAAATCAAATTTTATGTGATGCAAGATTAATTAAATACTTTGAAACTTCGGAAAATGTAAACAACTTTAACTCCGGCGTAATTCAATTAAAATAAATTTTAAACGTTAGAGATAAATCTCTAATGAATTAATCAACAAGCAGAATTCGGCGGTCGCTTATAGTTTTCGAGAAAAAAATATTTAAAACTTGTTTTTTGTACTAAGAAATCCACTTAACCTTCGATGTTAGGTTTTTTTTTTATGACCACCAAGAAATACGAGCTGAATTGACATATTGACAACAAAAAAATGGCGGATTTCTATAGTAAAAATCACACTATTTCATTATTTATTTTTTCGAAAACTAGAAGCGACCGCCGAATTCTGCTTGTTGATAAATTCATAAGTGATTTTTCTCTATCGTTTAAAATTTATTTGATTTGAATTACGCCGGAGTTAAAGTTATTTACATTTACCGAAACTTCTTATGTTTTATGAATATTTAAAATTTTAAGCTTTTTTATAAATGTTACATACAAGTTGCGTCGGGTAAATATTAAAATAAATTAAGTTGAAATTATGTCACTAGTTCTTCTTCTTTCTTTCTTTCTTTCTTTATGGCTTCGCCAATGTCAAGTCAGTAAAACTTGTCACTAGTTCATGGTAAGGAAAGATAAAAATGTCAAATAAATTTGAAATTGTCAATGTGACACTGACAAACAAAGTACCTTGGTAAAAAAAATACCTACTTGGTTTGAAACTTTTAAAAAATGGAAAAAATCACTGTTAAACAAAAGAAAAAGCCAACTAAAATCGAAGAAATGACCAAGGAACAAATACAGCAGGCAATAATAAAGAAAAGGGAGTGTAATGCAAAAGCTCAGAAAATAGTTGAAAGTTTACTTGAAAAAGTAATCACAGAATCATACTTTTTGCAATGTTTACCAGATATAAATCAATGCCACTTTGAAGATATCGTAGAAGAGCGATGCATAATACACCTTTGTGGTTACCCGCTATGCCAAAAGCAGTTACTGCAAAGTGATATACCAAAACAAAAGTATCGAATATCAATTAAAAAAAACAAAGTATACGACATAACGGCGCGAAAAAGTTTTTGTAGTAATAGCTGTTATAAATCTGCAATGTATATAAAAAAACAGATGTTGACCAGTCCTTTGTGGTTCCGGGAGTATGAAGATGTACCACAGTTCCATTTATTGCCTCTGGATACTGTTGGTAGCTTAGGGCAAGAAGTAGACCTTGGTTTGATTGAAAGAGTAGTAGTTAAGCCAGAAAAACAAAATTTTACATCTATCAATGATTTTACTAGTGCAAGTCTAAAAGAAATTCCAAATGTTAATGATAACAATAACTCGGATATAACTAGCAATAATATACCTGAAATAGAAAATGTGAATATTAACATAAATAATGTAGATAATAGTCAACTGAAAAAACTCGAAACAAATGATAAGAAAGACAGTAAAGCAGTATTCCCTGAACATAATATTCAATTAATAAATCGAGACTTTAGCACATGTCATGTAAACTCCAAGCAGAAGAAAACAATATCAAATCCTTTAAATATAGTTGGAGACATTATAGAGAAACCTGAAAGACAAGTTGATCCTATACTTGTCAACACACTAAAGGTAGAATGTGTGAAGAGGGACCATATTTCAGCCAAAAAATCATTGCAAAGGAAGCAGCCTTCTGTTACAGCAATAGCGATTGAAGTAGAAAAATGTCTAGCAGAGTGGTTCACTGTTGATACCATGATCTTTATATTTGGCGAAGAAAGAGTTAAAGAAATGGTAGCGGATAAAGGAGAATGTATTAAAGAGTATTTAAATAATTATGCTCAGAGTATATTCTACAATTCAAACTCATATGACCAATATCAAGCTCTATGTCGGAAATTAAATATGTTGGAGTTGGAAGACAGAAAGTATGATTCACAAACTCTACAGAAAGAAATGAAACCTTTACCTGATTATTCCATATTGCAGGAAGAAAGTAAGAGGATGCAGCTAAAAGTAAAAGCATTTTTATCAGGGGCTACTGAAATTCCTCCTAGTGAAGATCATGGATATTTGAAAACAGAAGCCAGCGAGGATGACAATATTCCTACACAGCTGCCACTAGTAGATAAAAACGCACAGAATGCATTGCGCCGAAGAATTGTTTGGGAACATCTAAATAAAGTGCTTCCAGATATACTGAGATCTCTCAATTTGTCAACTGTGACTATCAGCTCTGATGTACGGTTACTTATTAACACATTTAAATTAAAAGCAAATAATATAATGTTTAAGCCTATTCAATGGACACTAATTGCAATTGTTTTTATAAAACTACTGTCTTTGAGAGATCAGAGACTGCAATATCTACTACAACAACAGACTGCTTTCCAACATATGCAGCTTTTACTGTTAAGTTATAAGCAAGATGGTGGCTACTTAGATCGTTTAATATCTTGGTTAACAGATATTGATAGGCTCTTAGATGTTAATGATACTCATCTTACTTTGGAGTCCTAGAAGAGTGATGGTAAATGGTAAATGTTTTGTACTGGAAACTATTTCAGTCTTCACATGAACAATAAATGTAACTTATAAGTAAATTAATTTCCAATTAACAGTTTGTTAGCAAGTTTATTTATGATACTGGGTACACATGATTGTATTTGATCTGCCATTATTTTATGATGTTTAAATAAAAAGGTTAACAAGAAAGAAAGCAGTCTATTTAATTCATCTCACAATCATAACCTGGTTGATTGTTTGTGGCATGCCTTAATAACTACCTGACAAACATGCTTAGCGTCTGTAATTTTTGTGTGGAAATATGAAGTGTTTGAGCCGTATATAAGTCAGGTACGTCAGGAATGAACTAGCTCAGGTAATATCTGATATAGCAGGTCCATTTAATATTTGGTTTCTTCATGATAAACAAATAAAAAATTATTACTCATTGTGTGATATATCATACTTCCAAACTTTATCCATATGGGGTGAGTGCAGAGTGCAAACCCATTTATTATCCCATTTATTTCTCATCTTACTTTTAATTTAGTGCTGTATTCTTTTATTTCTTTTTTTACTACTATTATTTTATTATTTTATTTTTACATTCAAATCGAAGTTTTTAAGTAAGTAAATATACAAGTGTAAGTATATAATACAGGACTACTAATGTTTACCCCAATCAGAGATGTAAATTTGTGATATTCAGTTTTATAGAACTATTAATACAACTTGATGCTAGTAAAGCAGTAAGAAGTAGGAGAATTGAATCCATAAATTTCCGAAATCTTTATCGATAAGACCACAATAGAAATGAGTAAATTACCACAATAGAACTTGCATCAAATTCGTGATGCAAGTTAACTGCTAAATGGCCTCTCTGAAGGCGATCAATATTTGCCTTTCTAGGATCACTAACTTTCATTACCTACCCGTATCTGTGAACTTAAGATACATTTTTTTTATTTGAAATTAGCCAGCGCTTTACTGCCATCCCACCTGATCGTAAGTGGCGATGAGTCTTTGATGGCAAGCGCGCTAGATCCGTGTAAAAACCTATTCACTCATGCCTTGAAGACGCCTACTTTGTAGTCGGTGTGTTAGACTGTGTTATAATCTACCATTTAGGGTTGTATCTTACCGACTATTGTTTTGGAACCAGTTTGCGCATATTTCCATCGACTCCCCTGTGTGAGCGCCGTCGAGGTAGAAAGTGGAAAAGTCCGTTTCGACAATCTGATACCTGCCCGGCCATTTACATCCAGACAGACCCCTTATGGTTTCGTTGGGCAGTCTTGTGACTATGGTACTATCTTCTGTCTCTTTTATTTCACCGGTGCCATTCGTTTTCTCGCAATCGTATCCAGATTTATTTTTGCGCATCCAAGCGTGCGCCAGCTGTATGGCCAGCGATGCGTTAGTACGGTAAGCTTCAACGTCGACGGGAAGTTGCAGTTTCAGACCGTTCTGGAATGTGTACGCTTTGTACTCTGGAACAACTGTTAGAGGACACTGGAACAAAAGGTGGCGACATAGTTCAATGTATACAGATACATTTAAAACCCCCACAAAAACTCTGTGTTCAGTCCATTTAATGCATTATGAAATAATTATTTTAAAATAAATATGTATATATGTATCATCTGTATTTGTGTTAATATACTATAAATAAAGATATTTTGTACTTTTATACATAGTTCTTTTAATATTTAAATTTCCTTTTATCCCTATCTTTCCTGTTTTTAAACACTGTATGTGTAACTCAACCATGTTGTATTTAATAACCTCAATATTTTTTTTAGTTTTTTTTTGTAGTGCTCTAAGTTTTTTTTTATAATGCTTTTTCTACATGTTTTAATGTTCAGCCTCAACATGCTGATACAAACTTCAGTGTAGTTCATTGAAGACTGTAGTAAGTAAACAGTCTTCAATAGATGTTGTTAGTTCAGTTACTTTGTTCATGAAAATGTGGAGTGTTGGTGAAGGGTGTAATGTGTCTTTGGTGACTGCTTGTACATGCTGGTCCACATTAGTGGTGAGTTCAAATTCAAATATCTCTATTAAACATGATGTCAAAATACTACTACCGGTTCGGAAAAGAAAAGTCACTGACCTGGGAAGAACTGGCGATATAATCTCAAAGGGGCATTGTTTTAACCATTATTTGACAATGAATACATGCAGTAGGGTCACGCTGTTGCACGAATGTGCAGGTCGGTCTGGGTAAGTAACAAGACCTCGCGTCATATATGCGTGAAGTAGAACTGTTACACTACTGCATTTCGTCTGGTGAGTGAGGTAGCCGGGGCCCACTTTATTGAAAGGTGGCAACGCATCTGCGACTTTACGGGCATTGCAAATGTCAATGGGCGGCTATCACTTAACATCAGGTGAACCGCCAGCTCGTTTGTCACCTTAAAAAAAAACATTCTAGTCCTCTTCAAACAGCCTGGAATGGTCAATGCAAATCCAGAGCGTGTTACCATTTAAATAATGACTAATAGAATGCCCCATTCGACTAATCATCACTAATAGAGCGTCGGCGGCTGGTGGTATGGCGGTGGTGATTTCTTGCCCCACCTGAAGGGATTGGGCAGTGGCCCTCAGCACCGCTTCGGCGTCGCTCGGTTGGGGCACTGTGTACGCCTCGCAGCCTGGCTTCATCACGCCGGCCTTAGCGGCCGCTATCTCCTGAATGGTCCCACCCAGGATCGAGGTGTGGTCCAGACCCAGCGCCGTTATGCCGACAACTGGCACCCGCCTGCGGGAAAACAATTTTGCTAGCCACCGTGTATGGAGCATAGTATAGTATTGATGTCTCCGCGGCGCAGTTGTCAAGGCTTCGTATATATCTTCGATTGCCACACGGTTCAAATGTTTAATTTTACTAGCCATCGTGTATGGTGATGCAGAGTAAGGATATAAAATCAAAATCAAAAATATATTTATTCAAATAGACGCTTGCGCGCTATTATGAATCGTCAAATTTTACATGAAAAATTATGTATATAGGTTCGTAAGGTACCACCGGTTCGGAAAGCAGTTTCTGTTGAGAAGAGACCGGCAAGAAACTCAATAGCTCTTTTTCAAAAGTATCAGTTTACAATATAAAATACAGGTAAACAGTTTATTCTAGCCTACGTGAGTATCAACAGTATTAACTCCACACATTGGCGTCGTCGAGATATTCCGTAATGGTATAATATGCTTTAACCATAAGTTGACTTCTAATTTTTTACGTTTAAATTGGTCAAGCGGCAGAATTAATATCGACTGTGGAATTTTATTATACACGTGCACACTTAGCCCCATGAACGACCTATTCACTTTTTGTAGATGAAACAATGGCGTAGTAAGTTCGTCCTTATTTCTAGTGGTTATTCTATTCTTTAGGTAATAATTAAGGTAATGACGTAGTATATACAAAATATTGCAATAAATGTATTGAGAAGCAACAGTGAGTATATTAACCTCTTTAAAAAGATCTCTGAGTGAATCCGGGCTCCGATGTTGTAGATTGCTCGGACAGCTCTTTTTTGAAAAATAAATATAAAATTTATATCTGATGCACTACCCCCACAACAAAATGCTGTGAAAATAACTGAAGTAAACAAGTCTGGCAGTGTCGATGTCTGTTAGCTGCCTAACCCTTCTAATCGCCAAAACAGCGGAGCTTAGCCTATTCCCAAGAGATATGAATGGACTCCATTGGAGCTTTGAATCTACTGTAATTCCCAGAAATCCAAACTCAACTGGATTAAAGGGTACGTTCATCATCATCATCATTTCAGCCTGTTTGAGTCCACTGCTGAACATAGGCCTCCCCCATAAGTAGGGTACGTTATTTAATATTAAACTAAAACTTTTACTTCTTATACTGGAAAGGGTAAAAAAAATATATCTAGTTTTTTTGGCATTTAATACCATATTAATATATTATATAGATTTATAATAGTACCATATATATATATATATATATATATATATATAATAGTAAACCAGTGGACGTATTTAGTATTGACGCCTTTGTGGCAGCCAAGGCCGTATTTTGGGGAGGGCCACCGGGGCCACAGCCCCGGGGCCTCCACAAAAGAGGGGCGCCCACAATAGACTTCGGATAAAAAATTAAAATTCAGACTAAACTCTAGTAAACTAAACACTAGTAAACAATTTTTCCTTTCATAAGTTTTTTCGCGTGTTTATATATTTTTACGGGTGATGCAAATTTCCATGGGCGGCGCTTGTCACTTACCATCAGGTGAACCGCCAGCTCGCTAGCCATCTTCTCACTTACAAAAAATAAAATAAAAACAAATTACCTGAGAACATTGGTATAGTCAACCACACCACCAATTCCCACTTCGACTATGGCCACGTCTACTTTTTCCTTCAAGAATACGTTGTAGGCCAGGACCGTAAGAAAGGCGAAGTATTTCGGCATGTCGCCTTCGTAGCTCTGAAAGATATGCGCATAAGTTACCAATTGGTTAAGTTCAACCTCTACAATGCTCGGAGGGAATATAATATGAAAATATCGCTACTGGGCGAATACCTAAAAATAAATTAAACATACGAAATAAATGAACAGACCCCATGATGTTTAATAATATAGATGACGGATATCCATACCGCACGTAGTTTAAAAATTGTTCCTGTTTACGTTATATGTCATATATAAATGAATGTCACAGATGATATGGAAAGTATGATACGGAAAGAGATAGCAGTCTATAGAATTGCAATCTAATTACACCAATTGGCGTAATTTGAGCGCCTCAGTTTCGGTGCGCTAGTGTCATCTACCTCTTATTTGGATACAGCGTGTCATTACCATCGCGACAATAAATGAACACACGTCTAACGCTACTTGCCAATAATCATAAAAAAAATAACGTTAAAGAAAATCCTGAATTTTAAAATTATTATAAAAATATTTGCCCAGCAGTGGGACATGTATAGGCTGATACTTTTACTTAGTGGGGACATTTTCCTAAAGAGGGTTCATACAAATTGTATTTGAATAACAACAGATGCTGTCCCCCAATATTAATTTAATAAAAAAATTGATAAAATACATTAATATTTTCGTCGGTGTCAAGATATGCCGTTTGACTCAGTGGCTAGAGCGTCGGGCGCGTATCACATAGGACTTAGGTACAAATCGTTGCAGCGGCGAAAAACTTTCGACCATTTTTAAGATTCCCTACCCAAAGGGTAAAACAGGACCCTATAACTCTGCTGTCTGTCTGTCTGTCCGTCTGTCACCAGGCTGTCTCATGAACCGTGATAGCCAGTTGAAATTTTCACAGATGATGTATTTCTGTTGCCGCTATAACAACAAATACTAAGAAACAGAATAAAAAAATACTTAAGTGGGGCTCCAATACAACAGACATGATATTTTGTCATCTTTATAGATAATGATACGGAACCCTTCGTGTGCGAGTCCGACTCGCACTTGGGCGCTTTTTTTTTACAGATTTTACATTTCATTTTAAGTGCAGACAACATCACCATAAAAGTAATATCCTATAAACTTTGGAATTTAATTAGCATTTAACTAAAATGAACCGAGTACACATTATAAACGAACCGTGAACCGTGACCATGAACGTGAAACGTCGCGAGTTAAAATTTAAAAAAAAAACGCGATAAATCCGAAAAAAAATTGTTTCAATTAACTTTTTTTATGGAAAAAACGAGCAGAAGGCTCACCACATGGTGACTGATCACCGCCCACGAACATCTGCATCACCGGTGTGCTGGCAAATGCGTCGAATTAGTGCTTTTAGGTTCTCGAGTGGAGACCACGTGACGGCAAGCGCAGCGTAGGAAAGCCCCCACAAGGTGGACGGACGACCTAGCCAAGATCGCAGGGACGCGTTGGATGCAGGCCGCTAACGGCCGGTCGAAGTGGAAGACAATGGGGGAGGCCCATGTTCAGCAGTGGACGTCCTACGGCTGATGTGATGATGGTGATGAGTGCTTGCCTGCTTGCGACTGTAATGCAACGGTCGAATGCTACCTGCGAGGCGTGCAGGCGGTCGTAGACCTCGTGAAAGTGCCGCGCGAAGCCCTCCTTGGCGATGACGCGCCCTCCGAGGCGGATGCGCTCGCGCACCGCCACCAGGTGCGGCGAGGAGTAGAAGCCCGTCCTGTAGCCGTGCTGGCGCAGCACCGACTCGCACATGGCGCTCGTCGAGCCCTGATCACGAGCGGATTTTTTTTTAATTTTCGCCTTAACACAGCAGTGTGTGGAACGGGTTGCGAAGTAAGGGGCCGTCCATTAATCGCGTGATGTTTGTTTAGCATTTTTTAACCCCCCCTCCACCCCCTTGGTGATACCTGGTGAGGTTTAAGACTCCCCCACAAACCTAAATCACGTGTATTTTTTACTACCTACAAAGAACCTTAAACTTTATAGAATGCTATACAGGATGGCTTTTCTAAGTGTATCCATTTTTTTTATTAAATTCTAGACATAAATATTGATATAAAAAAAGGATAAATATTTAAAATCACTCGTAAGTACATTCATTTCAACTTATCTCGAAAAGTGCGTGATTTATACGCAACTCATTTATTTTACGCGCGAACATTCATAACTAACACGCACACAAGTTCGTGCACAGTAAAATTTAGGTATTTATGAATGACTACCGCATTGTCAACACGTTCTGTTTTTTAGGGAATAGAACAGTATTTTTTTTTTTGGAATAAAAAAATTTCTTTTTTATTTCAATAAACGATTATACTTCCGAGTCTGAACCTCCTGAGTAAATTTGGGCACTTCTCAAAAAATCTCCCTGTATATTACTATAACAGTGTTTATTCTGAAATTAAGAACTTTAAATGCTAAAAATGTAATGGCGAGTCAAAGTCACGCCGCTTTTCAGTTTAGAGATCTCTCGTTTGACGAAAGATTTTTCAGCTCTGTAGCGTTAGCCAGTAAACGCAGGTTTGAATTCTGGTAGTGTAGAATAATTTTTTAGCAATGTATGTAATAAACTTATTTCAAAAAAAATTTATTAGTATACATAATACAAGCAATGATATTTAATACTATTTAAAATGACGCATGTCCATACTGCGCGGCATTTAAAATATTGTTCGGCTTTACATAAATGAATGTGACAGATGATATAGAATGTATGATACGGAAAGAGAATAGCAGTCTATAGAATCGGAATCTAATTACACTAACTGGTGTAATTTGAGTGCCTCAGTTTCGGTGCGCTAGTGTCATATCTACCTCGTATTTTTATATAATGTCATTGTATACAAGTATTACTAAATATTGTGTTTTGATTGACTTTAATTGCTGTCAAGCTAGTATAAGTCCACAATCATCCTTAATTAGCATCTAGGATACTTTTTTAGTTGCTAATTAAAATGATTGTGGACCATTGTTTGTTCTAGTTAGAACAAACAAAGAAATATTACATTTTTTATAATTTCGCAGTCAACAGTAAAAGCACATAAGTTATATTAAATACTTACTTTGCCTTTGGTGCCAGCTACATGAATTACAGAGAGCTGATCCAGCATTGACATTGAAATCCCTGTCCTGGATAGATATCTTTCCATGTCCTCTAGGTTCGTGCATTTCTGTTGAAGTAAGATCATATTATTACATCAACTTAAGTGTTGTAGCTTTTATTACTCACAAGCTTTATACATAGTTATGACATGATCTCGCATATAGGCTGCAAAAAAAAACTTCTGACATCATGATCACATTTTATAACAACTTAATATTAAATTATTTCCTTATAGAATATAACATTACTACAATTACTTCCTTAAAGGATATAACATATATAAACCAAATGTGCAAAAGTAAATGTCATAGAATGCTTAAAATTAAGTTGAGTAGCGTTGCAAAATATCTAAAAATAAAATTATTGCCTTGTAATGTAAAATCATTGCAATTCAAATTATTATAATTAATATATTACCATTAACACATAAAATTCAAATCTTTTCTTTTATTGGTACTACACTATAAATAAATTATATGTATAACAACCAAAATTTTGTTAATTTGTTGCCAAAATTGTAGAGATTAAGATACTGAACAAATTATTTAATTAAAGAAACTTAACTAATAATACCATTACTCAAAATAAGTCACTAGACTAATTAAAATTTGTATGCAAGGATATCTTAGGCTCATATCATATTTAAAAATCAATCTATTATAATTTAAATCAATCATAGTTGATTTTAGTTTAGTATAAAGCAAAAAAATACTTACTTGACCCAATTTTATATCTCTTCTTATTTGCTCTATAGTAGATTTGTTTGATTGAAGCAAATTCAATTTTTTCACAGCCTCCTAAAACAAGGCAGCATAATCATATTAGTTACTGTATACATGCTATTATTAAAACAAATATTCACCAGCACAAAAGCTCTTAATCATAAAATAAAATATTAGTCATGTCACAATTTTAGATAACATAAAGTTAATAACTCAGATCTGCTTATACCGAAAATAGAAATATTGTGAAACATAAAAGTGTGAAAAAAATTAAAACTATTTCTCATAAAAAAAAACTCAATGAACCTAGAACACCAACCTCATAACTGAAGTTACTGGACATCCTTATTACTAGTCTATTCACTAAATTACGACATAAGCTCACACCAGACATCGACGAACTAAACGACCAGGCGGAATATAGCAAAGCGAGTAAATTGCAATTGAGGCAAAAAATGACCTTGGCGCAGATTTCCACGCGACCAAACAAATTTACGCTAGCTGATCCTCATAATATATGAAGTACGCAATAACGTCATCACTTATCAATTAAATTGACCCCTGATCTATGATTACGGTAACAATAAACCGAATAAATCTAGTATATATTATTTGTAGTGGTAATTATTTTAGAAAACGAAGTTTGAAAATCAAAACATAACCTTAAAGGTAAAGCTTGACAATCAGCTGTTTCAATTAAACTTCACTATATTTTGACGCATAGTGGATTAGTGGATGATTTGATGACTTTTGCAGTTTTTGCTGATTTGAGTTTGACGCTTTTCAATTATTTTCTATTATTCCTCAGACTAGGGTTGATGAGGGTGTAGTTATCACGTTAAACGTAGTGATTACATTCTCTTTGGTAGTTATAAGGAAGAGGATCAGGATGAGGATTTTTTTAGAAAAGAAATTGAGGATGCGGATGAGGATGAGGATCTGCTATGAGGAAGAGGAAGAGGAAGGGGATGAGGAAGAGGAGGAGAAATAAGTAACAACATAATAAAAATATTCTTTTTGGGCAAAATATACATTATTAACGTTTTACAATTAAAACAAAACCTTCGTATTTTTTGAAAAAAATGACAAATTACTTTTATAGGAAAAGTTTTTATTTATTATTTTTTTGTTAAAATTAGTGCTAAAATAATTAAATATTTATCATCATCATCATCATCATTTCAGCCTGTTTGAGTCCACTGCTGAACATAGGCCATATTTATATTTAAAATTTATTTCTTGTAAATTGAATTTAATAAATAATAATTTAGATACTGTTTCTCCTGATAAATGGGCTCGTAGGTCATCGTTAACCAACACAACTAAATACTAACCTATTACTCCATAAATACTGACCTATTACTCCATAAAGTTCAAAATATTTTGGGTTTACTTTCTAGCATGAAAGACTGTCTCCAGAATAATTCAGTATCTTTCCTTTAATATAATCAGCTAACAGTGACTTAACTAAAGCATGTCTGTTTATTGGTGAGCATGATTCGCTATTTTCATCGTCACTGTTAGGTGCTGAATTTAGCATATCAACTAACATAGCATTCAAAATTCTGTTTTTATCACGCGCTGCCACAGGAGTGGCTGTGGAGGAAGAAGGTCGGTTCTCGACATTCTGCGGTTACCTACGTAATTTCAAAAGCCATTTCACAAGTCGAATTTTTTTTTTTATGATAACCATTATTATTTAGAATATTGCTTCATTAAAATTAAAAATTGCTATTACAAAAAACTTATAAATGAAATATATTCTAGTCACAAAATGCAACAAACAAAAAAAAACTATTTTAAGAAGCTGTTCTAATCATAATAATAAACCGGCGGATTATTTGTCACTTCCACTTAAAATTCCTCATAATAAGAGGAAGAGGAGGAGATTTTTGTAAAATTTATTTTGTGGAAACGGATGAGGAAGAGGATTCGTGAAAAAATGAGGAAGTTCCGCATTAAGAGGAAGAGGAAGAGGAATCCTCATCAACCCTACCCCAGACCATTATACGTATAAGAAAAGTACTTTTCTATTGGTCCAAGTGTTGTTGTAAACACACATAAAAAATTGTAATTAAATATAGTAGTACAAAGAACCAATTTAATTATTAATTGAAGTTAACCCAATAGAATAGTTTTAATAATGAGCCCATCTTTATTAGAAAAAAATATTACCGAACTCGTTTTAAACGTAGTGATTACATTCTCTTTGCTCGTTTTAAACAAACTTCAAATCTATTTTTGACATACTGTACGTTTGTGTATTACATTTTAATAAAATAAACGTTAAAATGACGGAAACCGACGCAACCAAACGGCCTTTGCAAATACCAAATACATTCATTCCATATCTAGAAAAGTACAGACTATATAAACTATTCAAGGTATATAATATAATGCTTATTAGTACATAAGTAAAAATTTTAGAGCTCGCTGCAATCAATAATGCTCTCATAATTATTCTACATATACTGTATGCGATTTTTAGCTGCATGTATCGCAATCAGGGTGAATATCGCTAATAGCAATGAGCGCGGCATCAACTTAAGAAATTAATTTTACTGTAGAGTAATTACTGTTTTCTAGAGAGGCATCGTTTTAACAAATCAGCTCTGATAAAACTTTTATAACTCAGCACATGAAACTTATCATGTGCTCAGGGTGAATAAAAACATCGTAAGAAACCCAAAATATTTTGGAAATAATAACATAAAAGTATCTATATTTTGAAGATATTTGTGAAGTCTGCCAATCCGCAATAGGGTCACGTGGTCACTATGCCCTAATGCCTTTTGAACAGAGGATGCCTTTGCCCAGCAGTTTGACATGAAAAGGCTGTTACCTTATTTCTTATCTTAAGGACGCGGGGTTCGATTTATATTGTTTCGGATTTCATACAAATTAAACAGGCTGATTTTTTAGATGATGTCCATACTTTGACATAATGTTAATTGAGCATTCCATAATTCAAAAAAATATTCATATTTTATTTTGACAAGAACTTACCAGAAAAAAATCAATTCAAACATTCTTTGTTTATCCCGCTAAGAGCGGTTACCCTATTGATAAGCGGTTTAGTAATTATGCGTTCCGCGAAAAGTTTTAGTGGTCGTGAATAGGTTATTGTATTGAGACGGTAAGGCAGGAAATCCTAATAGGGGTGTCCATAATGTTTGAAAAAATTAAAAATAATCTTTGAAAAAAAAAATTACGTACGTACTAGATTTAGATTTAGAATTAAATGCTGCATAATTATCCTCTGTTAATATGTCCGTCGTCTATAAAATCACCCTGTATAGATTCCCGTCATTTATCGTATGATAAAGTGCAACACCTGTCACGTTTAGGGCGCAAAAATTGCAATAAGACACGAAGCTACTATTTTTTATGTAGTTATGCAAGAGACATACTAAGATTGATTATTGATATCCTTCTATAGATTGGTTTCAACAAGCTTTCAGGGATCTAATTTGTCAGTTAGAAAATATAAAACTTAATATGACTAATAGTTACGGTTTTTAAAGTATATGCTAGAATTAACATCACTTTCCTTTTAAATTTCATATAATTAAACGACATTTTTAAAATATTTTTTGGTTCCGTTTAATTTGCGAAATAAAACAAACAACGTAAGTGTTATAGACCCGGTCCGTTGTGCCCAGTGAGGCAGAGCTCGATATAAATTTAATGAAAACAGGAGGCTTAGCTATGCTCTTTCATGAACGTGCCTGCTTTATCGAGCATGTGCAACGGCCTCGTAAAATATTGACATGAAGAAGAACAATGTTGCATATGGCTCAAGTTTTTAATTTCAACAGGACATGATGCAAGATTTGGTGATAAACCTGCCTCAAGACCATTTGAAGCATATGAAGGTTTTTCTTAATCACCGAATACAAAATGCGAAGGACGCCGATCAAGTAATCATCTTGGTTTCGCCAGAACTGAACATCGGTATAAATTATTTTTATCTTTTCGAGACACCGTTACCGTTAATGTACAACAAAACTATCTGTTGAAGAGACGTTGAGCGGGAATAGAACTCTAGCATGCACAGAATTATCGTCAACTGCGTCGAGTGGCAAAAAAACCGTAGAATTGATAACATTGACTATTTTCGCTTATTCCCTGTAACGTAAACCATATATATCTCACGATTATTGAACGAAGAAGGACTTAAAAAACATGTATTAAAGTCTTTAAATAAATATCCAAAGGTTCTAAATTAATTTGTTTGCGGTATTGGGTTCAAATAGGAAAATACCATTTTTTGTGAATATTCCTTCTATGGCGGCACAACTAACTTTCGGTGTCATTTACAAGTTTCAATTTAGCCCTTTGCGTTTTAAAATTGTAGGTACTAATATGTACTAATTTTATCAGAATGCAATTTTAAAATTACATACTGTATCTTCTGTTTTATTTTTGAACACTCAGAATTTTTGAATCACCCTACAGTAGTAAAGGTTAGTTAAAACATTAAACTATATCAAGTGAATACATTATCAAAAACACTAAGCGGAACGGTACAAAAGTTTGACTTTTAAACGTTATTTCAGATATAAGCAGCATCGCTAAGGACCTGATAAAAGACCTAGGTTTCTTCGTAATCACACGTCGCAGCGTGATGGATTGTTACGAGAGGGCAAGTATTTATCGATATCGATCCGATTACGTGACGTACCATTTTAACGATAAATCAATAAATCGATTTCTCCACGTCCGTAGAGCGATAAGTACGTGCCTGGCTGCATTTCGCCGCTGCTAATCGCCGAGGTTACCAAGTCCCTGACAATGAAACACCCAGTCGCCCAGGGCGGTTGGCTAATGTTTGGTAATATTGTAATTAGGCTTTACGCCCGACTTTGCCTAAGGAAGCGAGGCAAATGATACATGATTTTCCGACAGTCAACATAGTTTTGACTAACAAGAAGCTGTGAGAAATGTCATCGATGGGGTCAGCGATGTTTTGCGTTTAAGAATCAAATTCGAAAACATGGGATTACTTTTGTTTCTTTATTTCAAATACATTGACGGCAATACAACCAACGCGTGTATTTAAAACTGCTGTTATAACAGATTGAGCAGAATTTAGGGCTATTGTATACCATACTGAAAGTTATCATAAAAAATAACTTGTATATTAAGATGAATATTGTTGTACCGTCAAAATAATTCGTAAGAAAACGTGGCAGGCGAGGAGAGGGTTCACCTGGTTTTAAATGATTACCGCCGCCAATTTCACACCAACACCTTTCAAACATTTTTCCAACCCTTTTTAATAATAAAATGAAATATTGCATGCAACATTTACTACATCTATCGCAAATCGCTGAGCTGCGTTGGGGACGCGTCTATGCTGGCCCAATTAATTCCGCGGAGTAATATCAAAGCCGCGTCCTGGCAGACCACCCTTGCACGGTCCGCGAGGCGCGCTGCCTGCAACAGCTGGGCGTGCTGCCGTCGGTAACGCTGGTGCTGTCGCCACCACCACCCCTGGCACCGCCCACTGACAACCCGCATACACCCGCGCGCGGCTTCTTCCAGCAGGACTTCGAAGGGCTGAAGTACGCCTACAGAGCGACGCTTAAAGTAAGTCCTCATAAGAGAGTTTACGCGTTCCATGAGCTGTTTGGCTCACATTTTCAAACCAGGATATTTTATCGAACATTTATTTTGGCCCTAGGCTCAAACAAAAGAAGCGGCTGATACCGAACAGTCATAATCGAGAAGCATTTTAAACTAATTAATTTGTCATAATAAGCTGATAATGCGTACGATTCGGTGGCGGTGGCTAGGTCATTGACTTCGTTACCGTGTGTCGTGGGTTGGATTCCAGGACGGGACAAGTACTCGTGTGATCCACAGATCGACAGGCGGCTGGTGTTAAAAAATCTAGCCAATATCGGTAAGGTAAAAATAATAAACAGCGTATACATATCCCACTGTTGGGCAAAGGCCATCAAACTCTACTGTCTAAGGTTTATGAATAGCGCTATTTTTATCCTTAAGAAATAGACAATAATAACATAAAATCAGCCACAGGCCATACAGGATAATCGGCCAGAGGCCATCATACATAGACATACATAATAAGCCCTTTCAGTTGGATTTGTTTTGAAAATATTTTTTTTATTATGTTCTTTGGTTGTGATAGGACGTTACTCATTTTCTTATTTATTTTAAATACCTACGAAGTAATTATGAACAACATAAGCCCTCCTAGTGAATGTAATAAGCAATGGCTTCGTTATACAAGCATCGATGCGCATCGATGTGCGTACGACGCGTGGCAATTGCGGCAGGAGGTGCACGTGGGGCCCGGCGACGACTGCAAGGCGGTGGCGGCGAAGTGCGTGAGGGGGATACGGGCGGCGGCGGCGGGCGCTGCGGACGGCGCGCGCTCGCTGCAGGCGGTGGGCGCTCCGGGGGTGTATCGGGTGCTGTTGCTGGGGCCGCGCGGGTGCGGGCGGCGCCTGCACGCGGACGCACTCGCGCGCCGCTTCAGACTGCTGCACTGTACGTTCGCCCGCTCGCGAGCTATGCCCGCCTGGTACTGCGGGCATAGCTCGCGAGCGAGAAGATTCGTCGTATAAACCCTTCTGAAACGCGTTATGGTCCCCTGGTACTTTGATAGGAACGCGCGAGGAGATTCGTGGGGGCGTAATCCTCGCATCCTGGCGCCTTCTGAAAGGCGTCATGACTCCCTGGTACTTTCAAAAAGCACGCGTGCATAGGGAGGTTTATGAGGATGTAACCCTTTCTGAAAGTGGTTTAAATACTTCTTTTAACCTTGTTATCCTTTTTAAATCTTACATTTCTCTTGTCACGCATTCGCGCTAATGAGATCAAAGGTTAGGTAATTGCGTTTAAATATTCAGAGATCACTTATTATTATTGTTAATTTCCCGAAAGCGACATAAAGGGTTAGAATGTGTTTATCAGATTATATATTTATATGTGCTCTTTTGTCACGCTCTAGGGAATAAAAGCGCAGGCTGTTTCAGATGACTCTCACGTCAATCGAACTGTGTTAATATTGCGAGTGTTACTAAAGGTGTGAGAGTAATCAAAATTCAGTATATATCGAAAACTAGTATTTTGTTAAATAACCACCTAGCTCTACACTTACGATAAAGATGCAGTGCGGTCAAACGTATTGTCGAATTTTGTAGTGAACTACGACGTCCTGTACAATGAAGCCAAGTGTCGGGAAGACGACGTTGGCGAGAAACTACGCAACTACGGCTGCAGCGCTAGACTCAAAGCGGAGATTGTGAAGCGCCGTTTGACCAAGAAGGTGAAGGCGGTGAAAGTGTAATTTTTGTTTGTCTGTCTGCCCCTATACTTTCATGCCGCCGCTCATAGACATCGAAAACTCCTGACAGGTTGCAGATGCATTGCCAATATACAAAGAACCGGCCAAATGCGAGTCGGCCTCACCCACGAAAGGTTCCGTACCGCTATCTAGGATAGTGTAGGTTCGATATAATGAAAAAATACTGTGTGCTGAACATAGTGGTTTTGTTGTGTCTGTTTGCTTAGTTTGTGGGTAACGTGGTGAAAAACTGTTCTGTCATGACGGTCACTTTATTCGCTCTCATAAAATAATTTTCCATCTATCATACTTCCTTTTTATCATCACATTTCCTTCTGGTGTTATGTAACTAGATTAGGTAGTTAAAGGTTGAGTCATAATAGTAGTTCTATGACAGGACTGCATTGACAACGGCTGGGTTCTCACCGGCTACCCGACCACCGGCGTCGACTTCGAGATGCTGGACAACATGCCCACACCTCCTAATCGGTTCGCAAATACTCCTCAATTTCATTAATTATGGTTAAATATTGTCACTCACCCGTGATAGCTCATCCTCCGGCTGCTCGCTTTTAATTCAATGTATCCGTGCAATCTGAGTTCGAACCCGGTTAGATATAACATTTTGACTATCATTACGTGATGAAATGTAAGTTCTAAATAATGTAAAACAAAGTTTATAAAAGTATTAAAATTTTTCCTCTCAATTGTTATCCGTAAAATTTCAAGTGGCTTAAAACGTCCGAGGACTCGGCGAGTAAATTTTAAGTTACTTACGTATTTGTAATCTCTCACCGAAATTTCTATTTCTTATAATGACATACTATGTGGGTTTTGCAATAATTGTTCTTTTTACTTTCTCGACTCCCAACTTTCATTAGCTACAAATTATATTTGGGCACATGATATCTTCAATCAGTATTTAAAATTAAATCAAAACTTATAGTAAGGGCAAAGCGTGAATAAATTTAGGCCTCAGTTACTTTTAAACGTTGCTATTTTCTTGTTTATTTACATTTTCATAGAGCATGATCCATTAGAAAGTAATTATTGACTCAGATAAGTACTTACAGCCCACGTCCCACCGTGCAGCTTTCAGTCTGATTCGCTTTCTAAGTGAAAGTAGACCAAGATCGCAATTGTTCTGAACTCTAGTTACGGTCAATTAAGCACGACTTGTTAGCTATGAAATAGTTTTAAACACATTTAACAAGCTTTTAACATTTATTTTGGTATTATTTAATCGTTATACATCAATTAAATACCTTGTAACTAACTTATCCCTTCAGAATTAAAAGAATTCTGTTCAAAGTAAAGATAATCAATTTATTTTTTATAAGAAAATCATTAACTTGGACATAACACAGGTAATACCAAAGTCAGAGATGTCTTAATATTATCCAAACACATTCGATTATTTCTAAAACTGAGATTTTTTACTAAACTCTTAATATGTTGAAATATTAAAGTATTTTATGTATAGTTAATAAGTGTTGTGTCCATCTATTCGCACACATCCTTTATTTATTCCCCACGACACAGTAGGCCCTGTTAACCAATTTCTAAAACTGAGATTTTTTACTAAACTCTTAATATGTTGAAATATTAAAGTATTTTATGTATAGTTAATAAGTGTTGTGTCCATCTATTCGCACACATCCTTTATTTATTCCCCACGACACAGTAGGCCCTGTTAACCAGCGATTCCGATGAATGACAATCCAACAACCAAAAAGTAGGACTGTCCAATCAAAATACACGGATTATTTCCAACGGGCTCAGGATCATATTCCTGAACGCGGATTGGCAGACGTGCAAGGAGCGTGTGCTGTCGCGCGGCGTTGATTGGTGCACGGGGCAGCAGGCGCCGCTCGGCTCCGGGCCTCGGGTGCTGCTGCATCCCGCGGACGACGAGGCGCGACTCGACAGCGAGGTCCACACACACATAGACACACACATAGAAACGCACTACCACACAAAGCTACCTATTTTTTTGTATCGTTCAGTGTTCGCCTTTGGGAGGTCTTTACAGATCCACCGGATTTTAGGTGGTCGGGCGCTAAGGGCGTCCAGCCTATGAGTGACTAAGCTCGAGGGATCTCGAGCGAGTCTCTGGGCGGCTTCGTAGATATAACGGCAATATTATCGAACTTAAAAGAAGAAATAATATTCATTGGCTTTTATTTACTTCAAAAGGGCACGATGGTCTTTGAACTCCACTTATTTTAATAGGAAATTCAAAAACAATTCAGTTTTAAGTGTTTCTAACTTATCGCAATTGAGTTACTTTAGTAAGGACAATCGAAGGTGCCAGTAATATTCCTAAATAAAAAACTAAAACATTGTCCGCTTATCAAGCTGGTTTGTCTATTGATTTATATATAAGCAGTATTATATTACAATTTTGAATTTCATTTAGCTCAATTCGCTCGTAGCACTTTTGTTTAATGGTGAAATGAGTGACTGGAATATTTTACAGCTGGACGCCTATTTCTCGGAAACTCTGGCGGAACTCCGAGCCGCCGCCGGCATAAACGCAGTGGAGGTGGACGCAATGAAACCTATCGGTAAGATTAATATCTTTTATACATTCTACACTCATACGGAACCAATTTGCATACCACGTTCCTGCAGGTATCAAGTTTTGAACATTATCATAATATTTGAATTCGTGAGAAGAACGCGCTTTTTTTGTCAAATTGAACCAGTTCTTCATATTCGTCAATCAATCGGAGTCGATATTAAGTCTGCCACTTGATCAATTTAAACGTAAAATCAAAAGTCAACTTATGGTCAAAGCATATTACACTATTGCGGAATATCTCGACGATGTGTGGAGTTGATACTGTTGATACTCACGTAAGGTAGAATAAGACTATTATACCGGTATTTTATTATATATTTTTTTAAAAAGAGCAACTGTTGAGCTTCTTGTCGGTCTCTTCTCAACAGAAACTGCTTTCCGAACTGGTGGTACCATACGAACCTATATGTATAATTTTTTATGTAAAATTTGACGATTCGTAAGAACGCGCAAGCGTCTATTTTTATTGAGAGCAAGCATTGCTCAAATCCAAATATCTCTATCAACGTAGGAGCACTACACTACTTACTTATTAATTGTTAAAATACTGAACACAAAATACAAACTTTAAACTCTGAACTAAATGATACTAATTGTTATTAGGTCGTTTTCTAGCGGCATTATGCTTAGACAACAAATATTACCACGACATGGGGGTGTCTGTCGCCCAATATGGGGCTCGTGACGTGTACTGTGCCAATTGCGCCGGCACAGCACCATGTAGTAGTAGAGTAGGCCTAAAAATGCCATAGTCGCGCCGGGGTCGCGGAAGATTGCGTCCAGGTGTTCCCGTGTCCCCGGCCGATGCGACAGAGACAGGTGCAACGTGGGTTTTTTAGTGGGTGCCCGTTTCTCTCCGGAACTCCCACATAGCCCTGTCACTCCCCCGATCCAGTGGCAGGGGGAGGATCCATAAAGGATTTTTCCCACCGAAAAAAAAAAGATCGGGAATAAGTGTGTGGATCGCGAAAATAATTTTCCGGTGTGGTAATCCACGGCCCCCCTGCCGAAGCGAATAGCTTAGCAACAGCGCCACCCATTCATGATGAGAATTGGATCAGTTCAACTAGGGTAGAGCCACGCGACAGTTTTCGATGTTGCTCGAATGTGGCAGGTCTGTCCGGTACTTTTTTAAATTGCCACGACCTCACAGAATACCAGCGTACCGGGTGTAGCAAATGTCCATGGCCGGCGGTTATCACTTAATATCAGGTGAACCTCGCATCGATTCAGGTGAACCTCTGACTACATTAAAAAAGAAAAACAACGTATATATGTAGTACTACTTGTTATTCAAATGAGAACTACCATTCAAGTTCAAAACCAAAGAGAACAAAGTCGGAACAGAGAAAAAATCGGACTCGCCGTGAGTTCGTCGAACGCAGTGACCGCCAACTTTGTGGATATACATATACGTATAATATGGGGTCAGTAACCAGGAGAAACGAAAGTAACAATTGCTAGTGTGGTAAAGATAATAATTGATCTTTTACGTGGTAAAGACTAAGTTGAACATATAGGTATAAAAAAATATTCCTGTAAAACTCAGTTATAAGCTCAATAAGTCGTTAAGCCTTTGGCCTTAATTTACTCTGAAATTACTTATATACCGCTCCACTGCGATATCAATATCAGTTGCATCAGGTTAAATGCCTGTTAGTTTAAAATACTTCATGAGAAAGACCGTTAGATGAAAAATTAATAAGTATAGTAAGTATGCAGTTTATATTTTTAGTTTTCTTTGAAATTCAGATCAAGTACAGGTCGAAATACAAGCGGCAATAATGGCGGCGCCGGCTTTCAACATAGAGTTCGGTTCGCAGCTGAGCAACGTACGCGCAGACTAGATTAGAAGATTGACTAAGGGGATTGTGCGCAATCTAGAGAAATAAAATATATAATTTCTTAATAGAAAAATGTTTTATTCATGTACTCCTCCGTACTTCATTTTATTAAATTACTACATAATTAATTATTTACGAGCTAACAATTTATTCAGCAGTCTCAAAAAACAATTATTACATTTAGTATAAAACATAGAGGTAGGGTCTCCATGATTTGGCGGAGACGATGCGGGGCAGCGAGAACGCAGCGGATCGTGGTGACCCTATGAAGTAGTCTCACATTATTGCAATTACGCTAAACAATTAAAATGCAACATTTTATACAGACGTGACACATTCGCGCAGTAAACTCTCAAGCGGAGCGCGGTGGCGAGCCCGAGCCAGCGCGGCTACTGAGATTTGACGACGTCAATACCACCGCACACGCGCACACACACAAACACGCGACCACTCGTACACACGCACCAATAAATATACACAAAGAGCTACACATCGCATCCGTGCGTCGCTATAGATTACGCACGGCATACGGGGTTGCCAGTGTGCGCGAATAAAAAAAGGAAAACGGTTCAACGACCGTTCGAGTTCGAGCTGTTACGTTGTATCGGGTAAATTTTGCGTTTCTGCTGCGATATGTGGCAACACCGGGTGGGTAATCCATAGCGAGCGGAGATCACAATTTGCTACGATCACGCGTTACAGTCTGTTCGATTACAACTCGTCCTTGAACTCGTCGTCGTCGCCGCCAGCGCCTGGAGGCGGGACTCCGCCCTGCCCTTGGTACAGTTTCGCGATGATCGGCTGAACGACCTCCTCGAGGGACTTCTTCTGTTTCTTATACTCTTCAGCATCGGTGTCTTGGTTGTCCTCGAGCCACTTGATGGCGGCGTCTATGGCCTCCTCCATCTTGGTTTTGTCGTCGTCGCTGACCTGTAACAATAGATATAAAGCAATTAGTAAATCTAGCCAAACTCCAAAGTCTGAATTATGACATTGGTACAATAAAGATGTTCATTGCTTCCAAATATTAAAAAGTGCCCACCTTTGCGCCAAGTTTCTCCTTATCCTGGAGCTGGTTCTTAATAGAGTATGCGTAGCTTTCCAGTTCGTTTCTGGATTCGACGCGCTCCTTTAGCTTCTTGTCGTCATCAGCGAATTTCTCTGCATCCTTGATCATCCTCTCAATGTCCTCAGGCGTCAGTCTGTTCTGGTCGTTGGTGATGACGATCTTCTCCCGGTTGCCAGTACCCTTGTCTTCGGCAGACACTTGCAGGATGCCGTTGGCGTCGATCTCAAAGGTGACCTCAATCTGGGGAATGCCCCTTGGCGCTGGTGGGATACCAGTAAGATCGAACTTGCCGAGTAAGTGATTGTCCTTGGTCATGGGACGCTCTCCCTCATAAACTTGAATGGTTACGGTGTGCTGGTTGTCGCTGGCAGTGGAGAAGATTTGCGATTTCTTGGTGGGGATGACTGTGTTACGTGGGATCAGTTTGGTCATGACACCACCGACGGTCTCGATACCCATGGTCAGAGGGTTGACGTCGAGAAGCACGATCGCATCAGTGTCTTGTTCACCGCTGAGCACACCGGCCTGTACGGCGGCACCGTAAGCGACAGCTTCGTCAGGGTTGATACCACGAGACGGCTCTTTGCCATTGAAGAACTCCTTGACCAGCTGCTGTACTTTAGGGATACGAGTGGAACCTCCGACTAGTACGATTTCATCGACATCCTTCTTGTTCATGTCGGCGTCCTCCAGTACCTTCTGTACTGGTTTCAGGGTAGATCTGAAGAGGTCCATGTTCAACTCTTCGAACTTGGCCCTGGTAAGGGTTTCGGAGAAGTCATCACCTTCGAAGAACGACTCAATTTCGATTTTAACTTGGTGGCTGGATGACAAAGCTCTCTTCGCCTTTTCTACCTCACGACGTAGTTTCTGCACGGCGCGGTTGTCTTTCCTGATGTCCTTACCCTTCTTCTTCTTGTACAGTTTGATGAAGTGCTCCATAACTCTCTGATCGAAGTCCTCACCACCAAGATGGGTGTCACCGTTGGTCGCCACTACCTCGAAGACGCCATTGTCGATGGTAAGCAGGGACACGTCGAAGGTACCACCGCCCAAGTCGAATACAAGAACGTTCTTCTCTCCCTCTTTCTTGTCGAGACCGTACGCGATAGCAGCGGCGGTTGGCTCGTTGATGATCCGCATGACGTTGAGCCCGGCGATGACGCCGGCGTCCTTGGTGGCCTGACGCTGGGCGTCGTTGAAGTAGGCCGGGACCGTTACGACGGCGTGGGTGACCTTCTTTCCGAGGTAGGCTTCAGCGGTTTCCTTCATCTTCGTAAGCACCATAGCGGAGATCTCTTCGGGTGCGAAGATCTTGTCGCCTTGCGCGGTCTTGACGGACACGTGGGGCTTGCTGTTCTTCTCGACCACCTTGAAGGGGAAGAACTTGACGTCGTGTTGCACAGTAGAGTCCGTCCATTCGCGACCGATTAGACGCTTGGCGTCGAATACGGTGTTCTCAGGGTTGGTTGTGAGCTGATTCTTGGCGGCGTCACCAATAAGACGCTCGCCGTCGCTCGTGAACGCTACATAAGAAGGCGTGATGCGGTTACCCTGATCGTTAGCGATGATCTCCACTCGGCCGTTTTTGTACACACCCACGCTGTAGACAAACAAAAAATAAAATTTAAGATTCATAGATAATAATAAATTCGATAGTAGATACTATCCCCTCTGGAAAATGGCAATGTAACCCTTTGTTTATGCTCTTACTAAAAAAAATAATATGTTCCTTTTGCTATTATTAAAATCCTCAACACTTAGTTGAAGCAATATGGTTCCAAATGACCATATGACTTATCCATGCAAGGGTGATTGAACTAATACAACAGAACTTTTTTTGGCGTTGCGGGTTCATAGAATTTTTTCATTTGTTATTTTCAGAACATATTTCAAAGAAATTTAACTGTACTCATCTTTCACAAATCAATGAAAGTTGAAAAAAGTTTTAAATATAAGTATTTATAAGTAATAGAAAGAATTAAGACTAATACTTTAATAATATAGAGAAAGCTATTTAATAAGTAACCTATATGAAAAATTTATAGCAACTTACCATGAATACGTGGTACCCAAGTCGATACCAATCACGGTGCCAATGTCCTTATCTTTCTCCTTCTTGTCGTCAGCGCAAACCGCTGCGACCACACACGCTAGTGCTAATAAACTCCACCGCATTTTCACCATACAATGGACTTCTTAAACCTAAAACAAGAGAAGTTTCTATGATCACTATGGTTTAACGAACCTCCCACGTCAAGGACACGTAACCTCAATAAGGACACGTCATACATCTAACCGGCACGAAAAAGCGAGGAATTAAACTGAGTAATGACTAAAATTAAAAAGAAATTGAAAGTACTCTATGAATCTAGGCTATTTAACGGCATAGTAAGGTAACGGTATAATGTTGAGCTAGAGATGTAGGTCGCACCGCAACGGCTCCAAAAGCATCCAGAAATTTCGGTTCGTTTCGGGTCAGAAATAATTCAATATTTACGATCAACTTAAGATATAATCACAATATATGGTTATGGTAAAGAAAACCTAATAAAATAAACATTTTTCAATAAAATTATAAAGTGGAAATCGTTTAATAAATCTGTTATAATCTTCAGAATCAAAAGTAATTTCTATTAATAATTTCAATGAATGTAATGAAATGTTAATATACTTACCAAAATATTCCAAAGATCGATTATTAAGTATTATTTAAGTTAATAATTCTACACAGCCACGTTCACACTCAGTATTAACTCTCAAATTGATTTAACAGTACAATACTTTGCTTCTGATGTCTTGTGAAAAACTGAAGCTTGATGCGCCCTCGTCGCAGTTATTTAGCGCTAGTGTTCATCGTGGTGGAACACTATTGGCTGAAAGATGTATGACGTATAACATACTCGGTGTTGATTGGTCCAGGTGTACCTATTTGTCTCATATCGATTGGCCCACGTGAATAACTGGCAAGATGAATCTCCTTGGGAACACGTAATAGGTCAAGACTTTTATGGCGTGAAATTTGAATGTTGTGAAATAAAGATCTTATATTTTTATGAGTCTTCAGTAAGCATGTTTTAATAATTATGTAAAATATTTTGCAAAAATCCAAATGCAGCGAACTAATATACATTCATTATATTACACCATATTTGGATCAATCCCATCGAAAAACGAATTAGTGAACTAAGCACATTGTTGGCAGATTTTTTTTTATTCAGTGGTTTTATACACTAACTAACACCAGTGTCGGATTTACCCTAAGGCCCAATAAGACCGGGCCTTGGGCGACCACATATTAGGGGCGGCTCGTGACAAAAAATTCACTGTTGATAATAAGATATAAGTATGATGGGCGCTGAGAAAGGGGCGGCTGGAACTTACTACATGGGCTGAGGACTAGGACGGCCAAGACTTCAAATCCGCCGCTGACTAACACCAATCACCATCATTATATATTAATTTTTTTAAAGAGAATTTTATATATTACATTTATAATTAATTTTTAATAATTTTTTTTCCAATTTGTGAATGTACGGATTCTCACTCAATAGGCTGAACTTTTAGTGTGTACTGAGGCTAACCCCGCGAATTTTGCAACAGTTTTTACAAAACTTTTTATTTATCAATCTTGAGCATGTAATTCATCAGTATACGCAATAATAATAATGGTCATCAAAGATCAACATAATAAATAATTGCACCTGCCACGATTTCTCACAACGCCCCGGGTTGACTGGAGGCCGGTGCCGGCACCAATGAAATTGCTTATTTAAAGTGTTGACTTACGAATATCACGTGCTCAGCGGTGAAGGAAAACATCGTGAGGAAACCTGCATGTTTTCGAAATAACAACAAAAAAATATTTCGTAAATATATGAAATCCGCCAATCCGAGTTGGGTCGCGTAGTGTACTGTCCTTCTACCCGCTTTACAGAGGCCTTTCACCAGCAGTGAGATATTTATAGGCTGTTACTTTACTTTTTTATTGTTTAGATAAATTCTCAGATCCATTTGATAAATTCAAAATTCAAATTCAAATCATTTATTCATCGAAATAAGAAATTTACATTTCATTTATCGATAGTCATTTTTTAAATCTACCACCGTTTCGTAATGAGGTTCCTCTAACTGAGAAGAAACAGGCGAAAGAAACTCCGTAGGTATCCTCTTTTTTGTCATCTTTTTTTTTACTCAACAAATACATAGTTATACAGTATATATATTTTTTTTAGAAATAGCTTAGGAGCGATCATCTCATTCCCAGGGGTTATTATCGTTAATGTATTCATTTATATTATAATAACCCTTTTTAAAAAGTTTTTCTTTAATAAATGTCTTAAACCTGTTAATAGATAGGCTTTGCACATTAACTGGGATTTTGTTGTAGAAGCGTATACACCGTCCCATGAACGAGTTACTGACTCTATGGAGTCTAGTAACTGGCGTTACAAGCTTGTTTGTTCCTAGTGTTTACATTATGTACATCAGTATTCTTATTAAAATTATTAATGTTTCTATGTACATACATTACATTTTCATAAATATATTGAGAGGCCAAGGTTAAAATATTTATTTCTTTAAATTTCTCTCTCAGAGATGCATTCAAATTAAGATTGTAAATTGCTCTTACGGCCCTTTTTTGCAAAATAAATATTGTTTCAACATCGGCTGCATGCCCCCATAGCAAAATACCGTATGACATTATGCTATGGAAATAACTAAAATAAACGATTCTAGCTGTATTTACATCAGTCAGATATCTTATTTTCCTTACAGCATATGCTGCAGAACTTAGTCTGCTAGCAAGTTTGGATATATTTGAATCAAGAGTTATTGGAAAGCTAATGGAAAACTACTAATTGGAAAGCTAAGTATATTAAAAGCTAATGGATAACACACACGTGAGTAGAACATATTATTTGAATTATTTAAAAAAAAATAGTAATAACTTTGATCCTTCTAATGTATTAAATGGATTTTTAATAAAATGCTTTATTCATCTCGTTTTTTAATACATTTACAGATAAGGGCCCTAAATCACCCTATTGTTAACCAATCTAAAGAGGTTGAAAAAAGTTTGGTGTTAAGTACCTAGTGTGTTAGGTCGCAATAGAGTCATTAAAAATTTAGGTTAGTCTCACTCACGGCCTAATTTATTGAATCCGTGTAAACCTGGCTTAAGGAAAATATTAAGTTAGTTAAAATGCAAACTGAAACTAACAATTAATGGCCTCGAATTTAGATAACTGCTCTAAAAGTATCACAAAACAATAAAATACTCTATTAGTAAAGATAAACCGTTCAAAGTTTATCAAGTTTTTATCTAAGAAAAAAGGTTATTAAATATAACACCTAAAAATAATTATATCTAATTGGCCTTTTTGTAAAAAAAAAGTCAATGTAGTTACATTGTTAGCTGATGTAATAACATAATTTTTTTAAATTCGTGCATCCTTTTTGTTATGTATCCTTTGTGCTTAGACCGTGCATAAACGTTTCTTCTTCTTTCTTCCTTTCTGATTCAATACTAGTGTTAGGTTCTTGTAGTTACCGTAGGGTTTCACGAAAGTATCCACCTAGTTAAATGTTCCGGCACCAAAGACAGTTCTGTGGGACGAGTACCGTCCATATACGTGCAACGGCCCAAGCTGCTGCGTGTTCCAACCACGGTGAGACCTTACAACAGCCTGTTGCGTGTTTGAAATTGACTTTTATTGTATATGCACAACAAAAAAAATATAGGTCAGTGGTGGACTTAACCCTCGCTGCATTACACACTAGTTAACCTTAACAGTGGAGCTAGATGCAATGAACGTTAAAAAATGCTGGAAAGGATGTAACGATGGATGCGCCAAGCATTGCTTCAAATGCTAAGAAACAATGTAGAAAAAGACGTTAAGATTTTCGTCGGTGTGGCTATCAGCTGTTTAGCTCAGTGGCTAGAGCGTCAGGCCGCGAATGCCGAAGACGTGGGTTCGATTCCCAGAGCGGCGACAATCTTTTCGTACTTTTTCTACATATTTTAATTAAAAAATGTTATTGAAGTTCAACTCGAGAGTCATCTCTAGTCAATATCAGTAGGGTACTTGCCTTTTTTACATGAGATAGAGTGCTTTGACATTTATCTAGATTACACTCAGAGAAAGCGATCCAATATTGAAGTAATGGTGTTATGTGAAAATTAAAAAGAAATATTTTTAATGTTAAAAATTTACTACTTATAAAATTTAAGAATTTAACAACAGTCTCTGTACTTATGAAATCTTAATCTTAACAAATTGAGCAAAACCAAGAAACACCAAAATAATTTTAGTACAACACCGCTTATGTAAAATTTAAATTCGAAATAAAATTTTAATTCATTGTTTTCTAGATAATATTATGTCCAGAATTAATGGTGCGAAATAAGTTATTATGCAGTCCGCACCTGAAACAATGTATCAGATATTACATTATAAGAAAACAGATACAGAATTTAATATTACCAAATGATATCTTTGAGAATACCTTTCTAATATTTATTCCCTCATAGTCTAACTAACCGCATCATAATAATTTGCAAATTATCTTTCAAAGCGTTATGCTTATTATATAACGCGGCGCTACTAACGCGACCACAAATCAACATACATATAGAGGATAAAAAATTTTAAAATTGTATTAAACATTTACATTCTTTAAAAATCAATATTTACAGAGTTATTAAATTTTCCAAAACAAACAATTTTAGAACACCTTACGTATAAAAGTGTAACGTAAAGTTCATTTGTAAAGGTCACAAAGCATATGAATGGGTTGAATGAATTTAAAAGAGATAAACATACTGTTAGAAGGAGAGACGTGTAATGCGACGTTTTGGCAACGAATGAAAAAGTCTCTGAATGTATGAATCAGTCAGTAGTAGTTGTATAGGTGTTACAATTTTTTTTTATTTTTTTTATTACTTTGAAAAATATTTTTTTAATTATGATTTTTTTTATGTTTATACTTTTTATGATTATTGGCAAATAGCGTTAGACATGTGTTCATTTATTGTCGCGATTGTAACGCCACGCTGTATATGTGGCTTCCAAGCAATGATATTTTATACCCACGGTCATACGGTCCCGAAGTATAATTGCTAATCGAAGTATTTAGTTACTTATTCGGCACAGATTTTGAACATTCAATGCTATAGGCACTCGCAAAAATCATCGCGTAAATCTAAATGAAACTATAATTAACTAATAGACAACAATTCGTCTCTATTCGAAACATAAAAGCCATCACGAAATAAAAAAAAATTCTTTACAAAATAAAACAACACATTGTGATAACGTAAATAAAACGTGCGATAAAATATTATTAAAAAAAACTTGCGGACGGGATACTAACATATATTAAGAAACTATATAGTTAGATAAAGTCTATAGAAGGAAAAAACTTAAATTTCTTATAACAGACTGTCTTACCGATTTATAAATGTATACTGCAAAATACTTCAATATTATAATTCCAATTCCAATAAGAATTAAATGAAGCAATCGGCACAATTTTTCATTTAAACATTAATAGAATAAGTGCAAAATTGTCAAAATACCGACCTGCCCTTCTCATGCATGTCAGGGTCTCCATCAGAATTGTCTCGACCTCCTTGCTGTCACCGGATCGGCAGATCATCGCGTACTCGCCCGACACCTGAATATTGCGGCAACAAATATATATTTAAAGGTCGCACCGTGTTCAGTGCTAATCTATTTTTATCATGCATTTCATTGATGGCATGATAACATAAAAGAAAGAATTTTGAGAATCGGTCCACAAATGGGGGAGAAATTGGTGAGCATACATAAAAAAAATACATAGAGTCAAAGAAAGAACCTCCTTTTTTGAAGTGGGTGAAAAATGCACAGTAAGGGAATTTAAAAAATATTATGATGACGACACAACGTGTCAGTCGAAATATTTAAGCGATGAGATGGTTAATGTATGCACATAGCATTAATTATTCAATAATTTGAAAATAATTCATAAGTATACTACAATAACGTCTAACTACATGTAAAAAAAGTGAAGTGACAACACATAAATGTCCCACTAATGGGCAAAAGCCTGCTCTAACAGGGTATAGTTCACCACGCGGCCCCACTGCGGATTGGCGGACTTCACTTATCTTAGAAATATTTTTTTTTATTATTATTGCAGGTTTCCTCAATATGTTTTCTTTCACCGCTGGGCTGTGAGCGTGTGATAAGTCAGCATTTATCATTAACAATTTCATTGGTGCCGCCACCTGGGATCGAACTCAGGTTGCTTGAGTATATTGAATTAAAGGTGAGTGCCCGGACACTGAGCTATCAAGGCCATCTATGTTTTATTTTGGCTCCTGGAAATTGTCACAATTACCTGATAAACAAATAGAGGATGATCCGGGAATTTGTCTTTGGTCTGGCGCACGATATCTATGTACGGCAAACCAGGCTTGACCATCAGGAAGTCTGCGCCCTCGGCCACATCACGCGCCTGGACAACAATGACGTGAATTAATACTCTGTATTTTAATTTTTGCAAAAGCTTAAGGTGGCAAATCACAACTTAGGGGTCCAAACCAGTGGTAGGAAGACGGAATGAAATTATGACAAACATGCAAAACTTTGTTTATATATAAATATATTTGTTCTGTATGTGTGTATATCACTGAACTCCTCCTAAACAGCTGGACGGATTTTAATGAAATTTTTGTGCGTCTTCAGGTCGATTCAAGAATGGTTTAGATTCACAATTCGGTCTACTACAATTATTTTTTATTATTTCAAAGTTGTCGAATTTAAGTCTTGTGTACAGGACAACATCTATCCAGTCTGCTAGTGTTAATATATCTTCTTTATTGAGACAAATTGAAATCATCAGTATATTATTCAAAATTATTCCAGTTAGTCAGCATATAAGCATATAAGCATGCCGCAAGATGACCAGACCTGCTTATGTGTGTATGCAACTTTCACTTCTAAGCTCGTTGTTCAATTTAAACAAACAACTCAACATTTACATTAAAATGCGTCAAATGCTGGAAGTAGGCCTCTCCAAGTAAATACCAAATGACTCAATGAAGCATTCAGTATCCCGTATATATAATATATTATGATGATTTGTGGTACATATCGTGATTCGTTAAGATCTTTTAAACGATAAAAAGCAAATAGCGAGTAAATCAATAGCATTCTATGCTAAGAAATAAACAAAATCATGGTAGTCAGTCGCAAGATGATGTACTAACTGCAGCACGTGCCGCCAAACCAGCGCTGCCTGGTGGCAGCTGGTAGCACTTGCGGTCCCCGGCCATGGGTGAGCTCTTCATCGTGTCGCGGAATGGGCCGTACATGGAGGACGCGAACTTGCATGAGTATGACAACACAGAAACCTGGAATTGATGACACACACGATTGTATACCTTTTTTTATAAAATTTGTTTTATTTCTTGTGTGCTTTATGCACGTTAGGAATGAATTTAGCGTAGATTTGATGAAATATGTATAATACACACACACACGCGCAGTAATATTTATTATTGATATTATTTTTCTAAAATTCATTAATACGAAGGGCGCACTAAAAGTTTCCGGAATGAATAAGAAAAAAATACTATTAAAGGTCAAAAATGAATTTATTGTTTCTCAAAATATTCTCCCTTTGCATAAATGCACTTTATCATGCGAGCTAGTTTGAAGCCTTGAAGCCGAGCGAGGCTCTGCTGAGCTGTCAAATTACACTTAAAATCCTAGAAAATCATACTAAGAAAATTTTCCCAGGTTAAATCCATTTTAATGTAGACACGCAATTTTTATAATAGCGCCACAATGTAAAAACAATTGATAGTCAGATGAAACAAAGTGCATTCTACAGCCAGAGAGTTCCATTTTCAAATGTAATTATTTTTTAAATTTTGTTTATGTAAGTGGCCAGTTCTGGAAACTTTTAGTGAGACCTATATATACGTATTCATTGAAACATAATAAACTATTTATAAATTCGGCATAAATTGCTCTATTCACCTGGTTCTGTAGTTTATTTTCTATAAGAGCACTCTTAATGGCTTTGATTCTGTTGTCCATCATATCTGATGGTGCTACAATATGTGCACCTGTAAACAACATGTATATTCTTAAAATCATGCTTTCACACATCTTTACAGTACATTTGGTAAAGAGGAGAATAACATACAAATGTTTTCCAGAAACAAGACATGTTTGAACCCTATATTAAAATAATAGAATAAATTTAAATAGAGCATTTAGGGTGCAAAAATTTTCCTAAAACATATTTTATTAGGCTAGTTTCTCAGTTACCAACCAATGATAGAATGCTAAATTTTGTAACTTGACCCAAATAGCATAGTGGGTAGTGTACCTGCCTCCAGTGTCAGAGGGTGTGGGTTCGATCTCCACTACTGGAAAAAGAGTGTGATGAACATAGTGTTTTCAAGTGTCTGGGTATTTATGTATTATATATATATATATATATATATATCTTATCCTTTAAACGAGCAATTCTTGTATATATATATATAATCGAAATCTCGGAAACGGCTCCAGCGATTTTCATGAAATTTAGTATGTGCATAGATATGGGGGTGAAAAATAGATCTAGCTAGGTTTCATTTTCGGTTTCATTTAGAAAATGTCCTTTTATCCCTGTTTTCAGGGAATGAAAAATATAATTCGAATATGACGGTAAATTTCGCTGCAAGAGAAAATGTCAAAATAGCTCGGTCGGTAATCGGGCGGCCCCAAAAAAGACGGCCGTGGTTCGCGTCACGATCATTTACACATTTATTTTTTTACTTTTTTTTTCGATTCCAGATCATTGCTTTCTTTATTTTTAATTTTTTGTTGATTTGTTATTTTGTTTTTTTTTTCCCTTTTTTTTAAAGTTCTTTCTTTTGTGAAAAACATCAGTTCATATTTTCTTATTATTACGTCGGTAAGATCGAAAAATATTATGCATATTTCATTACTCAATAATTTGTATCTAAATGTAATTTCCAAAATACACGATTTACCAAAAAAAAAAAAAACAAACCGAGCAAAGCGGTCTTCCGGGTACTATTTATTTACAAAAGAAAAGTATGATTAAGTATGTTACATTGTCATACAAGCTTTGTTTAGTTTGGGACTAGAGAATGTAGTGTAAAAATTAGTCCTAAAATATTTATAATTTTTTTATTTATGTAAGTATAATTAAGTTTTACTATTAAGTCATTTCAGTAAGTAATTTTTAAGTAAGTCAATAATTGCCTTAGAAGCAAAAATATACACAGCGTGTCTTTACAATCGCGACAATAAATGAACACACATATTATAGAGGATAACTTTTTAAAATTGTATTAAACATTTACTTTCTTTAAACATCAATATTTACAGAGTAAAATTTTCCAAAACAAAGAATTTTCGAACACCCCTCACGTATAAAACTGTAACGTAAAGTTCATTTGTAAAGGTCACAAAGTATATGAATGGGTTGAATGAATTTAAAAGAGACAAAACATACTGTTAGAAGGAGAGGCTTGTAATGCGGCGCTGTGGCAAAGAATTAAAAAGTTTCTGAATGTCTGAATCAGTAAGTTGTAATTGTATAGGATGTTACAAAATTTTGTTTATTTTTTACTTAATTAGTTTGAAAAATATTTATTTTTAATTATGTAATTTTTTTTACATTAATATTTTTTTATGATTATTGCCAAGTAGCATTAGACTTGTGTTCAGTTATTGTCGCAATGGTAATGACACGCTGTATATGTATAAACAATAGTCCATACCAGCTTTGGCATATGCTAGTGCCACTTCAGCAATCCTCTTTACAGATTCAGCATAATCAATGGAGCCATTAGCCGTAAGCAATCCACAATGTCCATGTGATGTGTATGGACACAAGCAAACATCTGCAGCTAGCACCAGTTGTGGCAATGCTTCTCTTAATTTAGGCAATGCTTTGACAACTGGGTTTTGTGGAGAGTCAGCATTACTACCTATAGAATCCTATGGAAAAAGAAAGAAATCATTCTCAATATAAGTCTAAAAATGTTTATTATTCATGATTATCTGTTTTCAATGCATGTTGATGATTTATCTGTTTACAATGCATGCTTAAAAAAAACAAATGTTACCTTGTCCAAAGATTCAATAACCCCAAATATAAGAATTGACTTCAATCCTTTTTTGACAAGCTCTGTGAGTGCTGGTATGAGTTTGTTGACACCATATCGGTAAACATTTGGCATACTTGATACTGCTTGAAATCCATCTTCATTCTCCCTGTTAAATTATTTAGATACTAATAAATTTTAAAACTTTTTTCTGGTTTCTTACATAACGCAAAAAATGGAAATCTATAGGATTAAGTCCATAGTGTACTAAAATATTAACTGAGACTAAGAAAAAGGCCCTAATTATAGGTGATTTTGCTAAGATACATGTTCAAAATTTAAAAAGACTACCTAAGCAAATAAAACATTTTTTTTTTCTCTAATTAAACAACCTATAGGTCAAAAAATAAATGAAGCACTTACAGCAAAAATACTGGATACATTACATTATGTGGTTCAATACCAGTGTTAGGTTCTTGTAACCGCCGAAGTGTTTCATGAAAGTATCCACCTTGCAAAACGTGTTCCGGGGCCAAAAACAGGTCGTTCATGTTGGCAAATGAAAGTAATTGTAATTTTTACCCAAATGAAAACTGCACAATTATGAAAACTGAACCTCTCAAAATTCAAAATTTTATTAAATGAGAAGGAAATTAAGCAATACTATCTATTTCATTGACGAGAACTTAACAATTACTGTACATCGCAGAAAAAGTTGCTGATAAAGTAATTTTGATAATACGATGTACAGACTGGCTAGTGTATTGACACTTGACCTTTCCTTATACGCTGAGACATAAAACGTAGTAAAGTAATTGCTGATCACTTGATAATACAGTAGGTATCGGTAATACTATCAGCCTGTTGATACTTAAAAATCCATTACTATCTTAGTATTAAGTATTAACATTTTATGGCCCGGTCCGGTATCGAGATCGAGAGGACCTTCTGTGAGTTAGGCCCAGTATTGCCAACTACTAAAACGAAATGTCCCTAAAATGAAGATGAAATAGCCCTAAATAACCCTAATCCAATTTTCAAAAGCCACAAAATAGTCCTATATTGAAGTCAAAGATATGGTTTAAATGAGTTTAACGTTTTGACAAGCAGACGGTTCACCTGATCTTAAGTGAATACCGTCACCCATGGACATCTACACCCGAGGGTTCCAGATGCGTTGAACCTTTTGAAAGTTGTGCTCCGGCCACCTCATTCACCAGACGAAACGCGAAAGTATTATAATTTCACTTTACGCCGGTCGCCTGTGAGGTCGTGGTACTTACCCGGACGAGCCTGCCCATTTGTGCAACAGCCGAAGCTGCTGCATTCAACAAAACAACACAACATTAACAAACATTTCATTAATTACATTCATTAATAGACATTTACTTGTGTTTTTGTTTTACTCACTTTGGTGAAAATATTTAATATTGATTGAAAAAAGCTCTACGTGCATAATTCCACCCTAATTTGGGGCTAGAAGCCCAAAGTTGGCGGCACTGGCTAGGCTGTCATAGGACATGGAACGTCAAAAAATATATCGATATATATATTTTTAAATGTATCGATATTTTTTGCTGATATATTTTGATTCGATTTATCGAAACAAAATATTGAATATCGAAATCGTAACAAAAGCGATATTTTTATTGAAATTTAATTCAGCTGAATATTAAATTATTCAAAACCGTAAAAGACAAAAATGAACGAAAAAAAAAAACATTAAAATATGTAGAAAAAGTGCGAAAAGATTGTCGCCGCTGTGGGAATCGAACCCACGTCTTCAGCATTCGCGGCCTGACGTACTAGCCACTGAGCTAAACGGCTGATTGCCACACTGACGAAAATCTTAACGCATTCTTCTACATTGTTTTCTTAGCATTTGAAGCCATTTCCCACAGCGATGATGATTGATGATTCCCACAGCGGTGACAATCTTTTCGCAATTTTTCTACATATTTTAATGTTCAATCTTAAGTGCAAAGATTAGCACTATAAAGAATTTAAATTTGTAGAAAAAGAAGTTAAAATTTTCGTCAGTGTGGCAATTAGCCGTTTAGCTCAGTGGCTAGAGCGTCAGGCCGCGAGTGCCGAAGACGTGGGTTCGATTCCCACAGCGGCGATACTCTTATCGTACTTTTTCTACATATTTTAATGTTCAATCTTAAGTGCACTATAAACAATTTAAAATACCAATGTTGTTTTAATAAAAAATAGTGAACTGATGACTTTTTTTGTATCTTTTAATTTTTGATCTTTTCGGGATAAAGAAAATTAAAAAGTAATGTTTACCTTCATTGTAAATCAATGTCTCGTTTTAAGTTAGAAAAAAATGGTCAATTTAAGTATAGGTAGTATAATAAAAATGCAGTGCCATTTTTAAGTAATTCATACTGATATTAAATCCAGTATATAGAATTTGGTGTGTTACAAAGAATTGTGGTTTTCATTTCAATCATCGCTCATAAAATCAAATTGAAAATTTCATTAAAACGACGTTAATAATAGCCTCGGACCAATAAAAAAGTAGTAGAGCCGCCCAAGCCCGTGGGTTCTGGCTAGCCCACCGGTTCTGCCAAACGTAAACGTAGTGATTACTTTCTCTTTGGGTTCTGCGTCAGATGAAGCTTTAATAGTCTCGGGATTGAAAGCAAAAACATCAGTTAATACAAGATTACAACAGTAGAGCCGTCGTAAACAATCGCGGCTTTGTGTGTATAATACGGCGTAAATATCGGACGATTTGCGCAAAAATGTTGCAAGCTTGGTGTTGCGACTCCCAATTTCGATTGTTGTATTTGTTTTGGTTGTATGAATTTTTAAGGAATAATTGTCAGCTGCGATTGGTCTTGCATTTTAGAAAAAGTTTTAAAATGGTTAACTAAGTATCGTAATGTACTTATTGGCCATCGACCTAGTTAACACAAATAAAACATGGACGCATGATTGTCGCTCCAAAATGATGTAACGAAAATCTCAGGATATAAACTGTGTTGCGGGGCAGTTTTAGTAAGATTCTGTCTGTGTCCATTTCCCTATATACAAAAGTACTCTGTGGTGTCGATTGACTGATCTGACATATAGACAGATTGAATATAAATTCAATATGTTTTTGATCATTTATTGGCCAATTGAAGCTCTTCGAAGCTTTTTTGAGTTCAGTCAAGTAATTCCATTTTATAATGTTGTGGTTTTTATCCAAAAACTCTTTAAGGGATTGCAATTGTTTTCTTACCATATTTAGCTCTTATATCTTTCAGAATTGCTTTTAGTGATGCGTTTCTCTTTTTAAGGCGTTTAACCTACTGATTAAGTGTTCTGATTTTGCGCGCATGAACTTTAGAAAGTAATTTATACTTTCTTGCTTGTTGTCCTAGTTTATGTTCTTCGGGAGTGTCAAATATGACTCTAATTCGGAATCCCAAGTGTCAGATTGATCGTTTGAGATGGTTGGTGGTTTTGATACATCTTCCATTATCTGATATGATGTATCACCAAAATTATCAGCCACGTCAACTTCCTCCTCAACGTTACAGTCCTATGACAGTGACAATAGGTCGTTAAGATTTTTATAAGTACTTATATCTTATCTAAAATTCATACTGATTATCATTTGAGTAGACACAAACCTCTGTTTTAAGTTTTAGTGTTGAAGATTTAGGATCAATAGAGCTACCAGACGCTTCCGTTTCTTGACACCACTCAGAATTTACAAGAAGAATCTAAAATGATGATACAATGATTGTTTTAGAATAAGATAAATATTTACGGTGATAAAAAAGCCACAATAAATAACCAACCGTTTTTGGTGTAGCGTATTTCTTAATTCGACGGTAACCACCTTTGGTGTTATAAACATCAATTTCTTTAAAATGTAAAGATCAAACTACACTAAATTTTGAAGGACTTGACATCACTTCTGTTGTCCCGTACTGCTCTAATCCAGCCTTCTTTCCACCTTATATCAGTTGGGAATCTAAAAAATATCATATCAAATTTAACTATATATTATTTGAATCTGTTTGATATATACTGACGTATCATACTAATATCAGTTGTAACGTGTTCGAACAAAAGTTACTGTTAGAGATTTCATAACATTCCGCTAAGGATTACTGGCCACTTACAGATAACACTGTGTTACATTTGAAAATTGTACTGTTCCCGTGTGTGTCAAGTGCAGTCGAGAGAAAAACGTCTTTGTAAAAACTGTCTTTCTATAATTATGTATTTTGTGTTAATTTAATATATTTTTATTATTCTATGTGTCAATAATTTATCTTCATTGAATTGATCATTGATTGGGAATAAATCTTTCCCATCAGTTACAAATTTCCTAATTTTGGGTAAAGATAGTGATCTTAACTTGCAACACATAATAATTATTTCAAATATTTTTAGGACTTACTTTTGTACTAAAGTACTAAATTATACAGAAAATTGGCTTGTGAAAAGTAATCCCAGAAGTCCCAGAACCCTTTTTTTGGAGACATGAATTATTTTTGCAGCCCTTTATGACACAGGAAGGCATAATTTCGCAATTGTTATTTTATTGCCGCTACATCATGCACTCTCATTCACTAGCAGCAGACTGCTGAGCAGCTGTCGTCATATGGCCGAATCGTCTTCATAATACTTTCCTCTATCTTATTTTCTATCTATACTTTTTTCAAAATATTCTGAACGAAAACCGACATTTAATTGATTTGATGGCTAAACGAACCCTGCTAAGTGATCTATCTCTAACTGTCTGAATTCTGAATCTATGGTGAGTCTTCTGTAATTTACAGTATAGTCTAAAGACGTATAGTAATTCAAATTATCTAAGATCTGTATTTTGTGTTCTGTAATACATTATAAATATAATATTATTAATCTGTAATCTCAAATCTGTGTATATACTGTACCTAGACAAAAAGTCAGGTCTGAGTGGTCTGTGGTCCAATACATATTTGCAATTGCATTCGGCAAATTGTTCATGTAGATTTAAATATTTATTGATGAATTCTCTTTCATTTGTTCTATAAACCTAATGAAATGAATGCCATGGAAACGATAATAATGAAAAATCTTAGCAAAAATTAATTGACAAAGAAAAATACCATTTCTATGTCTTAAATTATTTACAATGAGCTAAAGACAGCATTGTTCTGCAAAATTAATACTTATATATATTATATAAGTAGCAGTAGCACCAAAGTATTTTTTGAATGGTCTCTTACCCAACAGGGTCGAAAATTCTAATCTTTAAATATTATGTGCAAAAAGTGCATAAGTATAATTAAGTGAATAACCGATTGTACCTGCAGTTACCTTGACCTCGTATAAAGAAAGGGCTCTGCAACATGCACTCGGACCACGACGAAGGTTCAATCATCAAGAGAAAACAAGATAAGACCGACACTCCATCGGACACGGTTACGGTTAGAATCGAAAATCCTGAATCTAGCGCAGATAAAAAGACAGATAGCGCAGACCCTAAACCACGTATTGTGCTCACATTCCGCTCCGAAAAAACAGGCGCAAAGAGCAGTAACATGAAGATCGTGTCAACAGAAGAAAAACATGAGGAGATCTCACCTAGACGTTCAAATCGAAATAAGAGCATAAAATGGGAGTCCGATGAGGATAATGATACCCAGGTATCTTCCAAAACTGATATAAATGTTAGTCAATCCATGTCGGAAAATGATGAAGCATCAGACAGTTCACATGCGACACTAAAACGGTCTACAGGCCGTAGGAGCAAAGAGTTTTCTGAAAATGTACTAGCTAATGCTATAGCAAGAAAGGAAAAGTCGTATGAGACTATTCCAGGCCCAACACAACGATTATCAAGAAGGATTAAGCCTACAGCAAAAATATTGGCTAATGAAGAACTGAGAATGGGATTGGAATCTCAAAATAATGCTCGTCTTGGAATACAAACTGAAAAGTCTTTAGAAGAAGGTGTTAGGACTAGAAGGTCTGCACATACAAAGAACTACGAAGCAGGCAATGACAACACTATGGTTGATAAGAAAGCAGTAAAACGTCACAGGCCCATGCAGGAAGAGGTGAAACCAGAAGCAGCAGAAAGTTCTGCTTCTGATATGAAAGTCAAACATCTATGTAAACTTGGCCTCAAAGCAATCAGTAATGTTTCCAATGATGAACAATCTCAGGAAAATGATAACAGGTAAATTAGTATAGCTATATGGATTTACATATCTTAAAGTAGTTTGAAGAACACATAAGTTTTGAGAAAATTATTTATAGTTTTGATTTGCTCTTTTTCATCATCTATTTATCTTATATTCTCAACATAACATTATTGAAAAATAAATTTAACAAGTATTTATAATGTTGTTAGTTATATTTATAAAGTTCTCATAAAGCTATGTTGAACACACTTTATCTCTTATACCTTTATTCAACAGCCATTCTTTGGATAATGGGTACTTACTTTACCTAACTTTTAATTGGAAATTGCATTCAAAATGTAGATGTCAGTAAATATTTATAGTATATTATTATTTATGTTTACAAAAGGCTCCTTAGATATATACTCCGTAGATTCCGTGTATACTCTTTGTATGTCCCAGGATGTGCCTGGGACATACATAGAGTATACTTAAAAAATAAAAAACAAATACTTGCAAACTAAAAATGCAGGCAAATTTATTCCCCGTTGAAAAAATATTTATAATCATTATGATTCTCTCAACACACCAATATTAATATAAAGTAACTTACTCAACACGGCAAAAACTTTAAAACAAAGGAAATGTTGGGTCCCTTAAGTTTTAAGTTTGACAATCCCTCAGGAATTCGCCATATTTAGGTTTACATAATAAAAATAAATTTTTAATAACTTTCAGAAGTATAGGGGATGATGAAGATCAAGAAGCAGTTGAAGAAGATGAGGAAATTGATGATGATACAGAAGTTATTAATAAATTACTTGAAGCTGATGAGGACAGCAGTGATGAGGATTTCTACTGCACAGTCAGTGGAAATGCGGGTGAACGTCCAAGACGTTCTACAAGACTATGTTCATCTTACGGAATTCATGAAAGTGATCAGTCCTCAATGTCCATGGGGGACGATGAGTCTAAGTAAGTTAAAGGAAGGAATATAATTGAAACAAAACAATTGACGTTTTGTTTCCATTATATTTCTTCCTTACTTCTACACAGTTTTAATTTTAAAAAATTACCTTATTTTTGATAAAGTAAATTTTGACACTAAACTTCCAATTTCTTTTTGTAGGGCTGCTCCGCGTAGGTCGACAAGACTCAGGTTTAGTGGCAGTGATTTTTATGATCGGTAAGTACATATATATTTTTTTCTTATATAAAATTAACCTAACAGCCTATGTACAGAGGAGGCTTTTACCCAGCAGTGGGACAATTATGCAGGCTGTTACTTTATTTTTAAATAAAATACAGCTATGGTATTAGTGAATTTAATTAAATGTTTATGTACGAGGGCGGAATGATAAGTAACTAGCCTAATAAGAAAACACTTAACTTTCCATGATAAAATTAATTTTATTTTTCGACATACTCTACGTGAACCGCTACACACTTATTCCATCTTCGTTCTAAAGCAGTAATGCCTTCCAGAAAATGATTTCTTTCGAGGCCTGCAAAATACTCCTCTACGGCGGCTATGACTTCATCATTTGTGGCAAATTTCTGTCCGCCCAAAAAAGTTTTGAGCTTAGGGAATAAGTGGAAGTCTGATGACGCTAGATCAGGCGAATAAGGTGGGTGAGGCAGCAAATCATACTTCAATTCGTTGATTTTTGCCATAGCTTTAACACATGTGTGAACCTGTGATTTTTTTTTTCACCAAACCTGGTCGTTTTTGCTGAGTACATTGATGAAGCTTATCAAGAAGATTAGCGTAGTATTCACCATTAATTGTTTGACCTTTAGCAAGGTAATCTATCATCAAAATCCCATCTGCATCCCAAAAGACGGAAGCCATCACTTTTCCAGCCGACTTTACAGCCATGGCTTATTTTGGAGCCGGGCATCCCGATTGAGTCCACTGTTTTGATTGAATTTTTGATTCTGGCGTGTAATGATGAACCCATGTTTCATCTGTTGTTACAAATCGACGTAAAAAATCGGCCTTATTACTCTGAAAACGGTCCAGACATTCTTTTGAGTTTTGCACCCGAATCCTTTTTTGATCGTGCGTAAGCAATCGCGGCACCCAACGGGCCGATAACTTTTTCATATTTAATTCCTCCCTTAGGATATGATGTACCCGTTCTTTTGAGATACCTGTAGTGTCAGCTATTTCAGATAACTTTAATCGTCGATCTGCTAAAACCATATCATGTACTTTCACGACCATTTCCGGAGTCGTAACGCTTTTTTGGACGTCCGGGGCGGGCTTCATCTTGGACACATGTACGACCGCGTTTAAAGTCAGCCACCCAGTTTTTTACTGTGGCATAAGAAAGAGCACATTCACCCAAAACATTCTTTAACTCGTCATAGATATCTTTCGCCTTCATCCCCTTCATATGAAGAAACTTTATCACCGCTCTCTGTTCAATTTTATCCATTTTGAAAATAGTTGACGAAATATATTTTCAAATGACAAAAAAACAATAAAATTTTCACGCCACCTAATTCAAATTTAGAACACAGGTGGCCAGAGATACGAATTTAAAAATGACACATATATTTTTTTAATTTTAACTTTTTAAATAGCAATGGCTAGTTACTTATCATCCTGCCTACGTATCTATTTTAGGCATTTCATAAGTGTTGCTATAATTCTACTGGTGCTTATATGTATGTCTTACTAGTAAGAAGAGGTTTTATTATTTTTTGATACACTTAATGGCACATTTTTTACCAGTGACCTATTCAAATGTGATTAGGTCACAAAAAATATTTACAATGGTAAATTTTTTTTTTTTTTTTTTTTTTTTTTATGCGAAAAGTTGTCAAACGAGCAGACGGTTCACCTGATTTTAAGTGAATACCGTCGCCCATGGACATCTGCCACACCAGAGGGTTACAGATGCGTTGACAACCTTTTGAAAATTGGGCTCCGGCCACCTCACTCACCAGACGAAACGCGAAAGTATTATACTTCCACTTTACGCTGGTCTTCTGTGAGGTCGCGGTACTTACCCGGACGGGCCTGCCCATTCGTGCAACAGCCGAGGCTGCTGCGTGGCCCTACCACCGTAAAATATATTTTGACTGTAAAAAAATTGTTTACAATGACTATATTGTAAAAAAAAATTGTCCACTTGAAAGAGCCTGGAGCAATCAGTCCATTTTCAGAGTATGTTATCATTTAAATAATACTAATATTGTAATAACCTTTAACAAAAAAAAAATCCTTTACAATTTTTTTTTAATTTAGCAGTTGGTACAATTTGAATGTTTTCTGGGATTTGTTGTAAAAACATATGCATTGTCCTATAAAACAATTACTTATTCTAGGCGGTATTAGTTGCTTTATTGCACTTATAATAAATTCACCCCACCATAACTTGATTGGTAAATATTGTTTTGGTTAATCAATTGAGATTAAAGAAATGTTATATAAATTTAGTATTCAATATTTTTAGATAAAAACTAATTGAAACTAGAGTGAGCAGCACTTTTGAGATAGTTTTTGTGGAAAAATACTCCAAAAAAGTTAATATTCATTCTTTATTATGTACTTCAGTTTTAAGCTCTAATACTGTATGTGAACGAATAAGTAACCAAATTTCATGCTAATTGAATTGAATTGTCTGAGTGCGGCCCTAGGATGTGTGTTTTAAGCATGGTGATTAAATATTCTTCAACTTAAATAACATATCACAAAAATGTTTATACATTTGAGATCACTAATAAATAATCAAATAGGTATATGGAACAATCTGTTTTGCGTAGGGAAGCTGCGGAGCCCGAAGAAGGTGATGAGGCATCATTTCCCACTGAACAATTTCCTATCATTGCTACTTGCAATTGTGAGATGGCCAGCAATATGTATGCTGCTGCTGAAGATTTAACTGGTAAGTTAATCTCCATGTATTATTCCCGGTATACTAATGCTAATATCATATGCTGAAATGGTATAAGCACATATGTGTGTGTATTATAAAAAATAAGCAATTGTTCTTAACACTTATGCCTTGTGGGCAGCCCGCTCTTTCCTGACCTATCTTCCAAATCAGCAACTTGATGAAGTTTTTGAACAATGCAGAGTTGGTGTAAAACATATTTATAATCTTAACACTCAATAACCATACATAGCTCATACATTTAATTTAAACTTGATGATGTCTGAACAAAATTTTGTTTGTTTTTTAACCAATGCATTTTCGATTTTTAAAACATGGAGGAACATGAACAGTGTAGTGAGTTAGATAGTTCGGCTATTAGATTTAATTTAAATAAAAAAACCTTCCATAAAAATATAAATACAAATCCATATACATAGTCATGCCTGTCATCCAGACAATAAAAAAATTCTGTTCTATTAGGAGAACCATTTGTATGCTAATTTGAAATATTGATTCTCATTTATCTCACCCGAGGGTTCCAGATGCGTTAACAACCTTTTGAAAATTCGGCCACCTCACTCACCAGACAAAACGCGAAAGTATTATACTTTCACTTTACGCCGGTCTTCTATGAGGTCGTGGTACTTACCCGGATGAGACTGCATAAGACATGCCTTTTTTTTTTATGTGAAAAGTTGGCTCACCTGATGGTAAGTGAATACCGCCGCCCATAGACATTTGTCACACCCGAAGGTTACAGATGCGTTGACAACCTTTTGAAAATTGGTCTCCGGCTACCTCACTCACCAGACGAAACGCGAAAGTATTTGTCATACTTCCACTTTACGCCGGTCTTCTGTGAGGTCGTGGTACTTACCCGGACGGGCCTGCCCTTTCGTGCAACAGCCGAGGCTGCTGCGTGGCCCTCCCACCGTAATACTAGACGGATGGCTGAAAAGTTGTGTATCTGCCTTTTCTAGAACCGGTGTTCTGCCAGGCGATCGAGACGGTGGACGGGGTGCGCGTGGGGTGTTCGCACGCTGCCGCTCGCGTCGGGGGCGAGTTGCAGCCCCTGCGCAGGGCTGGCCCCCGCACCCCCTACATCCTCGCCTGCCGCCTCCACGCGGCCCAGCTGCAGCGACACATGTGCTGCCCCGCGTGCGGCCTCTTCTGCGCCCAGGTTGACAAATGCCACCGCCGTATACTCCACACTTAAATAATAATAATAACTTTTTTTTCTCACCGCATCGGTTTGAACAATCTATAGAATGTACAACTTGATATCGCCACCCGTTAGCGTGTGAAACATATGGTCACTGTTCACAGGGTATATTCTACCAATGCTCGGTGGGGCATTTGTTCCACCTGGAGTGCGGTATACCCGGCGCCGTGGAACGCTCCGGCGATGTGAAGCAGAGTCCGGGATGTCCACACTGCGGTGTACACTCCACGCAGTGGCAGCCGGTGAACAGGGATTGTGGCCGGGTCAAAATAGAAATGCACTGCAGCGGTGAACGGGTGTTCCTGCCCGAGCAACGGGAGCAATCGTGAGTGTCACTACCTGACTATGGCCATATGTATATTTTGTATCTTTGTGTGGTAGGGGATGGGTAGTAAGCCCCAACAACCCCAAGAAAGATCTATTGTACCACCCATCTCTACCCATCGAAAACATTGTCCCCTTACTTTTGGATAACACTAGCCTGTGTTGTTTAGAATTGTTAAAAAAAAATATTTGCAAGTTATGTGAAGTCCGCTAAACCGCAGTGGGGGATCTCGTGGTGGACTCTTTAATATCCTCTGTGCAGAGTACGCCTTTGCTTAGCAGCAGGAAGCAGGCACTTGTATAGGTTGCTACTTCTACTTCAAGAGAATAAAGCAAAATGGAAAATATGAAAATAGAATAGGCAATTAGAAAGTCTTACATTTAGTATGTAGCCATTACCATTTAATTGGTACTTTAAAAAAAAATAAAATTACATTTACCTTTTATATCAAGGTCAAGAATTATTTAAAGTCACAAGTTAAAAAAATGTGTGTACTTATGTACGCACATAAGAAGTTATACTTCTTTGACGTAACAGAAGAAAATAACTAAAAATTTTATACCTTGTGACAGCACTCTTTGTGAAAGGGACATTAAATGATAACAGTTTAGTAAATAACTTTGAATTATAGGCAAATTTCAAAAAGTTGTTATTGGTAGCCATGGTGGAGTTGGGCGCTTTACAACCAACTACATGATCGCTTTTTGGCTGTCAGTGTGCGCGCGCATTGTATAAATTTAAATCTCATAGCTCTTTCCAAATGCGTCAAAATAATTGTGACTTCAATAGAAAAACAACACTAACAATAGAAAAAAGGCATTTAATACATTGAAAGTTTTATTATAACACATTATCTAGTTGAATAAAGTTTATTTCATCATCATCATCATCATTTCAGCCTGTTTGAGTCCACTGCTGAACATAGGCCTCCCCCATAGACTGCCACGAAGTACGATCCTGAGCCACCTGCATCCATCGACTTCCCGCACATTTGCACAGGTCTTCACTCCATCTAGTGGGGGGGTCCCACACTGCGATGGCCAGTACGAGGCTGCCACTCGAGAACCTCTCTTCCCCAACGGTTATCGGTTCTACGAGCTATATGGCCGGCCCATCGCCACTTCAGCTTGCTAATCCTCCGAGCTATGTCGGTCACCTTGGTTCTACTGCGGATGTCTTCGTTACGAACTCTATCACGCAGAGAAATAGCCCGCTCCATAGCTCGCTGAGCGACTTTGAGCTTCCTCATACGGCCAGCAGTGAAGGACCATGTCTCGGTTCCGTAGGTCATCACTGGCAACACACATTGATTGAAGACTTTAGTCTTCAAGCATTGAGGTATATTCGACGAGAAGATTTGCCGAAGTTTCCCGAACGCTGCCCATCCGAGTTGGATTCGCCGATTGACCTCTGCGTCGAAGTTGGACTTACCTAGCCGGACTAACTGTCCTAGGTAAACGTACTCGTCAACAACTTTGAGCTCAGTGCTCCCAACAACAACCGGTATTGGCGTGACATGGACATTAGACATGATCTTCGTCTTGTCCATGTTCATCTTAAGGCCCACCCGTTGGGAGACACTGTTGAGGTCATTGAGCATAGTACTAAGGTCCTCCAGCGATTCTGCCATGATGACTATATCGTCGGCAAATCGGAGGTGGGAGATATATTCGCCATTGATGTTAATACCTCGTCCTTTCCAGTCCAGAAGCTTGAAAACATCTTCCAACGCAGCGGTGAAGAGTTTCGGGGATATGACATCACCCTGTCTTACAAGTTTATTTAAACATCACAAAATAAATATCGTGAATACAGTTGTCAGTTCTCACGCAAACATACGTAGATGTCTAGCTAACTTCGGGGTGTCGGTTTTTCGTGACGGTGTAAGCGCGCATCGTAAGAATGTACTCTCATCATTTTTCCCTAACGCGCCAAAAGAAGTATAACTTCAAAAAATGTTAATGTTAAATGTTTTTCAGGACTCCAGCCTACCTAAGCTTTTCTGCGATAAAGCCGTCCTTACTAGAACAAGGTCCGCTGATTCCTGAAGACTTATTACCTTCTCCACCGGTCGATCTGACGAAGCTATGTGAGGCCTCAATTGTGGAAGTTGGAGAAATGTCATTGTCAAAGTTAGAATGGCTTCACGAAGCCATCATTGCTGGGGAGACACCAGAGCAATTAATACCCAAAATTGGTAGTTTACCCTTTCTTTTATCTTTAATTTTAACTTGTCATTTTCATAATGTTGCTATTTAAATGTTTTTTTTTTAATGAAAAATGAGCATTTCATTTATGTACATATGCAATTTATTAATTTCCTTTTACTTAAAAGTTATTTATGTAAATTAGTTGAATTAGCGTAAATATGTCAACCGCCTATGTTTGAATTTAGGATGTAATTTTTTTAAATAAACTTTCGAATAATTCTCGGGGTTCGAACCAGCATCTTCCAGCTGACGCTCTTAACCAACCAAGCTGAGTCGCACATGACCTCAACGCGCGAAAATCGGGAATCGAACTCACATCTGGACTCGCCCACACCCTTTGATCACTAAGCCAGCGGCTGATTGCCACACCGACGAAGATCTCAACGTATCTACGTTTGTCTAATATTCATCTCAAGTGCAGAGAGTAGCATTATAAAAATTTAAATCATAACATTATTATCTATTCCGATATGCATACATTTTTGACAATATTTCAACAAACGTATTTGGGTAATGTGGCAATTACAGTTGCCGCAAAGGGTGAAGGTCTCGACACGGCAATGGGGCTGGCAGCAAGCCATGGGCGCGTTGCTGCTCTCTATCTGCTTCACTACTCCGGTGCCAAGCTTGACTCTCTGGACTCAGAGCAGCGCACTCCTCTTCTCCGAGCCCTCGTCGGTAAGTAGTCTATCCATCACAACTGAGGATGAATATAACTTTACCAGGATAGCATGTTTAACATTTACTTTAGTGTGTTAAGTAATTAAAATTGCGTATTCTGTAGTCAATTTCAATGTCAATTAGTATTGATGATGATATAACTATCAGGATAGCATATTTACCATCAACTGTAGTATGGTAGGTGATTAAATTTGGTATATTGTAGTCAATTTCAATGTCAATTAGTACTGGTGATGAATATAACTTTACCAGTATAGCATATTTACCATCAACTGTAGTTTGGTTGGGAATAAAATTTGGTATGCTGAAGTCCTCATCATTATTAATTCGTTTAGGCAATAAAGTCGCCTGCTTAATTCTAGTGAAAACTGGGGGTAAAATTACTGTTTATGTTTGAAACACGATCATATTGTTATACAATGTGATGGCTGGCAAAAAGTGGCTTCCGCTGTTGCCTGATTGAGCAGGTTGCCACAGGGAAGTAGCACAGGCCCATAGAAGAGAGACTTACAAGTGTGAATAACTGCAGTTTCGCGTATCGTTCGACTCTACCACGTTAAAATAATAGAGAATATTTTTACGCAGCGTTATTAGACAAGCCGAGAAAGACCGAAGCTCCCACAAAGGGAACCGCAGAGACGAAGACTGAGGAAATGGACGCGGACGATAAAGAGGAAGCAGATGCTGAGCACGACAAAGAAGCTGAACAGGACGAGGAGGAAACGGAAGTTATGAAAAAACCTAGCGACGAGGATTATATGAAAGTGATTAGATACTTGATCGCCGCCGGGTGTGATGTCAATCTTCCAGTAAGTGATTCAGTTATAGGTTACAAACAATGTCACATTAACTACTGAGATTTAACGGCAATGACATTACATTTTTTCATTAATTCTTTTTTAGATAGATTGTACGATGGAAAATATGTGACATTGCCTGAATATACGCCAGTACACTTTACGTAGGTAATGCAACTCGTCCTCGTAAGGAACACGCGTCGTTTTGTTAATATGGGAACCGGGCGTACACGCCTTTTATCTACAAGTCGTTTTGAAAGTTACGAAGCTATGTAACTAACGGCCGTTCTTTGAATATAGGAACCGGGCACTATATCGGCCCATACCATGTGTGGGGTTCAGGGCATGAAACAGGATAGGACCGGAGCATAGGACGCTTTACATTCGCTAGGACGCTTTGAGTTTCGGCGTTGTGTGTGTGTGTATGTATGTGAGTGTGTGTGTGCATGTGTGCGCGAGGGTCTACACGCCCGTGCCGTGCGCAGGGGGTGGAGGGGATGACGCCGCTGCACGTGGCGGCGCAGCTGGGCGGGCGCGAGGCGTGCCAGCTGCTGCTGGACGAGGGGCGCGCCGCGGTGGACGCGCGCGACATGGGCGGCTGGACGCCGCTCGTGTGGGCGGCCGAGAACTCGCACTCGGACGTCGTCAGGTGCGCTCCCATACGAGTTTTATTTCAATGTAATGTATTCTAATTTTTTACATATACAAGTGGTCCGCTTCCATATGAAAGTTTAGGCCGATGGCGAAGGTTTCGCGTGTGAAATTTATGGTCCTTCGAGAAGGATGCTGGTGGTTCGTTTTGAGTTTATCTGGTACGATTATTGAAACAGTTTTTTAATTATTCCTATGAAACTTAACCTTTTTGTTAACAATATTGAAATGTTCAATGATGCAAATACGAGACGGATATGACACTAAGGGTGCACCGAATCTTTGTCACTAAAATTACACCAATCTCTTTTCGTATCTATATGTGATATATTGTAAAGCGACGAAACAATTTTGTAAAGCCATGTATGGACACGCGTCATCTGTATTATTTATTTATTTATTGCACATCCATTAAGTAACAAAAGGTGTTAGGGTAATTAGTAAAATAGTTCTTTATGGACTCTGTTTATAGGGCATAGTACAAAACAAATCATAAATTCGGAGAGAGCAAGGTGTATCACTTAGGTAATTTAATGAGGTACTTGTATAAGTAGTTGGTATTTTGAGTAGCTATTTATTTTTATAAGTAACATTTATTAGTTTTAATTTATATATTAATTATGAGTAATTTGTTTAATATATTTATGATGTGAGATCATTATGTGTTATTTATATCTATAATATCCAAGGTATCTCCAAAACATTCTATAACGTGTCATCCGGGCAGGCTGCTGCTGGAGCGCGGCGCGGACGCGGCGGCGACCGACGAGGAGGGCAACGGCGTGGTGCACTGGTGCGCCCTGCACGGCGACGCGCGCTCGCTGCGGCTGCTGCTCGACGCGGCGCCGCACGCGCACCACGCGCCCAACGCGCACGCAGACACGCCCCTGTGAGCACACACACGCGCACACGAGCGTCCGTCCGAGTCGCTCTCGACACGCACACACGCGCGTACGAGTCGCTCTGGCACGCGCACCACGCGCCCAACGCGCACGCCGACACGCCCCCGTGAGCGGACGGCCGGCGTTTCGATACACGCGCGCACACACGCGTCCGAGTCCCACTCGACACACGCATGCACGCGCACACACGCGTCCGAGTCGCTCTCGACATGCGCACACACGCGCATAAACGCGTCCGAGTCGCTCTCAACACGCGCACACACGCGCAGCATGCGCCCAACTTGGACGCACCTGTGAGCCGTTAGGGATGTCGAACAAATATCGATACATCGATGTTTTTTATTCTATCCATCGATACAATATCGAAACACAAAGTCGTTTTTAGGACCTATATTCGATATATCGATATGTCGAGGTCAATATTGATATTTTTATAAATATGGATACACAATATATTTATTCATTTTAGACATCACTATACTAGACTTTTTAAAATTGTACTAAACATTTACATTCTTTAAACATCAATATTTACCGAGTTATTACATTTTCCAAAACAAACAGTTTTAGAACACCCTTACCTATAAAACTATAACGTAAAGTTCATTTTTAAAGGTCACAAAGCATATGAATGGGTTGAATGAATTTAAAATAGACAAAACATACTGTTAGAAGGAGTGGCTTGTAATACGACGCTGTGGCGCGAATTGTATAGGTGTTACAAATTTTGCTTCTTTTTTACTTAATTAGTATGAAAAATATATTTTTTTAATTATTGATTTTGTTTAACGTTAATATTTTTTTTATGATTATTGGCCAGTAGCGTTAGATGTGTGTTCATTTATTGTCGCGACGGTAACGACACGCTGTGTAACTGTGCATACGTCTAAAAATTATATTGGTTATTTACGTCTTTATTTCATTGGTCTCTAGTCGAACTATCTATCTTTCTCCGTCATTTAGTTCCATTTTTATTTGCATACATTTTTAATGCATTACTTTGTCGACAGACACGTCGCGGCGCGGCAAGGACACTATGCCTGTGTGGTTATTTTGCTCGCCCGAGGTGCCAGGGTATGTTGCCAATATATATATATATATATATATAATATATAGATATCTCTAAGTGCACAGATAAGAGCTAGAAAATTGTATGCTTTAACACTCATTTAAGTCTCATTTGTGATTGAGCAACGGAAACCCGATTGTAAGACTTGTGCTCGTAATAAGCGCATAAGTTCCGAGATACGGAAAACTTGCGGTGCTTCCTCGGACAAAGTGTGGTTCATCTTTTTTTAATGTGACAAATCCTGCATGGTTCCCTGCCAGCCTGCTACCGGATTGGGAGAGCGACACCGGTATGTGTGTCTTGTGGTACCTGAGTTCGATCCCCGGTGCCGGCACAAATGGAATTGTTTATTTTAAGTGCTGATTTATCACGTGCTCTGCGGTGAAGTAAAACATCGTGAGGAGACCTGATTGTTTTCGAAATAATAACAAAAAAAAAATATTTCTAAGAAACGTGTAATCTGCCAATCCGCTGCGGGGGCGTGGTGGATTAATCCCTAATAACCCCTGGGGGCCTTTGCCCAGCATATGTATAGCCCAGGATATGTACAGGCTGTAATGTTACTTGTGACGTTACCGTGACTATTTTTGTCACATCGACAGACGGACATGGAGAACTCTGAGGGCGAGCTGCCCGTCGAGGTGTGCACTGGCCAGTGCCAGACGGCGATCTCGATCAACATGCAGATGGCGCTCGCCGTCTCCGAGAGGCCGTCTCGCTGCCGTCTGCTGTCGAAGTAACTTTTTTTTATACCTAATAACTGCCTAGAGTGCCAGCAGTGGTTTTTTGTGTGAGAAGGTAGCTAACGAGCTGGCGGTTCACCCGATGCTCACCGACATTGACATTTGCAACACGCGTAGAGTTGCAGATGAGTTGCCATCCATTATATACGATATCGGCCTTAGTTGATCAGAGGGTCGGGACTCGGTACGCGAGAAACGCGATTTCGAATCCCGCTGCGCCGAGGAGTTTTCGACAATAATTTATATACAAGTAAAAATCATGTTGCACTCTCGTTGAACACCGTCCACGCCCCGCAGCGACCTCTCCAACGGGCGCGAGACGTTCCCGGTGACGTGCGTGAACGAGACGGACGACTCGCCGGCGCCCGACGACTTCACGTACGTGACGAGCCACGTGACGCCCAGCCCCGTGCCAGTCGACACGTCGCTCGCCACCATGCAGGCACGTGCGCCCCACGGCCCTCCGCCCCGACGCCCCTAAGCTTCTACGCCCCACGCCCCTACACCCCTACGCCCCACACCTCTACGCCCCACACCTCTACGCCCCACACCTCTACGCCCCACACCTCTACGCCCCACAACCTCTACGCCCCACACCTCTACGCCCCACACCTCTACGCCCCACGCACCCACTCCCCACAATAGTCCCACGTTCGACCTCCCGTCGGCAGAGTTGTTACCGCTTGACTTGATTAATTCAAATCACTAAAAGGTAGTGTTGAAAACTACGTTAGTAAATAAAATGGTTAATTGATTTCTAATTAAAGCTTATTGCGGCGTGACTTTATGATTAATTTAGATAACTAAAAAATTACTTTGATAACAGTGTATAAAGTTGTCAATTGATTTCAAATCAAATATAAGTAAACCAGCACAAAAAGAAAGGAATAATAAAAATATTCAATATTATGTCACAAATAAATCATGATAACTTTAAATGATTTTACACAAAAAAGGAAAACATTTTTTTATTACAAAAATTTTTTTATTACAAAATATATGTGTAGGCATGCTTACTATTTATTGTTACCTCCCCGGATTCCGAGGTAAGCATTATAAGATGTTATATTTACAAAATGTATTACAAGTCTTGCAATGTTTTATACAGTTTGGTACAAGCCAACGATCTTGTCTCGAAAGGCAACAAAAGGTCACCCGGCCGGTGGTTTGGTTTCAGGGTTGCTCCTGCAGCGGCGATTGCGCGTGCGGAGAGTGCGCTTGCGGCGCGCTGTCCGTGCGCACGTGGTACCGAGACGGGCGGCTGCCTCGCAACTTCCCCTACCACGACCCGCCGATGCTCTTCGAGTGCAACCAGACATGCGCCTGCAACTCGGTGACGACTCTTATTGCGCGGGAAGAACTTCCCACGCCTTCTCACGGATGCTTGCTTTATTGTCACAGCAGGATCGGATACGTTATCTGGTCCCGCTGTGACAACCCTATTGCCTCTCCGATGTCAAATTGTTTGGAAATAGAACAAGTGGGCAACAGTGAACCTGATCTTTTGTGTATTATATGCGACTCTAATTGATATATTTTTAATAATAATAATAATAATTAGTCGCTTCGGCATGTTATCTCCGGTTGTTCCATGCTTTCTAACTCTAAATATCTGCATAGACACAACCTAGTAGCCAGAATTCTACACCAGGAGCCCGCTCTGAAATACGGCCTCGTGGAACGGAAACTGCCGTACTATAAGTACTCTCCGGAGGCCGTGCTCGAAAATGACCGCGCCAGGCTCTATTGGGACCGTCCCATCATCACGGACAGGACGATTGTCGCGAACAAACCTGATATCGTGTTGATGGACCGGGCACAATCGCGGGTATTTTTGGTCGAAATTACCATTCCATATGACGAGAACCTCGTGAAAGCCGAAACAGATAAGAAGACGAAGTATCTGGACCTGGCTCACGAGGTGACCGACATGTGGGGTGGTGTGCCGACCGAAATTATCCCGTAGTCGTGTCTGCGAATGGGTTGATCCCAGTCAGCCTCTCCGGACATCTGAGGCGACTGGGACTCCGGGACGGAACTCTCCAAGCTCTAATGCAGAAAGCGGTGCTCCTCGATACCGCCCGCATCGTCCGTCGGTTTCTCTCCCTCTCACCCTAACCCTCGGCCGTTTGGTCTCCCCTGCCGAGGGCTTCCGTCTGGTTGGGTCCTATTTATTTACGTATTATATACAATATTTATATTTGTATGTTTATTTTTATTCATAATATTTATTTTATATATGCAATATATATCTATATGTTTATTATTTATCCCTAAACCCAACCAGACGAGAAAACAAATAAATATCCCCAAAAATAATAATAATAATAAAATATCTTTATTCACATAGACGCTTGCGCGTTCTTATGAAACGTCAAAATTTTACAAGAAATTAACACGTTCGTAAGTTACCACCGTATACAAAATCTTATTGATAAAGCTCATTATTTGTTGATCAAATTTTTAAAGGTTGCTATATAATGTATTCAGTTTATACTAATTTATTTATATTTTTAATTAGAATAAACTGGAAAGAAAGAAAATGGCATTTTTAAAGTACAAAATGGATTCGTAACGTTTCCTTGGATTACACAATTACAAACAAAAATAAAGTGGTTACCATTAATTTTAGTTCGTCGCCGTCTCTAAGAAACCTAATGCTCGACAGATACAGATAAATTATACTTATCAGAATCGAGAAGTACAAACATTGTCCAATATAAATGGCGCTCAATATAAACTGCGCGCGCAACTTGTCACATCTATCTAAAGTAGTACGACTTCAAATGTGGAACGCGGCAGCAGGTCTAATATGTGTGCGTGCGGCCAGCGGCGGTGCGCCAAACTCGATATAAATTGTGCTATAATTGCGCAACTTCGTCACATCTAAAGAAGTATTGACTTCAAAAATGGAACGTCACAGTTCGTGTAAACTGTATATGTGTGTGTGCGCGCGCAGCAACTTCCATCACATCTAAAGAATTACTGACTTCGTAAATGCAATGGCGCGTGTAACGAGTGGGTGTGTGTGTGCGTGCAGCGGCGGTGCGGCAACCGCGCGGTGTCGCGCGTGCAGCGCGGCGGGTCGCTGGGCGTGCGCGTGCAGGTGTTCCTGAGCGCGCGGCGCGGCTGGGCGCTGCGCACGCTGCAGCCGCTGCGCGCCGGCGCGCCCGCCGCGCTCTACTGCGGCGAGCTGCTGAGCCACGCGGCGGCCGACGCGCGCTCGCACGACCACTACATGTTCGCGCTCGACCTCAAGCCCGATCTGCTGGAGGTGCCGCAGTTCTCCCTTCGTCAACCAAAATTAAATTTGAAAGCCATTTGACAGCTGATTAGTTGACATCTACAATGATCAGTCTTTCAGAAGCCGGGCGTTAGTGTAGGATAATGTTATTCTGTGCTGTATGTGCAAAACAATTGTCTATTAGTTACATAGATAATTGTTACGTGTGGAAATCTGACCCGTGGCGACCCGACGCCGAAAGCGATACGTTAGCAACTGCGCCAAGATATTTTTTTTATATGATGGAGTGGCGGCTCACCTGATGTTAAGCGATAACCGCCGCGCATGGACTTCTCACTCTCAGACTAAACGCGTAATTATAACACTTCCCACTTCACGTCGGTCTTCTGTGAGATTGTGGTCATATTTCCCTTTATATTGTTATTTTCGCGTATTAGGAAAATTAGGAAAATTTTAAGAAAAGAGTGTTTATACAGACAAAACTACCATTTATGGAGAACACGTGAAATTTAATCAAATAGATTAAATTATAAGAAAAGGCAAATGACTACTAATAACTCTTCAAAAGCTTATATGTATAAATAATTAAACACACATTGCCACAATCACGTGACCATAGAGTTCCCCCAGCACAAATTTACTTCTAAGAACAAATCAGCGGTAAACCAGCCTCGGACCATAGGCCACAGCCCGCTCTACCCCCGCAGGAGTGCGCCATAAAGCAGCAGCTGTGCGTGGACGCGGCCGCGTACGGCAGCGCGGCGCGCTTCGTGAACCACAGCTGCCGCCCCAACCTGGCGCCCGTGCGCGTGTTCACGGACACGAGGGACCTGCGGCTGCCGGTGGTGGCGCTCTTCGCCACCAGGGACATCGCGCCCGGGGAGGAGCTCACGTAGGCGCCGCTTGTTTGAAGCTATACTACTTTAGGCGTTGTGAAATTTTAAGATGCGTGCTCACATATAAAAAAAAGCTATACTCGTTTAGGCGCGTTATGAAAAAAATTACCTAGTGTATCTCGAAGTCCAAGATCTGGATCAAGCGCAACGCAAAAAGAATTTTAAAATCTGAATTATGAGTACTGAGGTAGCAAACATAAAAAAAACACAACCAAATTGAGAACCCGATCCTTTTGTAAGTTGGTTGAAAATGGTTCTAACTACCTAGGCAGTGCCACGAACTCGCGAAGGCTGGCATGATGGTGTAGTGCTAATTATCTCTACGTCTCGCATGTTTAGTGAGGTAGCCAGAGGCAAACTTAAAGATTCTTTGGGCATTATCATTTACCATCAGATGAACCATCTTACTTGCCACTTTGGTCCTTGTTCTTTTCTACCTAAAGATAATTAAATTGGTAGATATTATGGATAGGGCATTTTAATAGGAATAACTCAAGTTATCTATATTTTGCAGGTTTGATTACGGAGACAAATTCTGGTCCGTAAAGTCCAAGTGGATGAAGTGCGAGTGCGGAACACCAGAATGCAGATACCCCACCAAGTCCATTGATGAATAATCATTAAGGGTTATAATTATATACCTTCTCATATCTTCTCAATCTTTTGGTTGTGTAAATATTTACCTATGTAATCAGTATTTATTTGATTTGTATATATGTGAACTTATACAATAAGTTATTGTAATATTTGGCTTTATTATTAATATAAACTTTAATGGTATCAAGTTTCTTTCTCTAAACATTTCCAAGAATGCTATAAAAGTGTAAGTGCTGTTGTGTGTGTCCTTTTGTTCTAAATTTTGTATGTATTATTAAATTATTATTATTACCCAAATAAAGTATGTAGAGATTGAAAAATAAATCAGAAATATAATAAATTGGTAGAACATAACAAGCAACTGTTATTTATTAAAAGGTAGCAACGCATCTGCCCTATGGGTCTTCAAATGTCCATGGGCTGCGGTTTTCACTTAACATCAGGTGAACCGTCATCTTCCCTTGCCATATTTTTACATAAAAAAGGTGGTTTCCTAAAAGCTGAAAGTGCAAGACTTTTTTTTTTTCAAAAAAGGCGTAATTAGAATGTTCGAATCGGAATTAGGCTAGTGTTTATAAATGTCACCCCAAGGTGTAACGTTTTTTTTTTTTTATATATAAACGTGTATATATGATGGGAGATTTAATAAAAGATTTATTAGCGGTTAAGAATTTGTATTTATCCCTTCAATTTAAAGTTACAATCCCTGGACTAGCTCAGATACAATATATTTTGTAATATAATAATAATAATAAGTTGGGCGCCTTGTCTGTTAGGAACAGACTGTTGTAATAATCACAATTAAGTATCTCAGGGAGTCGTGAGTACATAGGACCTACACATTACTTTGTGCGACCATTAAAAGGTTAGATAATTAAATTAATTTAAGATTATGAAAGTTATGCAATTCAATTTTAAAAATAAAGTCCAATCAGGTAGTTATTTAAAATCTATGTCACCGCAGAGACACCTGCCCTGTGTGCACAGGTCAGTGTTGAGCTCAGAACCAGTAGAGAAAGTCAGGCCAAGTGTAGTGTGTACAGCCACACTGTTGGGGGTATATAGGAGACCTCCTGCCAACAAACACAACTGGAGGTAAAAAACAATGTTTAATAGAGCAGCAGCTCAGACCAGCTTGCCAGCCACCTATGCCTTCAGCATCCACCTGTGATATTCGAAAAACCATACTTAGAAACACGAGACAATAAATTCTCAACCTACCTTCATGTGACATTTCTAAATACATTCATAATGCAAGTCTTTTTACAATTTTAGTAGGAAACCAGTGAAAATAACAGAGGATCTTACCACGAGGGACAACAAATCCAGCACAGAGTTTCCCAGACAGCAATCACAAATAATACGACCAGGAACGAGTTCTGATTTCAACCTCTAGCTATGCACTGTAAAAAAAGCGAATTGATAAGAAAACGAAATACGTAAACAAAACAACCACTGGCATGAACAAAACCAAACAACTACTTACCAGTCGAAGATAATGGATCCACAAAAACTAATTTATCCTATGTCAATTCGATCCGGCGGCAATCTCAAATGACAAGTACGACCAAATGAAGTTAACTTTTACATTCGTCCTTTCGAACAGGCAAAGGTTCATATGACATGCAGCCTAGTCTTTAGAAAAACAACAATTTCGACAAAGTGATGAAATCACACGTTACAATATCCCCCAAGCACACAGAATTCACCTTGGTGAATTCACGGCTGTCCTCAGCCGTAAACTACTAAAACTGAAGAAAAACAGATACTCTACAGATATCAAATATCAAAACAAATACTAAGATTTAAAAAAAAAAACTACAAGTCTCAAGTCAAACTGAAAGAATAACTGAACAATCCTCAAAGCAACATTAACAGTTTCATCTTATAACTAAATTAAACATCCACCAAAAATAACTTTTAAGGAAAACCTCAACATCAAAATAAAACTATCTATCTAAAAGACATGTGCTCGAATGAGAAATTTTTATTTAAATAAATAATGTATAGGTGACGATTTACTGGATCAATCACTTCCTAGCTCTTCCTGCATAAATTACATACATCATAGAAATATAAATAATTCCCTAATATTCCACATAAATCCCACTATCGCAACCATCCCTATCAGACCATAGAAAGAAACAAGAGAAAAAGAAAAGAAGAAAAGAGTCAGCAGTCATCATTAGTCTCACAAACACCTTGCATAATTCCATCAACCACAAAACCATGTTTACTGTTTATTGAAATAAATATTAAGTTATGTAAATTATAATAAAAATATATTGATACTAAATATATGTGGAAACCATATTAATATTATTCACTCCCCAACTAGTGATTAATAACCCTAATCTGACTATACAGTTCGCCTTTTCAATATAAGACTAACTGAAATCAATGTCTTTGAGTCACCCTTTTTCATAATTATGACTGACTCTTGACAATCCCCTATCACTAGTCAAGTATTGAGTGAAAAACAAATACATAAATAATATCTAATGTGAATGAGTTAGCATAGCTTTAGGCTTATTTTAAGAGTTGCTAACCGCTCTGTAAAAAAAAAATGCTACTCGAATGTTTAAGACTACCAAAATTATGTAGGTTTTAAGGCTTATTTAACGAGTTACCTACCACCGCTCACTATTGTTCACTATGGCAATTATAAATAGATAATTATTATAATTTTACATATATAAATAATGTTATGATATAACTTCAAAATTAATTTTTTTTTTTTCACTCGAGACAGTCCCCTTACCTATCTACAGTATTCCTAACCTAATCCAAATTATTTCCATCTTTTACATTTCCATTTCAGTAATCATTCCCTTGCATAACCTGCACCTAGGACACAAACTAACACAGCCTAACCTGTGGTCCGAGGGTTAGTTACCAAAATTTACTAACATTTCCTGCTAAATACATTTCCTTTTCAGTAATCAATCCATTAAATAACCTGCGCCTAGGACACAAACTAACACAGCCTAACCTGTGGTCCGAGGGTTATTTATCCGCTAGGAAAATAACTCAAATTGTATCCAAAACAAGAGTACCATAGCAACAGACCACAAAAACTGGTCTCTCCAGTATAGCTACAAATTACTACATAACCAGGCTTCCAATACAACTTCAACGACGGACATTTCCGCCTATAGCAGTTAAATTATCTGCCAACAGCAGCCAATTCTGCCAACAGCAGTCAATCTGCCAACAGCAGCCAATTATTCATAAATCAGCCCATATCGGCCAACAGCAGCCAAATCTCCCACAAAACCAACCTATCAGCAACAGAATCAAAAAAAAATTAAAACACCTACTAACACAACTTAGCTGTAATTACCTACCTTATTATTACAGCCAGACAACCAGACTATAAGCTTCATTGAAGTCACTATTAAAATTTCCTATTTACATATCTACACTCCCATTAAATTAAATTTAACAATATTTAGCCTTCTGTAAAAATACTTAATTTTTTAATTTTAAGTCTTTAATATGCCAAATCCCAGCATCTTTACCATTAACATCTACCAGCTGGTAGACCAAAGGTGATTTCTTACCTACTATTCGACATTTGATATATTTAGGAGCCAGTTTTGCTGTAAAAAATTTATCCTTCATGCTAATAGGAAAACATCTTTTCCACACAGTTTGACCCACTTCCAGCTCTTGATGCCTTCTCCTTAAATTGTAGTATTTAACATTTTTATCATGAGACTTACTCAAACTCAGCTCTCACTTTACTAAAAATTAGTGACAATTCCCCTAAATTTCGAGCATAATCATCCCGTGAAGGAAAACTTATTTCCTGCAAGTCCAACGGGGTAGGATCATACAATGAACCCGAAACTACAGCTTCACGACCATGAACCAATAAAAATGGGGAATAACCCGTAGCTTCACTAACTGTGGTATTAATAGCAAACTGTATTTGTGACAAGTGTAAGTCCCAGTCACGATGACTTTCTTTAATTAATGTCGATATTGCTGCCACTATCGTTCTGTTTTGTCTCTCAACAGGATTAACCTGTGGACAATATCTTGGACCCAAATGTATTTGTGGAATGTTATATTTATGGAACAGGGCAGTAACCTCGTTTCCAGTAAACTGCGTACCATTATCAGAAATCACTGTTTGAGGAATACCATGTTTCATAAATACTTCATTTTTCTATGTACTTTGCTACAAATCTCACCGGTGGCCCTTCGCAGTGGAAACAACATAACATATTTTGTAAAGCAGCACATAACCACTAGTAACTGCGTATAACGATTTCTTGACACAGGAAATGGACCCACTAGATCCATACTAAGACATTGAAAAGGCCGACAACACTGCTTTGGACTACCCATCAACCCGGGTATTGCCCGTGATGGTGTTTTGTATGACAGACAAATTTCACAATTACGTACATAATTAACAACGTCCTGATACATTTTTGGCCAGTAATAACAAAGTGAAATCTTCTTATAGGTTTTAGTTATTCCCAAATGAGCCGAAGTTGGTAAATCATGGTTTTCTTCTAGTATGCTTTTCCTACGGTATTCACATACCACTTCTTTCCACTGGAACTCCTTTTCTAATCCATTACTAGACTTTGTAAAACGCAACAACTTTCCATTACTAATTGTGAAATTTTTGCAAGAAAGGGGCTTCTCAAGACATTTCTTATAAATGCCGTCATACCAACAGTCACCAGTAGCTTCATAAGCGTTTTCTACATCAACGGCTGCGACACACTGAACAAACCTAGATAAAGCATCAGGCACCACATTGTCCTTCCCTGCACGATGCTCTATAACAAAATTATAAGGAGATAGACGACAACCCCAGCGAGCCAATCTGCCAGTTGGATTTGACAAATTCAGAAACCATTTCAAGCTAGCGTGATCTGTGACAATTTTAAATTGTTTACCGCCTTCCAGGTAGGGTCTGAAATGTTCAACCGCGAAAACAACTGCCAAAGCCTCACGCTCTGTAGCGGAATAATTCTGTTCACACTTCGAAAGAGACTTACTCGCATAAGCAATAGGGTGGTCCCTTCCGTCTATCTCTTGAGCAAGCATACCAGCAATACCATAGGCAGACGCATCACAGTGTAAAGAAAACGGCTTGGAAAAATCTGGACACCCTAAAATTGGAGCTGATACCAGGGCCTGTTTAAGAATATCGAAAGCATCTTGAGCTTCTTCGGACCACTTGAACGGAGGTGCTTTTTTACTTGTACTAGTCAACTTATTTAAGGGTGCAGCAATAAGACTGAAGTTTTAAAATGAAACGCCTGTAGTAAGACGCAGTACTAAGAAAGGTTTTTACCTCTTTACGAGTTGTTGGTATTGGGAAATCAAGAATTGCCTTTACCTTTCCTGGATCTGTGTGTAAACCTTTCTCATTTACAATAAACCCTAAATATTTTCAGGCCAAGTGTAGTGTGTACAGCCACACTGTTGGGGGTATATAGGAGACCTCCTGCCAACAAACACAACTGGAGGTAAAAAACAATGTTTAATAGAGCAGCAGCTCAGACCAGCTTGCCAGCCACCTATGCCTTCAGCATCCACCTGTGATATTCGAAAAACCATACTTAGAAACACGAGACAATAAATTCTCAACCTACCTTCATGTGACATTTCTAAATACATTCACAATGCAAGTCTTTTACAATTTTAGTAGGAAACCAGTGAAAATAACAGAGGATCTTACCACGAGGGACAACAAATCCAGCACAGAGTTTCCCAGACAGCAATCACAAATAATACGACCAGGAACGAGTTCTGATTTCAACCTCTAGCTATGCACTGTAAAAAAAGCGAATTGATAAGAAAACGAAATACGTAAACAAAACAACCACTGGCATGAACAAAACCAAACAACTACTTACCAGTCGAAGATAATGGATCCACAAAAACTAATTTATCCTATGTCAATTCGATCCGGCGGCAATCTCAAATGACAAGTACGACCAAATGAAGTTAACTTTTACATTCGTCCTTTCGAACAGGCAAAGGTTCATATGACATGCAGCCTAGTCTTTAGAAAAACAACAATTTCGACAAAGTGATGAAATCACACGTTACAAAGGTTGCATAAATTATACTCGATCATCCCCTACTCTCCCCTACCCTTAATATATACTTGTATGTGCTCCTCAAGTACAGTCTTAACACAATTTGCAGGGATCGATCAAATGAGAGCCGTGATAGCTCAGTGTCCGGGCTCGCCTTTAATCCAAATACTCGAGCAACCTGAGTTCGGTCCCCGGTGCCGGCACCAATGAAGTTTTTAACTTTAAGTGCTGACTTATCACGTGCTCCGCGGTGAAGGAAAACATCGTGAAGAAACCTGCATTTTTTCGAAATACTAACAAAAAATATATATATATTTTCCCTCTGTATAGAGGAGGCCTTTGCCCAGCAGTGGGACATGTATAGGCTGTTACTTTACTTTACTTCGATCAAATGTTCAACTGGTTACCTTGCTAATTAATATTGCGCGTCATATTATGGTTTGTATCCTCTTACGGAACAACAATATGTGTACTCCGTAAATTGTTATTCTGAGTATATAAAAGTCCGCAACATAGGTTTTTTCCTAGTGCTGGAGTTGTATTTAAAAAATAATAAAACTGTTATTGCAGCACATTTGGTTACATGAGATGAAGAAAGATATAAATTAGCAAAAAGATTAGCCAAAATTAGCCAGATATATTCTTTAAAATTAGCAAACAAATTGTCGATACTTACCCATAATAATACATAAATATTAGAGCCGCATTTCGATCCGCGGCCCTACGATTTGTTTAATAGTGTACATAGTATTCGTTAAAAAGATTTTTTTTTAAATTTATTCAACATATATTAATAGAAACTTTATATTATGATTATAAAAGAATCATACCCTAAATACCTAAAAATAAGATATTATACGAAATGTAGATTATAAAAAATATTTATCGACTACGAAAACATTGAAGTGTCAATGACATGTGCAGTATGACAACTTTCAAATATTGTGTTTTTCAACGGTTAGTTTGTTTATATTTTAAAAAGTTATTAGCTAGGCTAGGATTTGTCTAATAATTTCCTTTATATTGAACAGATAATGCGTCGCAAAAAGTATCACTTTTGTTTATCTTTTAATCATTAAATTAGTGCAGTACAAAGTAACCATGAGTGGAAATACAGAATCGACATCAAATAGCATCAAGTTTGCACCAATGCCTATGTCTGCGCTCCTCGCAAATTTGATGCCTTTACAGAGTCAACCCGATACGCCTGACTCCAGTTTTTCTTCTGGGGATAGCGATGATTCAACTTGTGAAACAGTTGCCAAGAAAACTCCCGTTCAGTCCAAGATTAAACTATCTACTCCAACCCTCAAATCACATGGTAAAGATCCAAAAAGTTTTGCGTCTGAAAAAAAGCTAACAAATGACAATAAAGAAAATTTTGACGATAACTGGTTATCCAATAAGCCATTATTTAGTAAAGAGAGTCACATATCACAAAGCGCTAATAAGAATCCTAAATACAACCCTTTCCCCTCGTCGGACGTAAAAAAACGTTCAGTGTTAATTCCACATGAAAATTATATACAAAAACAGGAAAGCATCATTGGTTCAGCAAGTAAAAGGACACCAGACGTTTCAAAACCGCCAAATCAAAAAACCAAGACAGCAACACCAAAAATTAAATCCGGCATCCGTAAATACACTCCTGGATCCTCTAGAAAAAGCCAGAAAAAAGCACCAATCCTACAAAATAGAGACAAGGTTCGATGTGAGTTGTTTAGTCAAAACCCAGAGAAGAGTGATGTCCCAACAAAACCAGAGCAAATGCTAGCACCTGCACCAATGCCTCCAGCACCGGCACCTGTTCAAGTCCCAGTGCCAGAAACTCCATTGAATAGGAAACAAATGCCTGCGTCTTATGCCGCCACTCCATCATACCCGCAGGGTGTGATTGGTAATAGCTCAAAGATTTTGTTTAAAACTACCAGCATCAAAGACAAAAAATATATGTTCATTAAGAAATTGGGAACAGGGGGTTCCAGTGAAGTATATAAGGTAATGCCAATAGAAATAGTCTAAAAGTGCAGTATTTATTAATTGTTTATGATTTTGCCTATGTGTATTGTTTTATACACATTATATCTCAAACATTATTTTTTATGGATTTTATTGTGTTTATTTTTATTCTTTAAACCCCTTGAAATGCTTTTTCAGTATTCATGTTCACAAGATAGATTATGAATGCTGCAAAGTATGTTGAACATAAGTTTTAAGTTTATAACTAATGTTATAAAATCTGTAACAATAATAGTGTCCAATAATGATATACACAAAAATTTATGTTAACGAGTTTCTATTTCGCGTTTTCAGACCCATAATGTTCATTGAAGTTTGTTTTAAAGCATCTTGAAGAAAAACTTGCATACAGTACTTATTTATGATTAGCCATTGCATAAATAGCTGTTTAAACTTTAAAGTTTGGCATTTATTTGGTATTTAGTCAGTCACTTCAATTTTATTATTGGATTTAATTAAATGTAATATATTTTGTACCCAATCACAGTGAAGAATGTTAATGTTATTCAAATGTTTGTAAAAATTTATCCTAAACTATAAGACAACATGTATTTATGTAATTCAAAATACTTTTTAGGTACTTGAGGTGGGAACTTCAAGTGAGTATGCGGTAAAGTGTGTATATTTAGCAACAGATCAAGAGCTGGCTCAGGGATACATTAATGAAGTGAGATTGCTACGAGAGCTACAGAACTCTGACCGTGTAATAAGACTGTATGATTAGTAAGTATCTGTAACAGGAATAATATGGTATAATTAGTTGAGCCATGTATTAAAATATGTAGAAAAAGTACGAAAATATTGTCGCTGCTGTGGGAACCGAACCCACGTCTTCAGCATTCGCGGCCTTACTCTTTAACCACTAAGCTAAACGGCTGATTGCCACACCAATGAAAAACTAACGTCTTTTATCTACATTGTTTTTTAGCATTTGAAGCATTTGACCCATATATTTTCTGATGAATTTTTTATGTACTATTTTTATAATCAGCCACAGATTAAGAATAATAATGTGTTAATAAATTAATGCCACAAAACCACTGTACAACAACACAATATGTTGTTAATAGATGAGTCTTTCTTCATTCTTTATGCATATACTTTGCAAAACTCATTATTTGCAATAAAAAATTTAAAGCATATACAGTAAACATAATCTTTAAATGAATGCCTGGTAAATTGTTTATTTTGGAGTGTTAAGTAAGATAATTGAAATCCACAGTGAATATGACCGCACAAACCAGCTGCTCCGTATGGTACTGGAAGTTGGCGAGACAGACTTATCTTCGTTTCTACGGGCGCGCGGTTCTGGCCTACCTCCAGCGCTGGTGCTGCATTACTGGGAGGAGATGCTGCTAGCTGTTCTATATATACATGAACATGGTGGGTTTGCTTATTATAATTTACTTATGTTGCAGCTATTAAAGTGTACTTATATATGCAATTGTTTTAATTGATGCTTTATGTGCTGAATCTTTTTTTTTCATATGGGTTTTTTCTTTAGTGTAGTGACTTAAATATTCATTAATTTAAATCTAGAAGAAATCATAAGTGAATTTGTAGCTGATGTATAGGAGGCCACCTCAATCATGCTCACAGTAGACTAGAGTTAAGAAGTATTTATTTATTTCATGACTTGACTATTATTTTTAATGTGCAACCCCTCATTATGAGTTGGGCCTTTTATTTTGACTTTCGCCCTTTTTTTGCCCTCTTCTATAATAATAAGTATACAGGGAGGCTTTTCTAAATGTATCCATTTTTTATTTATGACATAAATAAAAAATGGTAAATATTTAAAAGCACTTGTAATTGGCACTCGAGTGGCAATCTCGTAATCGCAGTGTGGGACGACCCCCCACTAGATGGAGTGAAGACCTGTGCAAGTGTGCGGGAAGTCGATGGATGCAGGTGGCTCAGGATCGTACTTCGTGGCAGTCTATGGGGGAGGCCTATGAGCAGTGGACTCAAACAGGCTGAAATGATGATGATGATGACTTGTAATTAATTGAATACATTCATTTGAACCTATCTCAAAAAGTGCGTCATTTATGGGCAACTCATTTCATTCAAAAGTATACGACGCATTTATGAATGACGACCGCATTGTCAACAAGTTGTTTTATAGGGAATGAAATGTCAATTTTTTTGAAAAAAAAAAAAAAAAAGAAAAGTTTGTATCTATTTCAATAAACGATTATACTACTATAATACGCGTGAATTTGACACCTTTAGAAAAGCCACCCTGTATAGTAATCAGTGAGTCAACTCCACCGCTATCGTTTCGGTTCGCAGGCGTGATCCACGCCGACCTGAAGCCGGCCAACTTCCTGCTGGTGTGCGGGCGGCTGAAGCTGATCGACTTCGGCATTGCGTCCGCTATCAGCGGCGACGCCACGAGCGTGGTGCGCGCGCAGGCCGCCGGCACCTACTCCTACATCAGCCCCGAGGCGCTGATGGGTGGCGCGGGCGGCTACGGCCGGGCGGATGACGTCACGAGCGCGCCCATCAAGGCACGTTGCTCACCTCGCCTTTTGCAGTCCACTGCTGGACATAGGCCTCCCCGACCAGCCTCCTCATCCAGCCACTATCAGCGACCTTTCTCGGGTCGTCGGGCCACCCGGCAGGCGGTCGTCCGCCGTAATTTTTCCGAGACGTGGTCTCTATTCGAGAACCCGATAATTTGGAGCAGTGTTATGTCCGGAAATATAAAGAAACACCCTAAGGGCTCTTTTTATTTAGATGTGCCCGTGCGCTACGGTAGTCGTCCTGCGCTCGGACAATCGTTTTTTTCTCAAACAAAACGCACAGGGTGACACTTGCGGTACTTAGCGGTACTTTGGCGGTCCGACACGAAACGTCTAAATTGAAAGAGACCTAAGTATCTACTGAGATATATTAATTAGGTAGCATCATACACTAACGTTATCCACCTAATGTTACCAACCTAGTCATAAAACTGTATTAGGAAATTGAGGAAAAAAATACCCTCATTTAAGATATACATCAGTATGATTGATAAATATGACTGAGAGGATTGATTGAAATCTTTTAATTCAGATAAACTTTTTACAGTCCAGTTTAGTAACAGCTTTTGCGCGTTGGATCGAGCCGGAGAGAAACCACTGTCCTTACAGAAATCCAGCATAATGTTAAGTAAATGGTTGTATAATTATTTTTTCGCCAACAGATCTCATTCCGCTCGGACGTGTGGTCACTGGGCTGCATCCTGTACAGCATGGTATATGGGCGCACACCCTTTAGCCATATCCCCAATCTAGCCAAGCTGGCTGCCATACTCGACCCTAATCATCGCATTGATTATCCACGTGTTGACCGTGAGTACTTCAAAATTTCTTTAGTTCTTATCTAATATCTAAAGAAAGGTAATTTTTTTTCCAAGTGTATGTATGTAAGTATTGATATTTCGTGCTTTTTGACAGCCTAAGCCTTTTGACGGATATCAACATATGACATTTCATTAGATTCCTCTCCGTATTGTGAGACGTAGCTTACATTACATAAATATTGTGTCCAAAAAAAATAGAATTGAGGTATATTTAATGCAGTCAGATGTGTGTTTCATTTAATAATTTACGCTTGTTAAAACATTGATGTTGTGAGACGAGAGATTAAGCGACAGAGATAATTAGGCTAGGTGTCACTTTTATGTAATGGCCAACTCTCCCCTCAGATTTGCACTAAACAAGATTCTTTTTCATGATGACCGTCCTCAGATCTGCCCCCGTCGCTGATAGCGTCTCTGAAATGGTGCCTGACGTACAACGCGCGTGCTCGACCTTCGGTTCGAGAGCTACTGTCGGTGCGTCACCTGGCTACGCCACAATCGCCTCTGCCACAATCGCTGCTCGATAAAGTGCGTCAACATCTGACGCCCGACGAATTGAGACTACTCCAACGCGCCCAAGTGTAGGTACACCAATCAACGCTCGCAGGAGTTTAAGTTGTACGAAAAGTAAGCGGGAAAATAGGTGTTCACAGTGCTGGTTTTCAGTGTTGAATCAGTTTCAGCAACAACAGCGAACAGCGAACACGACTGTCGGACTATCCTAGTTTGTACATCACATAAGATGTACTTTATTAATTTATGGACATGTACAGATTGCAACTATATTTTTTGGACTTGTTTTCATTTCGAAACTTGTGAAGATTTCTATAATATAATGATTTATCTAGAAATATTTTATACTAAAAATAATTGAGCTTTGTTGCACAAAGAGAAGCATAATAACTGGTAATTTGGAAAATTTTATATTCAAATTTATGCTAAACTTAGTTTTTATACTTAATTGTCTGCTGTTGGCTTCGCAAGTAACGTGTAGAATTTCATTGTATTAAGCTATAAAACTCCGTATATATAATCCTTAAAGTTCACTTAAACTATATGGACTTAAAAATTGATTGGAAATTTACAGTATATGGTGCATATTTGAACCATTACTTAAATATATCAAGGAATATTCAGAGTGGTGCACTATTGAAATTAATCATTTTTGTTCTATTGCTAATAAACATGATCAAGAAATAAAAACCTTCAGAGTCATTAAATATTATAATTTCTATTAATTTTCAAATCTATTAACTAATAATAACTTCAGGAAGTGTAACAGCATGAAATTTATGAAATTAATCCCATTATGGGTTGAATATTACAAAATATTCAACTCTTAAGGGGATTAAACGTATTTATATCATACCATTATATTATTCTGATATTTGTACATTGTGACAATACAGAAAAGTTATATTATGAGTATTTGGCACATAGTGTTTAAGGCTTGAAGTAATTTATATTGTAATTATTGTATCAATTGGCAAATGTAATTATGTATGTAGAGAAAAAAGGGAATGAGATATTATTTTGGGTCTTTTTTCACTAGGCAGCACACTATTAAAAATACAAAAACGATATTTCCTTAATTTCAATTAGTGCCTAAATTTTCTCTATATTCAAGTTGATTTATCTTCAGTTATTAAATAATTTTGATTATCTTTGAAGAAAATACATTAAAATTGTTTAACTGTTGTATTCAGGATATTGCTGCATTAAAATTCCATTTGTTAGCTGCCTATTGCAAGAGGGTCTTAAATGTGTGTTATGTATTATTTTACTGTACAGATTTGCATTAAAATAATAAACAATGAGAATTAAATAAAATGTTTATTAGTTTTATAATGCAAATACAAAAGAAAATCAAATAAATAAACTTAGCAAGGTGATTAACTTGACAATAAAATATTTGAAAGATTATTAGAACAATTTCTTTAAATTACAATACATTCCTTATCTAGCAAATACTAACGTGAACATAAAAACGCGTTTTTGTTATGTAGAGTAAGACAAAGAAGTTTCGTCTAAAATTGAAACAATCTGGAGCTTCTTATCCCTCTGCTAATTTCAGAGGAAAGGAATCCATACTCACACCGTACTACCAAATGGTAAATAAAAGTACATTGATTTCAGTTGTATTACTAGCAGATAGTAATTGAATAGTTGGTTGCTTTAGGATTTAAAGCAACTAGCTCTTTCCTCAAAAACTAGCATGTCTTATACGATTGTGTTCTATAAATGCAGATGGATTCTAAACAACATTCAGTCAGATATAATGGAATATAAAGGCAACATTCAGAAATTTAAGCGATACTTTAAGCGTGCTTCCGCCGCTAGTGGCCTCCGTCCGCACAGTACTCGGATATCAGGTGAGGTTTCGAAAGAAAAAAGCGAGATGTTTGCTGCTTAATTTAATATGATAATAACTTTAGTACTGCGCGGGCGTGCACAGTAGCGTTCAATTCTGGAAAAGCGTGCGCGTGAAGTCGATGTAGTCGAGGGCGTTCGGGATGGGCCGCTCGGTCTTCGGTTCGACGTAGGGTTTCATACGAGCGACGCAGTAGTCCGCCATCTCCTTGGTGAGGTTCTGAGAATATAAATTTACATAGTGAATTGATTGCGTAAATAGAGCAGTGGTTTAACAATCTTACAGTTAAAGTCACAGCTTGTAAGAAACACCCCTTGTGTGGTTAATTTTTTGGTTTACCTCTATAGTAATATGACAGATATTACTATAGAGGTAAACCAACACGCAAGATTGGGGAGGCCGGGTTGTTAGTTTCCGCTCGCATGTTTGCCTTGCGGTTGGATACTGAACCAACGCAAGGCAATCATGGACTACCATAATGATTGATGACTGTGCCGCGTTACCAAGGTATTGGGTCGGATGGGGTAATAATATTGCTTTGGAAATCAAAATTCGGAGAGCCCACTGGTCTATGCCATTAGTATTCGATGTCGAAAAAACTCCACTCGCGTCATCATAGAAAAAAATAGTATAGTTTTTCTACTAAGAAGTTGTAATTAATGTAATGTAAGAGAAACTCACAGCATAGAGCTCATCCTTGGTGACGTAAGCGCGGTCCTGGTGGGCGGTGATGGCGCGGAAGGCGTTCTCGATCTCCTCTGAAGAGTGAACGTTCTCTGTCTCCTTGCTTATCATGAACGCCATGTACTCCTGCAGCGACACTTGCCCGTCGCGATTAGGATCCACCACATCTAGACAAACGGAAAGATGTACGTGATTTTTTTTAAAGAAAAAAAAAATATTTTTTATCAGAAAACTATGAGAAATATGAGGTTTATCATAAAAACTTATTGCAGTGAGTTTAGGTTAGTTATTAACTCACACACATATAATAACAGCCACCCATTTACTACATTTAGCACTGGTACTGACTAGTAAAAATAGCCAAAAAAAAAATTGCACATTTTATCAATCAAGGACAGCCTTGATTGATAAAATGTGCTATTTTTTTTTCTTTTATGGATAAAAAGGGCAAACTAGCAGGGCAAGTGATGGTATGAGATTACCGCCGCCCATGAACACCTATAACACAAGAAGAGGGCTCACAAACGCGTTAGTTTAACGCTAGTGATGTTTCCAATACTTACTGAGGATGGCTTCGAATTCGGGGTCCGGCTGTCCCTCCTCGACCATGGGCAGGTCGTAGCCGAGCGCGCGCAGGCAGGACTTGAACTCGTGGTGGTTGAGCCGCCCGGAACGGTCCTTGTCGAAGTGTTTGAACATCATCGAGAACTCCTTAAGCGCGTCCTCGCTCACGCCTGCAAATGGAGACTTTTGTTCAGTTCTGACTAAAATAAGCCTTGATGTATGTCTGTTATTCATTTCACAACAGCCTAATGTATGTGTAAGAGACTATTCTTGACTTGGATGTAATGGTAATGCCACATGATGTTTTGAACTTCCTTATTAGAAATTAGGAAGGGCTATAAAATAAAAAAGTACCCACCAGAGTGGTTCCTGGCCTGTATCTGCTGTTCCAAGTTGTGCTGCATCCGCATGGACAGCTGATCCAGTTGATCCCACTGCTGGGCCAGACCCACTGTGCTGTGCTCGGTGTAACGATTGTCAAGGATCAAGTGCTCCTCCAATGCTGCGCCTAGAACACACACAATAATATGTCATACTATTCAAATATCTTTTTTAGGTGTAAATTATACATAAACTATTATGTAATCATTCTTAAATGAAATATTAGGATATAATAGGAATTGCATGAATTTTATCTCTATTTCACAGATGATTTTTTTGCCGTGAATTTGGAATGTTTCCATTCCTGAAGTATTTAACATTTAAATTCAACAGTTATTGTATTAATTAATCTTTTTCTACTGTGAAAGTTCCACAGGAAGTGCTTATTACAGCTGAAAATCTTGTAAAAGTGGCAAATTTATGTTAAATTTAAATGATTTCTAAATCCAAAGCCGGAGAAGGAGAAGTTAATATGGCCTGCAATACTTATAGCCTTATGACAGGAGATTTGGGACCCTATGTTTGAGATATACTTATGCACAGTGCACTTCATGTATCTCAAACAACAGACTTAGCACTTTAAGACTACATCAAATTTCAGCATACATGTTTCTTGTAACAGGTTTTGCTGATACACATACAAGGAAGTGAACATTCAACAGTTGTCTACGGGTAGAATTTTACTAGGTACATTTCTTAGGCCTCTTTGTACTAACCCAGCTCTTCAAGTCTGCGTAGATCTGCTCGACGTGCGCGCACCTCGCCGGCACGCTGTTTCAGTGTTGCCAGCTGCTGCTCCAGCGAACCGGTGCCTTCCATCATGGAAGTACTGAAAAACACACAGACGCATTATATACTGACGTCACGGCAGTCCTGGCACGGATTTTAACGCGAAATTACAAAAAGCTATACATTAATATATGAAAAATTTTATGAGTTATTAAATATTGGAGAAATAATCATAATGGCAATGAGCAAATGAACTTTCAAGTTTCCCGATGAAAGCTGTTGTCATTTTAATAAATTAGTCCAATTAATATTTTAAACATTCGGAAAACACGCACATCAATGTTTAATGTTAGATTTTTAATATTTACATTTCATATGCTTTTTTTTTTTTTAAAATAGTGTTGGCCAATAAGCCAATGAAGGGTAACAAGCTGCGGTAAAATCGAAAACAGACGAGGTGCTTTCACAGACAAGGAACTTGGCAGAAAATATTGTAAAGAAATTGTTTTGTTTTTCACACTATCGTGAAAAACAAACTCTTTTTCTTAATTGAGTGTGTTCTGAAAACAATGTAAATATTTCTCTTTTCTGCGTAGTTAATGAAGCGATGTTGATTTATTTTGGTACACGCATCACATAGTACTTTACCCGTCCCAGCCTAGCAGCCGGTACCTGTACACCAATTGTCAAAGTGAATCATCTATGTTGTTCAGATCAAATACAGGTTAATATATAATTGTAATTGTTATTCATTTGAAAATTTTACCTATAAGCATTTAAAATAAGTCCCATATTCAATTGTTGAAAAATTTCTTTGTGTAGAAAATGTAAATTAAAGTTTGTACTACTACTGAAATAATGACTACTTGTAAAACTCCAATCGGGAAGAACAAAACCATTTCTTCAATGGGTATAGTATAAAACAGAAAATAGCCAATTTAAAAGTATATCTGAAAACTGTGAGGTTGATACAATTAGGTGATATAACCCACCGAGTCTCGGTGAGCCACTGGTGGAAAGCGTTAGCGTGTTTGGCGAATTCCTTGCGCAGTTTGTCGTTCTCCTCCTGGCGCTGGGCCTCCTTGGTAAGCTCGACGTCCCTTTCCGCTGTATCGCAAAATTAATGTTATCCGAAACCAAGTAAGAGTATAGCAATATTCATTTCCCAATTAATCATTTATAGCTTTAGAAAATCACTATTGTTAATGTACTACGAATACTGTATGACTGCATCATATACTATAAGCCTGCATTAGGTTTTATTCAGTTTAAGTTCAAGTTATTTAAAGAAAACATTTACAGCATTTAAAAAAAAGTGGTATTTATGAATTCTTGTTTAATTTTATATAACAAATAGATACTGTTGATAGACAAGCTGTTACATTTTGCCACGTCATGACCTCATGGGAATTTTGTCTAATGAACATACCAATAATTTTGCGCAGATTACGCCAGGTCTCTTCGAGCGCCTCCATGGTGAACCAGGTGTAAGGGTTGGCACCGACGTTAAACGACTTGATCTGCTCGTCCAGGGCTGCCAACGCCGCGAAGTCGCTCTGAGCTGAGGACAGCGAAGCCTAAGCAAACAAATCACTAGGCGTCAATACAAAAGCTCTATAGTATAAATCACATCTAGATTTTGAACTAATAATGCGGATAAAAAAAATTGCGAGTTATTTATGCAAATACAGCGTGTCGGTACCATCGCGACAATAAATGAACACACATATACAGCGTGTCGTTACCATCGCGACAATAAATGAACACACATATAGGGGATAACTTTTTAAAGTTGTATTAAACATTTAAATTCTTTAAACATCAATATTTACAGAGTTATTAAATTTTCCAAAATAAGGAATTTTAGAACACCCTTACCTATAAAAGCGTAACGTAAAGTTCATTTGTAAAGGTCACATAGCATCTGAATGGGTTGAATGAATTTAAAAGAGACAAAACATACTGTTAGAAGGAGAGGCTTGTAATGCGACGCTGTGGCGGGAGTTGTATAGGATGTTACAAATTTTGTTTCTTTTTTACTTAATTACTTTGTTTGAAAAATTTTTTTTTTTAATTATGGGTTTTGTTTAACGTTAATATTTTTTTATGATTATTGCAAGTAGCGTTAGACGTGTGTTCATTTATTGTAGCGATGGTAACGACACGCTGTATAGGATAACTTTTAAAAATTGTATTAAACATTTACATTCTTTAAACATCAATATTTAACGAGTTATTAAATTTTCCAAAACAAAGAATTTTAGAACACCCTTACGTATAAAACTGTAACGTAAAGTTCATTTGTAAAGGTCACAAAGTATATGAATGGGTTGAATGAATTGTGAATGACATTTAAATGACTAAGCCATCACAAATACATCACCTGGAACTGAGCATGAGCGTCCCGCAAGGCTCGGATCTCCTCGATTGAGTTGCAGCGCACAGGGTCTGTGAGGTCCTCTTCCGCGTTTTCAAACCAAGAGTTGAAAGCAGAAGCCTGCAGAAAAATGTTACAATATGTGTGATTGTTAAGAAATGACAAATTACTATTAATATATAAATAATACATAGTTTCCCCAATTTACAGATTGATTTTGGATTAAATACACTGCCGGAGATTTCATGAGTTGGTAACATGGTTTCAAAGCTATTGATTTTGCCGGGTGTTTGATTCCACATGAGAAGTCTTTGAGTGATTCATATATTCCCAAGGATAGTACACGTAGTAAGGCTAACGGCTTGCGGTCTGCCATTACCATTAACAACATTATTCACATGTTGAGCCGGCCCCAGCTTGGTTAGGTAAGGACAGGAGAATGACGAAAGTTTCCTAGATTTAAAACAAGAAGATTAGAGATACTTGATAAGGATTTTCGCATTGGATGATTTAAATCAGAAAAGCCGTAATAATTTAAAGAGTAATAATATAATAGAAACAACAATTTCAAGATTTCACAGACATAGAAAATGGAGTCCTAATAAAAGCACCAAATTCGTTTCAAAATCACGAGCGCTCCCATTGCTGACTACACTGTCCCATTACATAAACCATTAACTGCCAGTTTCAAAATTCAATCTACAGATAGTTTAGGTTACTGGAGATTTTGAACTGACTTTGTATTATGGAGCCAATGTCAAATACCTATAGCTAGTAACCAAATCTATCCGTAGACAAAATATTGACACCGGCCGTAAATGTATACCAAGGAGCGATCGTACCTTCTTGGCGAAGGTGAGGTACAGCTCCTCGATCTGACGGAACTGCTCTTGCAGCTGCAGCAGGCGCTGCTTGCGCGCGGCCGAGTCAGCCAGGAGGCGTTGCCAGCGCGCCAGCACGTCACCGTGGCGCTTGCTGATGGCGGCGGCTTGCTCGTGCCCAGCTGCCACCAGCTGCTCCTTCAGCTGGGTGATGTTCTGGATGCCCTCGTGTTCGAACGCCGCGAGACCTGCAAACGGGTGAGTGCGGCTAACTGATGTTTTTGATTCGTTGAAGTATCGATGACGCCGCGGCGCAGTTGTCAATGGTATTGTCTTCGGTGCAGGATCATGGATCGAATCCCGCACGGGACATCTACTTTTGTGATCTACAGATAATTTTCTGATCTGGGTGTTTGTTCGTCAAATTAATGTTTTGAAAACGTAGTTACAACATACGATCATAGAATCCTAAAGTCCTAAAGGCATTGTTTCAAAAAAAATCTGCACATGTTGATATAAAGAATTGACGAAAATACAAGACTTGCGTCGATCGTCATTTCAAATTGAAATGTCTAATAGTTATAGGTCCCTGCAAAATCTTGTAAAGCCTTGAAAAATGCATTTGACTGTGCAGTATTCCATTTTAGGTCCCAAATTAGAGGCGTGCGGCAGATAATATTGAATGCGCAATTCAACATTTAACTCACTATGCCCATAGTTTGCCTTTACCTATAAAATATTTATGTTCGCGAAATCGAAAGACGTAGGTTCGAATCCCGCAGCGCCGAAAGTTTGTTGATATATCTACAAAAATTTACAATTTTGATTGAATAGAATGAGTGATAGTTCGAGATATTAAAAGCTCAGATTGTAAGAAAAGGTTCTGTCTGATGTTCTCCCCCAAGGGTGGCAATGGACTGACCGGCGTCGAAGGTGTCCTGTTTGGTGAGCAGCGTCTGAACGGTGGAGAGGTCGCGGCCGAACTCGTCCGACCGCACGTGCGTCTCCTTGTCTGCGATCCAGGACTCCACCACGTCAGCCTTCCACAGCAGTTGCAGGTAAGCAGAGTTGTCCACCAGCGCGGCCTTGCGGCGGGCCGCCAACGCGGTCAGCTTGTCCAATTTCGCCTGAACACATACATATTTTACTTATTACCTTCTATTTCAATTGAGACATTGTATTTTTATGTCTTCACCTTGAAATAGAATATTTTATGATACTATTACTACGATTTTTAGTACACAACATTAAAAAAAACCTAAATTGATTTCATAACATTTTTTATACCTTTTACCTGTCTGTAGTAGTATGTTCAAGACTTGCTTGTATAATTTAAATGTTTGGTGACATGCTTTTCTTAAACTGTTTCTTGTTTATCCCAAATACCATGTAGATATTCATGCATCTACGCCCATACTCAAGTACCGCACTGTACAATAACGCGTTGTGTATAAATTTAACTCCCTTTTAGTACCCCCATGGTAAAAAGAGATAAATGACTGTGGTATCGTAGCTTCTACACGAATACACCGATTACGGTGCGATTTTTTTGTTTGAAAGCTGACGTAATGGTTCTTAGCTATGATTTATTAACATATTATTGTACCCTACTTCAACAAATGAAAGAGGCAGACGAAGGTATAAAATACCTGTAGCGCGTGCAGCCGGTGGGATAGCGCGTCGGCGTGCAGGTTGCCTTCCGCCAGCAGCCGCTCCCCGTCTGCGGTCAGCTCGCGCACCCGCTCGCCTCTCGCGGCCAGCTCCGCCTCGAGGGCCTCGTGCTTCTTCAGCAGGCCCTGCACCGCCGCCATGCTGTCGCCGCACTCGCTCACCACCACCAGCTGCTGTTTCTCGCTGCGAGATAGTAATTTTTGTTTTAATTTATCTTCGAGTATTTTAAGATACAGCGTTGGCCAGATTTAGATTTGTAATTTTCTTTTTACTTTAGTTCATTTCTTACTTCTGCAGGCAATAAGAGCTAAACAAGTACCTTAAAAAAACTTGAAAAAAAAAAACAGTAATTATTAAGTATACTATACTATTTTTTCTTTGTATTAATGCAATAATTTTCTATGAACATTTAGCATTAGATGTGTTTACAGATCGTCTTGCAGGGCAGTCAGTACAGTGACGTGCGCCCTTTGTTAATCATATACAGTATAAATTTCTAGCGAACTTTCTCTTTAGCCTCTTAAATGATGACGAGTATTCATTACTTAATATGCATAAAGCTATATGCATCAGGGAAAAATCCTTGCAAAAATCAAAACCACGTCTCGTAAATGATATAATATTTTTAATCACATTTACCTGATCCATGCCTCTTCTTCGTCAACTTTAGCTAGGAACTGCTGGTACGCCAGCGATTGCTGCAGCTTGGCGCCGCGTTCACCAGCCAGTGCCTGCAGCTCCGACCAGGCGAGGGCCAACGCCTTCAATCTCTGCTCGATCTCCGGCACGCCCAGGTTCGACACGTCCATGAGTTTTTCGCCGGCCTCCTGCACCGCCTGGATGGCTGGCTCGTGGCTGGCCAGCTCCGCTTCGAGACGCTTATGCTTCTTCAGCAGGTTCTGTACACCGGTCAGGTCACGACCGTAATCGTCAGACGCCACGAGCAGTTTCTTCTCCCTGTATACAGACATAAAACCATTTCAAATTTTCTTTGTTCACATGAATGCTGTACCCTATTATTGATGTATTTCGTGTTCCGTTTACCGTACACTATCCTATCCAATCCATGGTCCGAAGACATTAACTATGTACCATGTGTACATTATGACGAATATGTCGGTAACTAATAGTAAATTACATTTAATGAGGTTGAACTTACTGTCGATAATACAACATCATTTTTATTAACCAACCATTATTTTATATTAACTATCATTCATCTCTTATTTTTACCCAAACTAGATCTAATTTGTTTTAAGCAATTAACAGAAATCAATTTTGAAATTTTACATATTTAATTGAATTCATCATTGTATTATTTATTTTAACGTTACTATTATATAACGAAAAGGGACAAAATAGTCTTCGTTGAAAAACTGTCTGAGCAACCGTACAGGGTGGCATTAGCGGTGTGCCGGTGTGAGACAATAAAAATACTGCAATAAGCACCACATAGGTGGGCGAGTGTACTGACTTGATCCAGGACTCCTCGTCGGCGATGTCGCGGAAGAACTGGTGCAGCGTGTTGGCCTCGTGCAGGCGGGCGCGCCGGTGCGCGGCGAGGTTGCGCACGCGCTCGAAGCGCTCGTTGATGGCGGCGCGCCGCGACCCGATGCCCGCGCTGTCGAACTGCCCGCTCGACACCAGCGCGTCCGCCTGCGCGTTCATATCTACGGGGCGGCTTCTTGTTATTGTTACGGTCTTTCGATCTCTCCCTACCCCGATAGCAATATGAGGTTTTAAACTACAAAATAGAATTTTTATTAGACTTCAAATATCTCGCTCACTGTCAGAAGGTGAAGTAATAACCAATTGAATTACCGAGCATTTATTCAACACTAGTGATTTCCATTGTTTGAAATGATTACACATTAAGAAAGCATGCTCAAATAACCACATGCATTGAAACTCTGAAGACTAGAAATAAATGTCTAGAAATAAATCCTTTTTTCTATTACATCCCTCTACTATAAGAGGCTTTTATATTATCTATTTAGACATGAATAGCAGCTAATAGTCTACCTGGAAAACAATAAGAAATAGAAATAAACAATGGACTTACACCACGAAAAATATGTATAATTAACTGTATATTATAAAAATACATTATATGTTGTATTAAAAAGTAGGAGTTTAAACAGAGCAAGTTTTAACTGTTCTAAAAAAGATTTAAGGTAGAACAGGCCTTTTTAAATGTTTCATACTAACAAGGCAGTCTTGTGGTGTAACAAATGATTTCACAATTTTAAAAGTAATCTAATTTGGTTCGCTAATACGATGGCAGTTACATTTCGATATAAATACGTGTGATAACACATATTTAGAAAGATGGTTACAGCATTGTTTACTATCCCCCTATCTTTTATTGCGTAAATAATTATTTTATATTATTATTTCTGCCTCAGATAAAAAGGTTTGAATATAGACGATTTCAAAATTGTTAACAAATGAAAATAAAAAAAAAACAAATCCATTTTTCTAAGCTCACCGTTGATTCTGTCCTCGTGAGCTTGGATATCCGCCTCGACTAACTGATGCTTCTTCATGAGGTTCTGCACCGAGGCAAGGTCTTTGCCAGAGTCCTCTGATGTCAGCAGGCTCTCAACCTATATTGAACATTTATTAAATTAAACATGATCTGATATTTTTTTTTCATGTTTGACATAATTCGCAAATAAATGTGTCACGTCATTTCTTGGAAGTACCATTTTTTAATTAGCTTTTTTTCTGTCGTATCTTAGTATTGTCTTCTGTGAGGTGAGTCATGAGGTGATTGCCCATTCGTGCAACAGCGGAAGATGTTGCGTGGCGCTACCACAGTTATTTATTCAAAATATTCTTTCATTATGCGGTGATTCGCGGCATCATCGCAGTCGACGAGCATCAAGATCTACCAGTGGAAGAAGTAATCAGAAGAAGACAGCAAGAAAGAAAAAACTTTGCAGCCTGGAAGAGAAGGAGCCTGCAGACATAGAAGCTTGTTTATTCATAAGGAAATACTGCACAGAACATCTGAATAAACACAATTATTTCTGTCTTCACAGCATTCTTGTTTCTTTACCAGTCCAGCTCACTGAAATGTGCATTGCGCGCAATATAAATTATACTATGTCTTATTTTGATGTATAAGCTATATTATTGAAAAGTTTCATTAAAATCCATTCAGTAGTAATTGTGTGAAAGGGTAACATACATCCATCCATACATACAAACTTTCGCCTTCATAATATTAGTAAGGATGAAATAATTTATTAAGTACCTCTCCAAGCCAAAAGTCGAGATCCTTTACGGCGGCGATGTAGGTGCGCTGCTTGTTGGCCTCCTTCAGCTTCAGCGACTTCTCCGTGGTCTTTTGCGTGAGGAACTCCCACTGGTCGGCGATAGACGCTAGACGAGCCTGCGTACAAAATCATACATTTTAAATGAATATAGAAATCACGTGGTGAATATAGAAATACATGCATGGGTAGTTACTTATTAATCGCAAACTTGACCCCTATGGGAAATGTTAAGTAAATTTTATTTTTTGAGGTTAACAATTACAAGCTGCTAGAACAGCATGCTTTCACATATTAAGCAGTTGACCTTTTAAGGAAAGAAAATTAGCCCTGAACCAAATGTGTGACCTTATTCTTTCCCTTTATTATGTACTAGCTTTTCGCCCGCTGCTTCGCTCGCGTGGAAGCCCTTAAATAAATATCTGTCTTTAAAATACATATTTATTATTTAAAATATATATTTCCAATTAAAAAATAGCCTATGTGCTTTTTTAGGCTCTAGACTAGTTTTGGCGTGAAAGCCAGACAGACAGACAGAGTTACTTTAGCATTTATAATATTCAGTATGTATATGTATATAATTCTGGACCTTAAATATTGTTACAAAATCATCAAACAGTTTTCGTTATTTATATATTTTAATCTTTACTGCCAACCCTAAACAAAACAGTTAACAAAGGGCGGATTTATTGTCCAAAGGCACTCTACCAGTCAAGCCAGGATGTGGTGATAGTGATATCCGCTCAATAGTATTATCCGCTCGGCCGTCGATTAGGGTGTGATGTGGCGTGTGCGTGGCTCACCTGGACGGCGTCCTCGCTGCCGCTGCACTGGCCCCGCTGCACCAGGTTGCCGCCCATCGCCAGCACCGACTGGATCCTCTCCGCGTTGGCCGCCAGCTCCGCCTCGAACGCCTGGTGCTTCTGGTGCTTCGACTGGATGTTCGCCGGGTCCTGTACGCACGAACCCGCACGGTCAGTGATTAATGACCATATGACCGGTGATGACAATATGATCTTAAGTTGCCGGTGCCTGCAGGTCCTAGTAGGCAGCGCCAATTAATTTTGCGCTTTTTATTTTACGTGAAACATTCACAAGCATACATTTGTTTGTATCATTAGCTACGTCGATGATGACTAATTGCAATGTTTTTTAACTTAAATATTACAAAGCTAACATGTAATGTATTTTTATGTCTATGTGTTATTTCATTTACTATATTAATTTCATTCATAATATGATTAAATCATGTAAAATCCGGTTCAAATATACTCTACTGCTTCTATTACAGCCCACACCATCAGCTCTTTAACATATGCACTCATAACCAGGCCTGACCTTGTAGCTCTCTTCTGTGGCCAGTTGTAACTTCTCCGCGATCCAGTTCTCCATTTCGTCGGCATCGCGGGAGAATTGCTGTAATGTTTGCTCGTCGCCCAACCTTAACAAAGTACATGATAAAGTTAAATTAAATCAACAAATTATACTCACGGTATGCTTGAGTATTGTTACCTTTTTATTTTAAGAAATAGGCTACAACACTTTATTCAGAAAGATACAACTCAGTATACAAATGAAAAAAACACACAATATAATCACACAATACAATCTAAACTTGAAATTAAATAAAAAAAAATACACATAGTTAAATCCAGGAAAAGATTATCCTTTTTCATTGTTGCTAACCAGGAGAGTCTGTTCCACTGGGATCTTACCTGGATCGCTTCTCGATTAGCGCCTCCTTGAGGTGGCGCCAGCGGTCCAGCACCTGCTTGCGTTTCTTGTCGATCGGATCGGCGGCGTAGTGGTCGGACGCGATCAGCTGGTCCGCGAGGGTTTGCAGCTGGGCGATCTTCTCCTCCTGCGCGTGATGGAAGAAACAAATTTAGTTATTCCGTCATGTATACAGGTCGATGTTATCTACAGAATGGGATAGTGATTCCGTTGCCGTAGTTAAGCTGTGGCGCGGCGGATTAGATTTAGGTACGCAGCAGGTCAGCATAATCTTTTAATGGTCATATTTTGGTATAAAACAACTAAAGTAGCCTTATAATAATTTAGTTTATAACTTCTTTCAAGGGGATTGAAGCAGAACGACGTTTTTTGGTGATTTCTCAAAGCTTGAATGTTCGAAAAGTTACATTGACGGAATGAACATTATATTTTGTGTGAAAGGAGTTAGGTAGTAAGGCCCAACGATTATTGCGCCCTAGAAGATTTATTGCAGTATTCCTTTCGAAAACCTTACTGCAGGATAACATCATCCTGTGCTGTAGGGATGTTTTAGGTACACAAATTTCACATGGGCAAACACCTAGATCGAAAACCATCATTTGTATGTTGCAGAAATTTTTCACACGTGTGAATCGAACCCACGATCTCCAAATTACTTCTCTGTGTATGTTTTAGTTTGCCAATGGTTACAAAATCTTTCTGTTTAAAATAGGTTGCAACCTGTGCTATAAGATATAGTATTATACTATATTTTAGCCAATCGTACTATTCAATATAGTCATATAATATAGTATGAAATATATTACATTTTCATAGCTAACTTTGTTGTAATAAGTACACTTTCCCCTAAACTTTTCCAAAGTTTACTACATTATTATAAGTCAGTCTAATACTATATTTTCTTGAATAAAAGTGAAACGAGTGCCACGCATACACTCTCGCTCTCGCTCTCTCTCCTCCCCCTCCCCGGCGTTGAACGTTCAACGCGACAGTGCTTTCATGGCCGCTCCACGGTAGTGTTGGACGTCTAACGCGCCCTCGTGCGACTTGCAGCATTGCAGGTATCACTTCGAAAGGTGATTCGTCGAGGCGGCACGTACGTGCGCGTTGATGGCCTTGTCGAAGTCCTCGTGCTTCTTGATGAGCTGCTCGACGTTGTCGGCCGCGGCGGCGTCGGGCTGGTCGGCGGCGTCGGGCTCGCCGCTGGGCGCCAGGAAGGCCTCGCGCGCCGCCATCCAGCCCTCGGCCTGCTCGCAGTCGCGGTAGAACAGCTGCAGCTCCAGGTTCTGGTCGAGCTTCATGCGCCGCGCCACCCACGCCCTGTGCAAGGAGGATATAGTTAACCCTAATGGAAAAGAAATTAACCTAGTCTTGCGTAAGGGCAGGAGAAAGAAGTATAAGCATGAATGAATTTGAATGGGATTGCGAATAGACTTTTTTTTCGTAAATTTAACCTTTTTTTTAATTGCATCTGGCCAGCACTTGACTGCCATCCCACCTGATGGTAAGTGGCGATGCAGCCTTTGATGGTAAGCGCGCTAGCTAAGTAAAAACCTATTCACTCAATATTTCGAATAAATAAACAAACACTTCTTTTTAGATCGAACACATAAGCAGTTAGCGATTTCAACACGTCATAAAACATTTATACACACAGGCGGCCCAAGTGTTTACGGTGACGGACAGGTCCGTCCGGGTAAGTACCGCGACCTCACAGAAGACCGATGTGAGGGTCCTTCTGCGTTTCGTCTAGTAAGCGAGGTAGCCGGAGCCCACTTTATTAAAAGGTGGCAATGCATCTGAATCCCTAAGGTTGTTGCAAATTTCCATGCGCGGTGGTTATCACTTAACATCTATTGAACCGCCAGCTCGAATGGCACCTTCTGACATGAAAAAAAGTAGAAAATGTATTCAGTGAGGGAGATATTTGAAGTCTATTATGTTTTTTTTTTTAATAAAAATGTTATTTTGTAGCTAAAATACTTTTATCTCTATTGGGGGGTAGAGAGAGATTCACATTCATGTCGATGTGCGGCGGTTATCGCTTAACGACCGCCAGCTCGTTTGCCAAAGAAAAGTGGCACACAAGATACACACTTCTCGAGCTCCTGACGGGCGTCGCCCATCGCGTTGAGCTTCTCCTGGATGTCCACGCTGGCGTAGTGGCCGCCCTGCAGCAGCTGCTGCCCGAACAGCTCCAGCGCCTGGAAGGTGCCGGCGCGCGCGTCCATCTCGGTGCGGTGCTCCTGTTTCGTAAGTGCTATTCTTAGTATCGACTCATTAGAGATGTTAAAAACGAGGGGATTGAAACTAAACGAAAGAAAAAGTTCCTTAGTAATTTTAGGATAGAGAATTTTAATATAATAACCTTGTAAATATAAATAGAACCGTTTTTTTTTTAATTAATTTTACATTTAATCAAAAACTATTACAGTCGTCGATTTAAAGTTATTATGCATGCTATTTTACAAAGTTTAATCTAAATTTTTCGGGACACAGTATGGGAGATCTTTGATCTATATATGAATAAAAATTTAAATTACCTATAAAAAAGGAAGACGTATCTCAATTGAAAATAAAATAAGTGAACACCCAGACAATAACCGAAAATTTGTAATAAAGATAAGGTGGAGAATGAACATTACAATATTTTTTTTTGAATTACACTAAAAGTAGGTTGATTTAAAAAAAAAACACACAAATAAAACACGCCTTCAGCCTCATGGATAGATTAATTTGTTATTATTGCCACTGTGTAAGCTGAAAAACATTTAAAAACGACCATTTCCTACGACAACATCGATTATGGAGAACATAAAAACAAATTATTTTGTTAAACGCTAATACATTATAATACTACTATTGCCTGTTAGTCGAATTTAGAACACTAACATTATTTTTTTACTTAGCCAATTAATTTTAATTGTAAATTAATGATTATTTAAACTAATCTTGTATCAGCCTAGAAGTATTTGTCGAATACGAAACAACGAGTGTGTATTGTGAGACGTCGAAGTATAATTCTCGCTGCGGTGACGACAGTGAGTGACAAGAGTAAAGTTAGGCTGGGAGCAAACATGCGTTCAATTTCTGACCTGCGGCATTACGCCGTATCGCGCGTCTATCTCCAGCCGCTGGGTCTAGAAACACAGGCCGTGTTACTTCAAAAATAAATTCACAAAATAAGGATCCGATTTATCGCCACATCGCGAAGGGAATTCTGATTGAATTGCTGAAAACTTACCTATAATATGTTGAGAATGCAATTCCTTAAAAAAGAGAGGTTTAATATTCTGTGATAATAGTACTCAAAAAGGGTTATGAATAAATAAAAAAATAAATCAAAGTTAAGTAACAATCCAAAGATGACTGGGTAATAAGAGTTGGTGTAGAAAAGTTGATTGGTACCAACCTGGTGTCTTTCAAGCAGCGCCTCTGCTCCGGTCACGTCGTTGGCGAGCTCGTCCGAGCTCACCAGCGCCATCATCGAGTTGATCCACGCCATCAGGTCGCGGTAATCCGAGAGGAATCTAAGGTCAAATAACATCATTTTTCTTTTATAAAACATGTTGCTGCTGTTGGAAATATTAATCACTTAATAAAAAGTTTTCACAAATATTTTTATAACATTTAGTTATTAAATAAATAAAATAAAAGATCAAATACTATACCAAATGTTTCTAAGTAAATAGCTGGGAGCATCTATGTTGACTGTAATAGTACATAGTCTCTTAAGTATCATGGCCTTATAAAAGACTAGCGTGAAAGTGGGAGTCTCAAAGTTTATGTTTCGATTTTGCTGTCAAAGGTTGACCATGCTTTAGTAACCAGACTTGGTGATCCATTAGGTGTACCAGCCTGCTCACGTAACAAAAACGTGCGTTATTCGAACGTGGAAGATTGCGCGCGTCCTGCACACGATCTCTGCACCGCAAACATGAAAAACTGTAGAAAAAATGGACGCAAAGTTTTTCATCACTGTGGGAGCAGAACATTGCTTAAACTGCGAAAAACAATTTCGATAAGACATTGAGATTTTCGTCTGTGTGGCAATCAGCCGTTTAACAAAAATCATGCGGGCTGGAATCGGGAAGACGAGGGTTCGATGTCCGCAGAACTAAAAAACTGTTGGTCCATTTTTATATTTCATGTTAAGTGCAGAGGTTAGCAGTATCCAAATTTAAATTTAATATACTAAATTTCGTATAACGCTTTCGGGCAGTGGAAGCAAATAGGGCAGTGGAGGCAATAGGGGCAGTGGAGGCAATGGGGGCAGTGGAGGCAATGGGGGCAGTGGAGGCAATGGGGGCAGTGGAGGCAATGGGGGCAGTGGAGGCAATGGGGGCAGTGGAGGCAATGGAGGCAGTGGAGGCAATGGGAGCAGTGGAGGCAATGGGGTCCGTGGAGGCAACGGGGGCGCACCTCTGCAGGTCGTAGGAGTCGAGCAGCTTCTCCTTGCGTGCGTTGGCGCGCGCCTGCAGCTGGTGCCAGGCGTCGTTGATCTCGCGCTGCTTGCTGTACGTGGCGTCGGCGGAGTCGCCGTGCGTGGCCATCAGCCGGTTGGCCGTCTCGTCCAGCTGCCGGATCTTGTCGCCGAGCGCGGCCAGGTCGCGCTCCAGGCCCTCGTGCTTGCCTGTTCCGTTTCACTCTTTTTATTTCCGCGTGTTTCTTTTTTACGTGAGAAGGTGGCAAGGTAGCTGGCGCTAAGTGATACCCGTAGCAAACAGATACGATGCCACCATATAATAAAGTGTATATTAAATTGTATTTCAACATTCATTTTTCTACATCCTTTTTTATACCCAATTGTGTCTCCAAACGAGCATTATAAATCCGATCAAGTGACTTAGTTAACTAATCATTATCAAAAAAGTACAACACGGATAATATGTCTGTTTCAAACTCGAAAATGGCCGCATGTCATGAAGAGAGAAATAATTTTGACAAGTAACAGGTGAATAAACGCCAGGGAATATGGTGATCGAAGTGAGCATTTAAGAAGATACGTGAGGTATATGGGTTGAAAACTCACGCTGCAAAGTCTGAACGGAGCGCAGATCCTTGCCGAGGTCGTCGCTGGCTAGAGCGGCCTCCTTCTCGGCGATCCAGTCCTTGGTCTCGTCCACGTCGCGGTGGAAGCGCTGCACCTCGTGGGCGGAGCCCAACTGGGCCGCGCGCTCCGCGGTCAGCTGCTGCAGCGAGCTCCATTTCGAGTTCAGCTCCTGAAAGCAAATAAGGCCGTGAGATGATTGAGATGAGATTGGCGAGCTTAACAAACGCGAGATACTTCTCGAAATTTGCGGTAAAGAAAAAATAAGTGAGCGACACATGTGTGAAGTGATGATGGAAGATAATTCAGATAGTATGTCTTATCAAAACAAATGTGACATAACTGAGAAAATGTCATGGCATCATTATTATGTTGTGTACTATAATAATTATCACGGTGTATAAGCATTGTATTGTTCATGTAAACACACTAACTACTTAGCATATATCTGTGAACGTAGAATGAGCGAAACATTACAACCATATTGAGACGAAGATCACACTTGGGAAAATATTTTTTACTGATGTATTAGAAGTTCATATGTAACACATGTTCTTATAACCCCTTAATAACGTAAAAAGTATATTAACCTGTTGTTTCACAGTCGATTATTGGTATGAGACTATAAACAACTTTTGTAATAGGCCCTATTGGCCGGGTGTTGAGCGCACCTGCATCTGCGTCTTGATCTTGAGCGCTGCCTCTGTCTGGCCTACGGTCATGAGCTGAACGGCGATCTCGTTCATCTCGGCGAGGCGGACCTCGTTAGCGCGCAGGTCGTTCTGGAAGTCGTCGAACTTCTTCTGCATCACCTCCACCTGCTCCAGGTCCTCGCCAACGTCCTGCACCTGTGCGTGCATCTCCTGCACAAAGGGACAGCTCACATTAATATCACAATTTTTTTTTTACTTAAAATGTTATCCATAAACATCGGATATTTTATAAATGTTATTATATTAAATACACTAGTATTCTTGAAGTTTTAAAAAACCGTGCTCGAATATAAGTTTACCAATTTCAAGTAAATTAAAATTTGAATATCTCGTCTCTGACGAACTTTGACTCTGTTTCACAATGATTGAAACTACGAATGAAAATTGCCTGTGTGGCGGAAAAACCTGGGGCACTTTTGCGCTGATAAAAATTGATCATCAGCATAGTTGCGAGTTAAAGCCCGTTGAAACTAATCAATTTGAGACAAAGAATGCGGTTCTATCTGGTGATATTGTAGACTCCAATACAAATAAGAGTATTAAATATGTTCCTTCCAAAAGTGAGTTCTGTGACATTCTATAGATTTAGAGCAACTGCTCACCTTGTCTTTGATCCAGGTGGCGAGCTCGGCTGCCTCACGCACCAGGACGTACGCCTTTACGGTCTCATTGAGCTTGTTCTGTCTCTCTCGCGCGAGATCCAACAGATTGTCATATTGGTTCTCGATCTGCAAATGAAAATAAAAAGAATCACATATGAAAATAACAATTTATATGGATAATATAAAATAAATTATTGTGTTTCAATATCAACCAATCACACACTATTGAATATTACTTTCATTCATTTTGGGCTAAATGTAAGGTAAAAAGAGTTAAAAAATAGATTAGTAAAATAATTATTTTTCTGTTGCTGTCAGGATTTGAACCATCACTTTCTGACACTCAAGCCCTATAAGCCAAGTGCCCGTATTGATACAGTAAAAAAATATGTAATGTATTGGAGACCTCTGACATAAAAAACAACATTGATTTATGAATAAAAGTATTTAATTATTCGCACCTGGTTCTGGCGGGCAGCGATGGAGCTGGAATCAGCGAGGTTCTGCTGGGATGAGGAGAGGCCTGCATCGATTTTCTTCACGTAGGCGGCAGGCACGAAGCCTTGACGGTCATTAACCTCTACCTTCCACCAATCCTGTATGAACAAATTATTAATACATAAATAAATGTTTTAGCAAAATAAAAATTGGATTTTGCATAAAAGAATTATTATTATTTACTAAAAAACCTTACCAACAAATATTGGAACGGTTTGTATAAGTAATTTTAAACTTCATTAAAAGTATAATTTATGTGAATTTTATAATGATTAAGTAACAAAGTACATTGGAGACATTTCATTAACCTATATGTGGCTGGAGATTTTTTTTCAACTGAAGCCACGCTCCTGAACTACAAGTCTATACCAATACAATTTGTTAACAATTTATTATAAATTGAAATACTTGAAATACTCGAAAGTCCAATCCATATTTTTAAAAACACAAAGTGAGCCCTACATGTTTTTTAATACCTTAATATGAAAGAGAAAGATGAAATCGAAAAACAGTATAGCAAAGTTTGTATTTGACAAATTGAAGCAACTTACACGCGATAAAACATTTTTATCTCTCTTTTTGTCACATACAAAAACATTCTCAATGAACACAGCAAGCAACCAGCTGAAGACTATCATTTCGTTAATTACACTAAGCCACAATTTCGTAATACAGATAAATTATCGACTTTATCAATATTCGACTACATTGTCCCTGTAGGCGGCCGTTCGTTGTACGATTTCATTATGAATGAACACAGATGGGTTACATAACGGAATTGGATAGAGACAGAAACAAGGCGGATAATAAAGCATATGTGGACTACCCGAATGGCGTAGTGGGTAATGTACCTGCCTCCTGCGCCAGAGGGTGTGGGTTCGATCCCCATTACTGGAAAAATATTGTGTAATGAACATAGTGTTTTTCTAGTGTCTGGGTGTTTCTATATGTATAACATGTATTTATTTACAAAAGAAAAGTATGTTTAAGTATGTTTATCAGTTTTCTAGTACCCATAGTACAAGCTTTGCTTAGTTTGGGACTAGAAAATGTTGTGTACAAATGTGTCCTAAATATTTATTTATTTATTTATTTATAAAAAAAAAAAGTTTGTGTTTGATATACTTGAGATAGATGTATATTATTTACTATGTTAAATGCAAAGCATTTGTATTTACCGTATATTTTAATATTTAGCACTAACTGAACACAGTAGCTAAGCTGCTCTAGAAATTTATTCAGTCCGTTCCCAAAAAAAGGCTCTAACGAATGTATCATAGTTAATTGTGGTTGTTTCAGAGAGGGTATGTATTCCATTAATCAAATAAGCAGAAGATGTTATACAACTATACAGTCAACATTTTGGAATACAACCTTGAAGAATATCTGAGCATCCAAAAAAAAGTCGTTGGGATAGAATTGGAGGCATTGCTCATTGAAGATCTCTATAAGATGTCACCAAAATACGTAATTAAAATAAAATAAATATATGAGAAATTAATTTTTATATATCACGAATGAATGAATTTTAATTCGTTTTTATAAAATATAGAATTAATGTTACACACAGTTACTTGCATTTGTTACAAAGAATATTAGTGCTAGTTGGCTTACCTTGTTATTAGAGTTAAGCAGCGTCAGGACATCACCACGCTTCATGGACACCTCTCGAGGCGACTTCTCGGCGTAGTCATAGAGAGCCACTACGCACTCCTTGCCTGACACGTCCACAACTGGCGACTCTTGTTGCTGTGCACATAATATACTGATTAGTACGGAAAGGTCCCTGATGCGTACAGAGAGACAGCAAAAATCAGCTTATAGTCTCATACTCAGTACAGTCAGGAAGCAGTTTAAATGATAAAAAAAATAGCCTGACTATGCTGGGCGCTGTGAATTAGCGGACTAAACATATCTTCGAAATTTTTTTTTGTTATTATTTCGAAAATATGCAGTTTCCTTATATTTCCTTCACCGCCGAGTACGTAATAAGTCAACACTTAAAATTTAACTAAACTAAACTAAAAACAATTTTATTGGTGCCGCCACCGGGGATCTAACTCAGGTTGCTTGAGTATATTAAATTAAAGGCGAGCGCCTGAACACCGAGCTATCACGGCGACGCGATGCCAAGTTGAGTTTTATTATTTTAGCAATATTTACGTTTGACGCTTATTCTTCTATTCCTGTAAGCTCTGTGCACTGGACATTTTAAAATTTTAAGTATAAACAAAAAAGACTTACCCGACATGAGTCGGCTTGCTCTCTGAGTGCCTTTATGGTGTTTCCGAAAGCCTCGAGGTCAGAGAGCAGAGCTTCGTGCTTCTTCAGCAGCGCCTCGGAGGAGTCCTCGTCCTTGCCGTAGTCCTGAGTATTGGCCATTGGCTCCTTCTCGCGCATCCAAGACTCCGCCTCGTTGGCGTCGGCGAAGTACTGCTGCGCTTGGAGCGAATCCTCCAGGTCTTGCTTACGCTGCATGTGTAATTTTTAACATTAGAACCTCTACGGAAACAATAGTTCAACTATTGGGTATAGGACTCTACAATACATATTGCACATCACTGTCGCACGAAGCTCTAACAGTCCGGTAGGTAGGGGTAATGCTCAACGAAACCGGAATTAGCCGATCATCACTCTCCCCAACTCTAACTTAATGTAATGCACCTGATAGAATGACTTCATCAAACTAAGTCATCAAAATAACTTAGTTTCACTTGCTTTGCAAAATTATATTAGAATAAAAAAAAATTGTTGCATTGCTTTTGACACGACACAGTGAACGCCTTCTGTTTTGAGGCGATTTTACTGGTGTAGAGCCACGCAACAGTCTTCACTTTTGCAGGAATGGGCATGTCTGTCTGTACAATCTTATAATACACTGATGTTAAGTTGAAGTGTTATATTTCCGCGTTACGTATGGTGAGTGAGGTAGCCAGCCATTACCATCCAGTGGTGCATTATTTAACATTTTTCATATTGGCCAAGCAGTATCCAGCGGTGGGCAGTCAGCCGGTCGGTGCCCACCTGGAGCGCCTTCTCCTGCAGCTGCGTCCACTGCTGGTGCAGCTGGTGCAGGCGCGCGGCGATGTCCTCGGCGGCGAAGTGTCCCGCCGCCCGCAGCGCGGCGCCCGCCGCTCGCACCGCCTCCACGCGCGCCTCGTGCTGCGCCATCTCGCCCATCACCGCCTGGTGCTTCTTCATCAGGTTCTGGACGCCGATCAGGTCGCGCCCTGCGTATTAGGTCATTACAATGAACAAATATTTATATACTGCAGTATTGGGAATTGGTATTACAAATTTTATATGTAAGTAAAATAACGGCCTATACATGTCCCACCACTGGGCAAGGCATCTCTACAGAGGGTATTAAGGCATAGTCCACTATGCTATCCCACTGCGGATTGACGGATGTCACGTATCTTCGAAAAAATTTTTCGCAAATATGCAGATTTCCCTCACGCTGTTTTCCTTCATTGCTGAGCATGTGATAAGTGAGCACTTAAATTTAATTTTCAATGGTTGACAGCTTGAACTCAAGTTGCTCGAGTATATTGAATTTAAAGCGAGCGCCGGGACACATCTATCACAGCTCATTATATATGTAGATTCACCAAATCACCTCTGTTCGTCGAAGCAATAATGGGTTCCTTCTCGCGAATCCAGGCGGCTTCGTCGTCCAAGTCGCGGAACAGCTGCTGCGCTTGCAGCGAGTCCAACAGTCGCCGTTTACGGATCGCCATTGGCTTATCCAGGGCCGCATAACGAGCGACCAAAGCATCCTGATGAATGAAAAATCGTTAAGGTCCTAATGAACTAAAAATATACGTGACGTTAAAATATAGAATAAAGTCATATCTCCCTTATTTAAGTAAATATTATATGTTAAAATTTGTAGAAAAAGTGCGAAAAGATTTTCGCCGCTGTGGGAATCGTACCCACGTCTTAGGCATTCGTGCCCTGACGCTATAGCCACTGATTGCCACACCGACGAAAATCTTAACGTCTTTTATCTACTTTGATTTTTTTTAGCATTTGAATATTATACGACTGAAAAGTAACATAGCGTTTTCAAGACGAGCGATTGCCATAAATATTTTATTCAGCAAAATATATTAACATAATGAAAACATCAGAATTCTAAGAAAGATAACATCGCAACGGGAGGTCAAGTCAAGGTCAAGGTCAATGGTGACTCACCCGCTTGGACTGGATATTGTCGGCGTCGAAGTGCCCGCGCTCGATGAACTGCTCGGCCTGAGCGCGCAATGCCTCGATGCGCTCGGCGTGCGAGCTGACATCCGCTTCTAGAAGCGCGTGCTTCTTCTGCAGGTTCTGCACACTCGTCAGGTCCTGCGGCACAAGTATCGACATGTATTTTCATTCAAATAACAAATAGCAATCTATGTTTCCTTAAAAAAATATAAAAAAAAGTATTATAGCCTATATCACCTTTTTGTTAACCAATGATAAAGTGTTAAAATTTGGATAGATTGGGGACAGAACGTGCGGCAATACTTGACATAAATAGCGTACGAGCTTTCCGGTAAAAAGAAAGTCAACGCATCTAAGTGGTTAAATTACGTACTTTTTATAGCTAAAATTTCTTTATACCATTTAGGTTTTTTCCAAGTCTTGTGAATGTCAAATTTACTATCACTTCATTATATTGGATCAGTACAGAGAACGATCAGCAGGAAACCGTGATCTGGATATAAAATAAAAATGATTTTTTGTTGTTCTATACATTGTTTCATGAAATAGCATTCACTATTATGGAAAACATCAATTTCATCTAAGAAAAACCTTATTGATATTTAGCAGGAACTGTGCAGTAAAAAAAATAAACAGAATTAGGCATGAAAATACGCACGCTAGCCTACAGGCTATTGCTACATATACAGCGTGTCGTTACCATCGCGACAATAAATGAACACACATATAGGGGATAACTTTTTAAAGTTGTATTAAACATTTAAATTCTTTAAACATCAATATTTACAGAGTTATTAAATTTTCCAAAACAAAGAATTTTAGAACACCCTTACCTATAAAAGCGTAACGTAAAGTTCATTTGTAAAGGTCACAAAGCATATGAATGGGTTAAATGAATTTAAAAGAGACAAAACATACTGTTAGAAGGAGAGGCTTGTAATGGGACGCTGTGGCGCGAGTTGTATAGGATGTTACAAATTTTGTTTCTTTTTTACTTAATTAGTTTGTTTGAAAAATATATTTTTTTAATTATGGATTTTGTTTAACGTTAATATTTTTTTATGATTATTGACAAGTAGCGTTAGACGTGTGTTCATTTATTGTCGCGATGGTAACGACACGCTATATAGCTACAGCTAATTAAGAAAATGATTAGCAAATATATCCTCAATTTAAACCACTACATCTTTCATTTCATCTTGTGTGTACCTTGCCATAGTCCTCGCTGAGTAGCTGTCCCTCGACTTCTGAGAGCCAGAGCTCGATGTCCTCGCTGGCGCGGTTGAACTGCTGCTGCGCGGCCGCCTCCTGTAGCTTGCTGCCCTTCGTTTCCGATGCCTGCACCAGCTTCTCCCACATGCCGGCCAGCTCGCCCAGGCGGGCTTCGATTTGGGCTGGATAATAAAACTATCTATTACAATCACATTTGGATTTCATCTTTAGTGCGTACCGAAAAATAAAAAAATTATCCTAAATTTTAGTAGCAAAATTAATAAGTGATCATCTCTGGCTTGATACTGGTACCACTAATTATTGATTTATTAATTCCGTTGATACAATCACTAACAAACTTCACAGGATCACCATCTGGGCTAATCTGAAGATTTCCTGAAAATTTCATAAAAATCGGCCAGCCGTTTTGGAGTCCACAGGGAAAATACACATCTTTTTTTTATATATAGATTATTCATTTGTGGAGCCCAGCATGCACATACAATGCACATCACATTCTCAAAATTATCATGGACTTCAATATATCTACTAGGTTGCAGTAGTTGTGAGACTTATGCCCAGTTTCTGAAAGGCCAATCAAAGCAGCAATTACATAACACTATGTCAAAAATGATCAGCTGTTAATCTCTTGTTAAACTGCCTTGGGTTTCTGGAAGGTTTGTTCATGAAAAATTTGGTAATCACTGTATAACCAATGATAATGAATGAAATGAATGATTTACTTCAACTAACTCTTTCTATTGTACAGCTGTCCCTTTTTAAACAAAACTTAAATTAACGTCACTATCCAGTCCTGTCACCATGATTGCCAACGTAAAAATCCGAGCTATAATAAAATTTAATTTATGTAAATACATGCAAAATATCAAGAAACAACTTTACAGAATGTGAAAAAAATGAACTTTTACCCATAATAAACAAGTAAGTATTACAAAAAGAAAGAATCCATATTATTTATTAACTTTTGAATTGCATTTTGTATTTTTTCTAATCGCATGATATTTTCGCATAATAATAAATAATAAATAGGTAATAGAACACATGAATGTCGTTACAACGTATTAGGGAATTATGTTTATTTTCAATAAAAACTAAGATTTGATTGATTTTTCTCATAAAATACATTTTTAACCAATGATTGATCGTCCAAATTGACAGATTACTTAATAAAACTTTTGACAGCTAGTTGACCACCGAAAAACGCTTTCAGAAACTCGATTTTCTGTTGATTGTCCGTTAATCAGTGACTAATTGCAAATCAAAATCAATTCATCATTCAATCATTGTTTTCAGACATTCTAGCAACTCAGATCATGTTAAACAACGTTTGACAAGAGATTTATCGTAAATTAAAATTTATTGCGCTTTCAGAAACTGGGTGTTATTGTTCAGTTCACTGTTGAACCAAACAGCCTTCTTAGCAATTTTTTTACCCAGTCTACCAATTTGTAGTAGGCCTATGCCTGTTGTTTGTATGTCTGTACATACTACGACAGGCAGTCAGTTCACGTTCGGTCATCGAGCAAACCACGCGTTTTCAAATTATCATATCATAGTATATCCAATTGTAATAGTGTTCTAATAAATTCTATAATCATTTATATCATCACTAAAAGCAAGCTTCGCTCGCGTTAAATAAATATCTTGCAACACTTTTTTCCAATTAATAAATAGCCTATGGCCTTTCTCAGGCTCTAGAGTATCTGTGCACCAAATTGCACATTTAAATCGGTTTTGGAATGAAAGCGAGACAGACAGACAGAGTTACTTTCGTATTTATAATATTAGTATGGATAACCGGTGTTAGGAACTAGCCTCAACACTCACTATCCAACCCCTTATTCCACACAAATTATAATCAAACTATTTTTTTTTACAGATACCCTTTTTTTTCCAGATTTCCGAAAGGATAGTGCTAACGATACACTCCAATCATACAATATTAGCATCAGATAACTCACGCTGCGCGAAGTGCTCCTGCTCCAGCAGCCTGGCTCCGGCGGCGGTGATCTCGTCGACGCGCGGCTTGTTGGCCTGCAGCTCCTGCTCGAAGTTCTGGTGCTTCTGCACCTTGCCATTCAGGTTGGTCGGGTCGAGGTACGAGTCGTCCGTCGCGAACTTCAGCTTCTCGTTGATCCAGCCTGCACCGTGATGAAATGACATTCGATGACTTTATTTCAAAAGGCTTATTAAAAATAAGTTTAAATGTCATAGATAAATTAAAGTTTTTAATTAGTATATTGTTACGATTTTAAACATACAACAAAAAATAAAATTACTGTGAAATTGCCCAAGTCGTATTTACTTACCCTTGGTTTCATCACAGTCTCGCTCAAATTGTTGATATTTGTAGGCGTCTTCCAAAAGCGCACGGCGTTGGTTGGATTTTTCTAGCAGAGCAGCTCGCCGTTCTAGTAACTAAAAATAGGCAAATTTAACAATAAAATTCATCAATGTGAAAGAACAGTATTTAACTAAAAATAAAATACAATATTCAGAAAAAAAAAATAATTTTCTTAATGCAAATGTAATGAATAAAAAATTTAATATAAAAAAGGTATAAGGATTATTAATATTATTGAAGATAATACAATGAACATTTTACTTCATATACTGCAATGTATTATTGTACTTTAATCGCGCTTGAAATATTGAACATAAAAAAGACAATTGACATTTTTCATTAAGGTAATTTTATTCTACGTATTTTTTTTTTATTCAAACACATCTACATACCATCTCCCTCCTTTGTGCGACGTCATCGGCAGCGTAGTGCTGTCCGTCAATCAGCTTCGATGCGAATTCATCCAAAGCCTTGATCTTCTCCTCTTGAGCCGCCAAGGACTTCTCGAAGTCCTCGTGCTTCTTCAACAAAGCCTCCACGGAGTCGAGTGAGTCGCCGACGTCTTCATTGGCGAGGAACGCCTGCGTAAATCATCTCTGTTATGGTAGCACTTCAATGTTATGATAACACAGACATTTCATGCTAGAACAAATGTTTGTTTACTAATTGGGCAAAATATTGATTGATCGGCGAAAACAAGCGCACATACAAATATGAATTCGTAAATACTTAAAAGTCTTATAATATTTAAAATTTTCGATTGTGTCGGTAAGTTTTAAATATCTTTGTTCTTCTTCTTTTTGATTCTCAGTCTAGATGTTTATCTATGTCTTTGAGTTACAATTTGAGGAAAGTAACTGTACTAATTTAAGCTAATAATGCAAGATTATGTTGATGAAAGAAATCTAAAATAATTCTTAAATACAAGATTCAGCTCTTTAAAATAGAGTATTTAGTCCTAAAAAAATAGAGTTACTATTTAGTAATTTGAACAAGATTACTTATTCATAAAAATAGCAACTTATGCATCCAGGCTTCGGTCTTTTCAGTGCCACGGTAGAATAGTTGCATTGCAGGTAAAGCACGCGGAGACCTGCTTGTGCATCCAAGCGTCCGCCTGCTCTGTGTCGCGGTAGAACAGCGGCAGGTAGAGCACGCGGCGCTGCTCCCAGAGGGAGCGCAGAGCGTATTTAAGTATATATATTAGAGTTAAGCGTGGTGACCTCCTGCTTGTGCATCCAGGCGTCCGCCTGCTCTGTGTCGCGGTAGAACAGCTGCAGGTCCATGCATTGCAGGTAGAGGACGCGGCGCTGCTCCCAGAGGGCGCGGAGGGCGTCCGCGTCGCGTCGCAGCGCGTCCAGCGCCGCCTGCACTTCAGCAGCGGCGCGGTGGCCGCCCGCCGCCAGTGCCTCTCCGTGCGCGCAGCACGACGCGATCACGTCCTCGCGCGCCTCCATCTCGCCCTGGTTCACATTCGCTTATGTAACATCTACCAAGACCATCCTACATTGGCAGATTTTATGGTGTGACCTCAGTGAACGCATTTGATACACGTGAGTGAGGTATTGGCGCTTTGCTGGTAAATTCAGACCGTGCATGTAATAGCAGAAGATATTGTTTGGTCTCTTGGTGGTAACTTACGAACGTATTAATTTCTATGTAAAATTTCGTCGCTGGCGCGTTCTTATGAAACGTCGTATGTGAATAAAAATATTTTGAATTTTTGAATTTTCTACACATGAACACATGGATTACAATGGGACTGTGACTGTACATCAGTGGCTGCATCGCCACTTACCATCAGGTGGGATTGCAATCAAAATATCCGCGAAAGTGTCGCACCTTGTGCTCTTGGTGGCGCTCGAGCAGGGCCTCCGCACCGGGCACGTCCTTGGCGAGGTCGTCGGCCGCGATGAGCGCGCGCATGTCCGACACCCACGACATCAGGTCGCGGTAGTCGGCGAGGAACCGGTGCAGCGCGTACGACGACTCCAGCTCCGAACGGCGCTCCTGACAAATTCACATTCGAGTTACGTTTTTATATTTCTAACATTGAAAGAATTGCACGGACATTTATTTCAAACAATTGGTTCGCAAGTGTGGATTTGCAAGTGTACTTAATTGATACATGTCGTGGGTCCGATTTCCGCAGGTGATTTTTTTCTGTGTAAGATCGTCAAGACGTATAACGCAAGCGAATTTCCTATCATACATTATATCTTAGAGTTCCTTTCATTGATTTCTTGATCTTGAACATACTTCCTCCATAAAAACCCTTAGTTGCAGATAGGTTGCCAACTACTGAAAAAAATTAGAGCTTGTGTAATGTATGAGAATACTTTGAAGTGGTGAATACAGATGCATTGCCTGAACTTCAAAAAAAAATCGATATTCCCCAATGTATGCGGATTTTGTAAAGTTGTGTTACCTTGGCCTTCTGCACGAGCTTCTGCCACGCGTTGGTGATCTCGTCGCGCTTCGCGTGGATGGCGGGCGCGTGGTCCGCGTGGATGGCGGCCAGCCGCGCCGCCTCGCCGTCCAGCGTCGACACCTTGTCCTCGAGCGCGGCCAGGTCGCGCTCGACGCCTTCGTGCTTGCGCTGCAACACATCCACGATCACATGTCTCATTCCTAAAAGCTGTATCTAGCTAGCTGGTCTTCCGTAGTTACATGTTGCATTTTATTCAAATAAGATTATAATTACGACACAATTTAAGTTAATGACGCTTTAACATGTAAAAGAGTGTAGAAAAAGAAGTAAATTATTCGTTTCTGTTCACAGATCAAATAATCTTATTTGTTAAAAACGCAACATACAGTTTCTTTAGACTGTTTCTTCTCCATTAGAGGAACCTTATTACGAAACGGTGGTAGATTTAAAAAACGACTATCGAAAGATGAAATGTATATTTTTTACTTCGATGAATAAATGATTTGATTTGATTGCATACCTGCAGGGTTTGCACAGTAGCTAGGTCTCTTCCGTAGTCGTCGGAGCCGAGAACTACGTCCTTCTCGGAGATCCATGCAATGGTCTCGTCGGCGTCGCGATTGAAGCGCTGGATCTCGTGGGCTCCGAAGAGGCGCTCCTGGCGCATCAGCGCCATCTGACGGAGACGCTGCCACGCCTCGTTCAGCTCCTGCACCAGGGATAACAATGCAGTTGAAACTCTGTAGACAATATACAGTCTCACCAGGAAAAAGCATAATTTTTTCACGAATCTCTTCAGCGAACCTTCAGTATTACCGTGTCTATAAGATAAATTCAGGCCCATAGCCGCAGCGTGGCTGTACTACGGACATAACTATCACTTTTGAGCTATTAAGTTGATCATGCACTTACGTCCTTCCTCTTGACGATGGTCTCGCGCTCTGGATGGCCCTCGAGTACCAGCCTCTCAGCCAGCTGGTTGACCTCGGTGACGCGGTACTCCTGCGCCGCCATGTCCTTCTGGAACTCGTCGAACTTCCTCTGCAGCACCTCCACGTGCTCCAGGTCGCTGCCGAACTCGTCCGCGCACACAAACGTCTCCTGCACACACGTAACATAATATGTTATGACATCGCTTCTTGTGAACATAGACAATGAAAACTTTTAAACTAAAAGGCGTGTTTTTACCTAAAATGTTTTGATGTTAATTAATCTTATTAAGATGATAAATGTGAAGCTGTAATATTTATATCCTTTTACTATAATAAAACCTTAACCTAATAATAATAATTTATTCATGCAATCAATATAAAAAGAAAACACTTATCATAATCACATTTATAAAATTGGAAGAGAGTACAATATTTTAAACTCCGACTCCTGTGCTAGGTTATCCTGTGTTACAGAAGTCAGTGCCCTTCACATTTTTACATGTATCCAAAATTTCACTGCAATGTGTAATCTTAAATGAGATGTTGAAAGTCTATCAATTGCTTCGGTAAAGGCCTGTTTAATTTGCGAAGCGAAAAGAAAAAGACAAATGCGGTACCTTGTCGTGGATCCAGAACATGACCTCGTCGCAATGGCGCAGGAACTGCACCAGCACCAGAGCCTGCTGCAGCTTCATGCCCTTCTCGGCGAGGCGGGAGAGCAGCAGCTCCCAGAGGCGGTGGAGCTCGTCGAGGCGGCGGCGTATGGTCTCCGACGCGAAGTGGCAGGCGGCTATCATTTCGCTGCCGGTGTTGTCCAGCACCACTATCGCATTGGAGTGCGCCGCCACCTCGGCCTCGAACGCCTGGTGCTTCTGGATCTTGGCCTGTGGGCAATACAATGTGGTTAGTGCAGCCATGTGCATTGTAGTCCCATGGCCATAGAAGTATCTCATATCTCCTATATGCCTTAAAATGAGAATAAAAGGGGAGTCTGGATATATTGGATTTCGGAAATATTTTCATTAAACTCACGTTAATTTTGTATAAACACGATATTTCATTATTGAGCACAAAAGTTCGGTATTGGCATACCAAATTCTGTTAGACAAAAACACTCGGGAGGCGCGGCTTTTTTTATTGTACTAATTTTATTAGGTTCATTTGTTTTTTGTTTGTTTAAAATTAAAACGAGTCAAATGAAATCCAGCGCGCTGAATAAAATGGAGACATTTAAACAACGTTCGGTATTTAAGAAGTTAAAAGAAAACTGACGACCAAGAAGATCTACGATCATATGAAAACAACATAAAGAGGATCCTGCTTCTTTGTACTGTGAAAAATTATGGCAGAGAAATAGTTGTGGTCGAGATAGCAGACAAATTCACCCTCGGTCCGCGCGGCCTATGATGTCTATAGAGAACTTCGACAAATGTGTGATCTCGTGTGAACGTACGCAAAACATCATAGTCAATGAACTTGGATTTCACTCGGTAGGACTACAGATTGACTTCAGTAGAGCAAAACGAATATAGGTCACCATTTCCCGCGACTGTTTGTAGGTGCTTAAGGCTGTCCGCAAATTTGGATCAGATTGGAAACCTGGGTTCATCATTACACCCCAGAATCAAAACTACACAGCAATGGAAAAATCCTAGGTACTTTACAATAGGCGAAACCATAAATTCATCGTAAGACTGCACCCATTTAAAACATTTAACTGAGGACAACAAAGCATTTAGCTCAGTGAGTTTTGTTTCTTCAAGTTTTCAATATTTTCGTTCACACACCTTTTAAATCAACGACCAAAATTCTTAATTGTGATATCGAATTTCGAGTCTGGCCAATTTTCATTGAATAAAGAAATCGAAGCTGAAATGAACCAAGACCAAGGTTTTTAATAACCAAGTCTTGTGCGAGCGGCATAGAAGCCTTGAGAAATATCGAAAAATTAAATGTAAAATCTTCATATTTAATTTCATTTGCTTCATTTAGGCCGCAACTCTATCTAAACTCGAACTTAAATATCTTATTATTATTATACATCATTTGTCTTTTACACGAAATTAATTAGATCGTGATTGATCGCTTTCCATATTACTATTCTGAACCTTTGCGTTGTGTAGCTCACGCGGAACTACGGATAATCAGGATATAAGAAAACCAAAAGCTATGCAATCTACATAACCTTGCAAAGGTTTCATCCTCGTTCGGAAATTGCTCAACTTCCTGGGATCAATATAGACTCGGAGCTGACGACGCGAGTTGGTGCAGTCACCGCGGGTTCTTTCAACGGTACTAAGACATGCCATTTATGTAAAACGCTCTACATTATAATACTATCCCGTATTTTTAATTAAGTTTTAGTAATCAAGTATTCTTACTTTTGTGCTAATACAATTTATTTTATTCTTCAGGGTAGAAACTACTAATATGAACTTAAGCCGTCGTTTGTTCCTATAATAGTCAAGGTCATCAAACATGGCCGTTGCCTGCAGAGGCAGGTATGGAAAATTCAGCGTCTGTTTCGACTGTGAGATGCAGGATGTATTTATTAGTGAATCATTTAGACTCAAACCACCCGCAACTCACGGGTTCAATGATGTTTGCCTACTATATTATTTCGACCTAGTTTTCAATCGAGACGCATTGCGGCGTGGATTTTATTTATTTGCACAATACATTGCCGCGTCGGCGTACAGAATCGTTAATGTAAAAAAAAAAATATATTCACGAGCCATGAAATAATGAAAATAGACGCTAAGTGGATTGCGTCACGCAATGCTAACTACTTTTTTCTCACACCCAACCAAGTCCATCTAACAACATACTAATCATAAAGGCTTCGCACGTGTGCAATGCTGAATGTTTGTGCTGTTTGTGCTTTTGAAAAAGTATACAGAACAAGTCACTTAGTAATTTATTTGTTGTTTTGAAATAATTGCGATTCAGTCCAGGATGTTAGAAGATATCTTCTAACACTGGACTGAATCGCAATAATTGCTAAATATATATTTAGGAGACATTTTTACAAAAAATTATCTAGTCCCACGCTAACACACATTTGCAATATGGGTACTAGATAACTGATAAACATACTTAAACATACTTATCTTATGTAAATAAATATATAATATACAAAATATGTAAACAGCTAGACACAGTGAAACAATAAGTTCATTAGACAATATTTTTCAGTAGTGGGAATTGGACCCACTCCCTCTGTTGCCAGTATGAATGTTTAATAACGTCACAATGTATACCTGCAAGTTGGTGGGGTCCTTGTAGCTCTCATCGCTGGCTGCCTGCAGCTTCTCCTGGATCCAAGACTCGAGCTCGTCCGCGTCCCGTTTGAAGTATTGGAAGCGGCGCGAGTCTTCCAACTTCTCGCGCTTAGCACGTGCCTCCTGCTTGAAGTCTTCATAGCGGTTCAGCACCTAAGTATGGGTGGAGTGAGATATTGGAGCTTTTGTGAAAATTACCGTGAGTTTAACATGAGCTTACAAGGAGTATTTATGATGATAAAGTTAATAGCAATACTAATAGGTTTCCCTAGCACAAGTAACAATAAGTTCATAGAAATAGTAGACAATTGTTTTCATAGTGTTATTATATGTAGATGTATATAATAAAATGACAGCAAGCTTCATTATCCATAATTTCAGCTTACTACTCTGGGTTACAGGATTGAACATTTTTATATAATTATGTATATACATATTTTGATAACCTGTTATCGTTGATAAATATTATCTTATCAGTTGGATTTATAGAAATCACCAATACTTGATATGACAGAGCATTTAAACTGTAACTATAGAAAATGGGAACTCCAACAGCACCAATAATGGTTTTAAAAAAGTTAATATTAAAACTAAGTGCAAGAAATCAAGCAGTAATTTGTGTTATTATTAAAAATATATTTAGCTAATCTATGCCTAATAGATAATTCAATAGAAGTAATTAAATGTGTAAAAGTAATCTATCTAAACTCTTTGTCATAAGTTTTAAGTAAGCATGGACCAATTTTAGTACTAAAAATATAGCATAAAATACTCAAAGTTATAGTATATTGAAATAAAAGAAACAAAGTATACAAATTATTTTTTTACTGTTTTTCTTATTTTAACTACAGTACTAGAAAGTTCTATCTCAAGTAAATTTTACATATTTGTGCCATATACCTGCTCTCTGCGCTCCTGGATATCCTCAGCAGTTTCAAGGATCTTCACCTCCTTTGGGGGTGGAATCTGCTCCATCGTTGGATTTAACAAACTGAGAAAAATATTTTTTATGTAATACATTATTTATCAACTCATCTCAAAGTATTAGCATTTTGATCAAAAGCAATCTATGACAAATATCCAATAATTTTAATTGTGCTGGACCATTTACTACTCTAAATAAGCATTTATCAACCCTTTTGTGTAAATGCTCTTAAACATCCTAAAACTTTTAATAAATTTACATATACTATTTATAAAACAGGTGATTTGATCATGAACACTGGGAAAGGGTTTGAAATGTTGGTAATTTAATAAATCTAATTATACATGATAAACATACAATTACAAACAGTACTTTTATATTAATCATTTTAAAAATATTATTATATTACTTCTCAGGATATAAGAAGATTAAGATTTCCTAGATCATTTGAGAAACCCAGATAAAAGTGTGTATAAAGATATCAAAATGCTTTCATTAACATTACTCACACTAATAAAGGTCAGCCTACACTTGACATCATCACTTGTCTAAATTACATCATACAACCTTGTGACTCATCAGAGTAATATGCATAACATTCTGATAAAGATATGGGAAGGTAAATTTTTGGTGCCTACATAACAGTTTTTTTCTATTGTACCTTTTTTACCCTGTCACTATTTATTATTTAAAATCTTTAATATACAAACAAAACAAATTACAATCCATGGTATAACTGTAATAAATCAAATAGGATGTTATTAACAAAATATTATAATGAGAGAGATATAATTACTGGCTCAGTAAATATATGTAGTAAATGAGAGTAACTGGTCAGTGGCAGAAATCAATACTCCAATACTGTTATTGGATCTAGGCATGCAAAGATGCCAGTTGTAACACATTATCATGACTATTTGAAGTGAGATAGATAAACATAAGTATTAAAGAAAGCAAACTACTACAAACCTATAACAGACATTTAATTTAAAGAGTTTATCCCAAAACATGTTAAAATTGTTTTAGATTTCTTACATTATAAATAAATATTGGTAAATACAGAATATAAACGAATCTTATAACAGATTTTATAATTTCCTTGCTGATAAAACTCACATGTACTGATAATTAATAAATCTTAACACTTAAAGTAAAATTTGACTTCACGAATTATACTATCTTATATGAACAATCTAATTTTAATCCGAAATAAGATACCAATACCTCACAATAACTCCTTACTGCACTGCAGAGCTCTGTCGTTACGAGACAGAAATAATCTAGATTAAATAGATTTATCAATTAGGCGTCGAAAGTACTTGGGTGAGGCAAACTACGTCACCGTTCCAGATTCCGTAGGTCGGTACACTGCATGCACCAACTCCGCCACCGCGAGTAACAAGGCAATAGTATAACTACCCGGCTTACATATATTACATCTATAATCGGTGTATACATCCTTCCCTGTTGTATACAATGACGTAATGCTCAAAAATAAACCATATACGGATTGATTTGTGCAGAGTTCAAATTTTAGATCGTTTTCTAACCGAAATATATGAAAGACCTTTAATTGCTTGTAAATAAGGTTTAAAAGTTGCTAACATATCGGGATAATTCTGTAAATGTATATTGCTCCAATTCATAAATATATGGGTGTGTCAGAAGAAATATATTGAAAATAATCAAAGTTTCGACAAGTTATAACATTAAATTAAAGAAATATGACTTACCTTGCGTTAAGCACAAAAATAGTTCCAAAATTTGAAGCTTTTATATTACTTTTTCAGAAATTTCATGGAAAGTCGTTCGTTCGACATGTAGGTACAATACGTCGCGTCACTCCTCCTTATTGAATGTTGCTATTATTAATAAAACCACTACTAACGCAGCGTTCTAACAAGATTATTGATTGACCTAATTTTAAATTTAATGTTTAAAAAAAAACAAATCACACTTTAATCACTCTAAATATAAATAAAATTTATTCTGTAATTTGAAAAAAGTCGATTCGTTTCATGAAAGATTAATGTTTATAAATGCCACAAGTGTCATTAATGAAATGTACCATGGCGACACCGGAAATCAGTTGTCAAATTTACTTATTCCCTTACGGTTGTCGTACGTTTGTTGTATCAATTTGTATGTCAATTATCAATTAACCCTTGTTAATAATGGCCTGTTGATTATTAAAAAGCAGTGCTTGGTGCAGATCTTATCGATGTACAGTGTAGTGTATGGGTAAATAATGGCTGCTGGCGGCGAAGAACTGTGGCGCGAGTGCGCGTCCTGGTTGACGAGATGTGGCTTACTGCGTCCGGACCACAAGGCAAATTGGGAAACGAGTACTATTCATGATCTCGCTTATACATTACGTGATGGAGTCCTACTCTGCAACCTTCTGAATGTTCTGCACCCTGGCTGTATCGACATGAAGGACGTGAACCAGCGACCTCAAATGGCTCAGGTATACTAGCAGTGGTATTTCCGTCGTTTCTTACCGTTACTAATATAAATAATTATTTAAACATTTTGACCTCCTGACATTAGAATGAAGTTATTTATAAATTTCGACCATATTTACATATTTTCTTTAAAATAGTAAATAGTCATAGTTTTTTACTTTAAATATAAATTTATATTTGTTAGCATTATTAAATTGTTATGTTCTTAAAATTGAAATATCATTTATAAAGATTATCTTATATATCAAAAACAACTGGTGTTTCTTGTTCACAACTGCTTTTTATTGATGTTAATTATGCATGCAGAGATGAATAATGTTATGTTGCCATTCATGTCCATGTAAAATACACAATTCACTGAATATATTCTAGTGTTATCAGTGTCATGAATGATTGAAATACTCCCTGATCTCTATTAGCATATTCACTACACTCGTGTAGTATTTAGACCACTTTAGTAGCATATAATATCTTTTATCACTTATGCTTTATTTTTTTCTTTGTATAAGCTTATAAATAACTTAAATTTTTGTGATGCTACCTAAAGTTTTATTGCTTATTCTTACTAATAATGATAATTCATTATTAGTATAAATTTATTTTTCAAAATTATATTGTTGAATAAGCAATAATGAAAATAGTTCCTTGTTATATGATATTATTATTGACATTTTTAGTAGAGTTTATCTGGTTAAGTAGCTTTGATTTCAATAGTAGTATGATATACCCATCAACCCTTTCTTAACATTAAAATAAAAGCCTTGACAAACAAAACCTTAAATAATAAAAATAATAAATTATGTTATATTGTAAATGTTTTTACTGAGCTGGTTCCATTTACTTACACATGGTAACTCATGGGAAAATATAGTTTCAAACTAAAATGAAAGTGTACCAAGCTGTTTGTGAAATTTTTGAATGAATGCATAAATCATTGAGTGAATGGGGAATAATTATGAATGTAAATTGTATATGGAATATTTTTGTACATGCAGACCCAAGATTTATTTGCTCACTTTGTTCTTGCTATATATAAGACCTTAATTACTTCAAGTGAACCAAAAGCTTATTATAGCAAATTTCTTGTGAGATAAAATACTAAGTTTAGAATAAAAATAATTGTAATGTCTTTCAATAAATGTTGACATTTATGATAAATAACTATTACCATTATTTATTTAATCATGAACATATTTTTTAACATTACTTTACTTTTATAATTTTGTTATTGTCCTAACCATTACTTATTAGTTTATGCACTCCTAATGAGGTAGATTTAAATCAAATTGGAAATGTTATCATGCACTTGTTTTCCTGCGAAGCACATGTATCTGTACAGATGTATTTGTTCAGTGTTAATGGTTTATGCAAGGACAACCCTCTTTTGGGAATAACAATCAGGTCCAGAACAATTGTCTGCGAGTCACACCAATAGTTGTCCTGTGTGGGAATCAACCCATTACCCCAGTGCCAAGGCCAATAGCTTTGCATATTTGCCAAAGACATACTGTTGTGTCTTATCAATATATTTTTCTTGTTATTAAAATAATAGTACATGATTTTTTTGTTACAGTTTCTTTGTATGCGGAACATTAAAGTTTTCCTACGGACATGTCATGAGATCTTTGAGCTACGGGAAACGGATCTTTTTGATCCATCAATGCTCTTTGACCTTTCCAACTTCCACCGAGTTTTATGTACGCTGGCAAAACTAAGTCAATGCCCCAAGTCACTGGCAAAAAATATTAAGTAAGTTGCATAAATTCTTAATTAAGTAGCTCTCTTAAAATCCTGTTCATAGTAAAAAATATAATTACATATGAAGTTAATTCTAATCTATTCTAGGTTTACCATGTGAAGACTGTAAATGCACAATGCAATTTGATATTAACTTGTAATTGAATGTTAAAATAATGATGCAATTGTACAAGAGGCTCAATATAATTAATATTAACTTTATACGTAATATACATCAATATAGATAGTTTTCTATATATTTCTATATCCATTTTGTTTTCAGGCCATTCTCGGCGCAGAGATCGCAATCGGAAGAAGATATATATAAAGACCTACAGTCAGTGTAAGTAATTTTACTTTCTATTTCCTCGAAAGCTGTCCCCTGACAACACCTAGTAATTTACTTTAACTTATAGTAGCGCGACCATGTCGCTCGAAGCGTCCCATTACACTGTCAATGAGTCCCAAGAGAAGGCGGCACCCAATGATGTGCCCTGGGTCCAGTTCACCATACCGAGCTCCACCTGCGAGGAAAGAGTGGAGGAGATATACGAGGACCTGTGCTATGTCAAGTTCACGTCCGCCATGCCTGAGGTGGCGATCCAATTCGTACAATTAGAATGCACAAACTAGCATGCACCTTGGGATAATGCAGTAGTGTGATGCGGCCTTGCATAACATGAGGGCTCATTTATATGATAATACCTTCCGGTGCTGATGACGGTTCCATGCCTTCGCATTGGAGTAGACGGCTTTAGTCACTGTATGCTATGTCGAAACTACTATTAAATAGAGTGCCTACACATCTGGGAAATCATACTTGCAATTTATAGTCTTGGGACACATCTATCTGTGAGGGAATAACTTGGGTTCATTTATTCAAGTATATGTATACATGTATATCTATAATACCGTATCATTAGAGTAGACTTCATCCAAATGCGGTCAATAAAAATACTTCATTAGGAAAGTAGACCCACAATTGTATAACTTTAGAAGCCGCCTTGACCTTTTTCCGATGATATATTCGCGGTCGAACTTCGCGACTAAGTAAAGCTTAAGCTTAATCTAACTTCGAGACAATTTCGCCGGGCTAAATTTAAATGTACAAGCAGTTCCGGTTTGTTATCTTTTAACTATAAATGGCCAGTTTCGATTTTTTTATTGGCAAAAAATACTAGCGGGCTGTTATTTTATCTTTTAATTTTTGTATGAATTTATAATTAGGCCTGTTATACACTATGTTCGCGATGCTTAAACCGCTTAGTGTAGCAAAAGTAGTTGCCTCGACTGGCAAAACTTCGTTTACGGTTTTGGCGTTCCATTCTGCGCGGTAAACGTTCGCTAAAAATAGTCGAAATGTTTATAACAGCATAATATCGCGATTCGAACATTACGCAAGCGTGTAAATTTCAAAGAGCGTTCATTGAATTGTGCCGGCCGTAAGTTTACGCTTCGTATGCGAAATGTATCACGTCGTAAATATTTAAATTGAACGAAATCGAGAGAGCGCTGTGATGTTTTTTTAAAGTGCTACATTTATATTCTCTTATAGTAGAAACGTAGCAGAGGGGAAAACGAACATAAGAACCTTATAAAAATAACAGTGAAAATGTTTCCCTCCAAAGACCAAGTATTTAATGTATGTTCAAAAACCGGCCAAGTGCGAGTCGGACTCGCTCACGAAGGGTTTCGTGCCATTATCTATAAAAACGGCAAAAAATATGTCTGTTGTATGGGATCCCCGCTTAAATATTTTTATAATTCTGTTTTTCAGTATTTGTGATTATAGCGGCAACAGAAATATATCATCTGTGAAAATTGCAACTGTCAAACTATCACGGTTCATGAGATAGGTACACCCTGGTGGCAGACGAACAGACATACAGCGTCATAGTAATAGGGTCTTTATAATAAGGCCCCGTTTTACCCTTTGGCTATGGAACCCTAAAAATACAGACGGTTGTCAATTCGGTTGTTTGTTTTTGTTAGTTACCTACGGTTTCCTTTTTTCGTCATCTATGAACAGGGTTCAAAAATTCTATTCAACACACCGTTTGATTTAGCTCCGATATGGTCATATTAATTACTTTGGTAATTGGGGCTTCGTAGATACTACGGAGATTTTGAGATCTTCTCAAAATCTAAACATGATTTTTTGCCGTTTTTATAGATAATGGTACGGAACGCTTCGTGCGCGAGTCCGACTCGCACTTGGCCGGTTTTTAATAAAATTGTACTTATTACTGTACACACTGTTTACGTTTTAGGGGGAGGCTATCGTAAAATCCCGGTACGGGTCGTAGTTACGTGATTACGACACACAACACGAATCCAATATCGATAGTTATTGCGTTAGTGTTTCTTTTTAGCTACGAAACCGCTCGTTTGTCTCAATTTTTTCAACATAAGTAAAGTATCAGCCTATACATGTCCCACTGCTGGTCAAAGGCCTCCTCTGTACAGAGGGTATATAGGTATATATAGCCGTGATAGCTCAATGCCCGGGCGCTCGCCTTTAATTGAATATACTCGAGCAACCTGAGTTCGATCCCCGGTCCCGACACCAACATAAATAGGTACTTGTTTAATAGAATGATTCGTTATTTTGACGTTTACACAAAAATAAATATAGCGTTCTGCGATAAATTTTACTCGTAGACCTTTTGAAAGAGACTTAATGCTAATTTCGGTTTCGTAGAGCGTTATCTCTGTCACACTCTACCTACATGACGTTTGTCAGGCGTACATGTGTGCAAAGAGGTGAGGTTCTACGAAGTTGAAATCTGCCGATAGTCTTTTCCCAAGGTCGATGTGCGATGGTTATCGCCGAGTATAGTGCAACTGTCATATAAGCGAGGTCAGAGATCGCTGATTACCACTTTCCACTGTCTAGGACTAGACTAGACTGAACGTCTAGGACTCGTGAACATTTTATCATCCAGCTATCACTTTTTTTTTTAATTAGTATTTGTATGAATATATATTCTTTTTAAATGCAATTTAATCGATTTTATTGCAATTTTCATGCAATGTGAACCAACGAATGGTCGTGCTAACAAAAACAACGACATTCAATTTTAGACTATATAACATGTCAGTTTGTTCACGCATTGCGCGGAGTATTAATCGATAGCTCATCTCATAAATAGACGAACCTCCGAAACATCTTTATTATATTATTTTTTATTCATTCAAACACACTCTCAGACCAGTCTGCTTGTCGTTTTCGCTACATAACGCGTGCGCCTTTGAATGAGACGGATGCGCGCTCGCTTTACGTATGTTAATGATTAGAGGTCGCCAGCGGACACGTGGCCGCTCGCTCGCTTTCTTGTCCGCTTGTCTGGAGCCTCGAGTTTACGTTTAAATGCAGAGCTCAATCGGTGTACCATCGTAATGTATACCATCCCGTGTAGTAGACGTGCTACATCCGGAATAAGCGGAATATTTGAGGGAATATTAGCCCTGTGGCTAAGATTCGACTCGAGATCGTAAGCAGCTAGGTCAAACCACAGCGCTTGCACCGTTGATCTTACTTCATATTAAATAGCTTACCCATACCCAGTGCTTATGTACGTTTGGGACTTTATGAGCATAGCAAAACCGATGCAGAACCGTCTCTACCCCGTGAAGGATTAAGAATAAAAAATATTCTCTATCGTCCTGTGTTCTTTATGGTAGTCTGTATTCTTCTATTTTCGTCATCGGTCCCACTCTGGTCGTGGAGCGGCACATCTACCAGATTAAACTATGCAACCGGCCGTTGACCTCATTTAAGTGTCTAGAATCTAGACTCTAGATCTTCTCATCCGGGAAGTTTGACCAGTTAAATGGATGTCTTCAGTAGTCTACTAGGAGTCTTTCTAAGGCCTTTGCTAAATTTCCATCCGGTTAAGGAACAGAAAATGAATAGTGTAACGAAATAAATCTGAGCTACTTGTGGTACAGTCGCTGAGCGGTTTGCATCTTCGTCGACAGTCGGGTTCGATTCCCTCTCGCAACTTAGTGCTTCTCTTTGTTGTGCTTTTGTTCAAGAAACTCATCAAATACATGAAGTCGGTATAAAATTATGTGCTGATGATAAAAGTTATTTTCATGCATTAACACCCCCGTAACAAAAAGACCCGTCGAGAGGTAATACTATTCTCATAATAACTTATATTTCATAGTTAAGTGACACGTAAATAATTTCGCCGGCTATGACGTCATCATCTACGATATTAATGACGGCAACTTATAAGGAAATAAGTGTATAGCATTATGCTTAAACACATTCTATAGACAGATAGTGTTAACGAGCTAACAATGCGAGTGTGTACATTCTCTTGAAGAGTGTCGTCATTCCTTACTCTTTCAAACTTGCAGACACGTCAACTGTTATCGGCTCTAAACCGACGATGAATTCAGTTATTTGTCAAGTAAAACCCTAAATTTAAGACTCTACTGTACCTACGAACGATTTTACTGCCAGACAACTGCTTATTGACGTCTCTGAGTGAGACAGGAAATAGAAGAAAGCAACAGAAAAAAAAAATCACACAAGCACCAAATATTGCTCGTTTTCGACTCGTACTATATTCAATTTGTCATACTTCTAGGACAAAAAATCGATAGCAAATTAGAATGTAACGAATGGCATGAGGAGCAAACGGCATAAAATAATGTCTTACGCCATTTGTTGTATTTAAACTCGGTATTCAAAACTCAAAAACTCAAAATATCTTTATTCAAATAGACGCTAGCGTGTTATGTTGCGTGTTCTTGCATAAGCCGAATTTTATGAAACGTCGAATTTTAAATAAAAATTTATGTATAAGTTCGTAAGTTCCCAACTGGTACGGAAAGCAGTTTCTGTTGAGAAGAGACCGGCAAGAAACTCAACTGTTGCTCTTTTATAAAAATTAGGTATCGATTTTAATGTCCTCGAGGGATAGGTATAATATTAAATACGCCATTTCGCAAGCTCCTCCGAATCTCGTTATGTGGGCGTCGCCGCGTCGAAGCAAGGGCGAATAAAGGCCTTTAACGATTCAGTGACGAACTATTTAGGAATGAATTACAATCTATCGGATGTACACATAAATCGAGATGAAAAATCTGAGATAAACTGATCATTAAATTCGCAATATCTTCTCGTATTTTTGTTCAATAATACCATGCCTTTTGTCCAGTTTAGTTATTGATTTTGAACTCCCCACGTTTCTGAAGACGTCATGTTGTCATGGAAACTGCGGTGATCGAAACTAAAATTAAATTCGATGAAATAGTACAAAGTACTTGCGTATATACAAGAAATAATCCTTACTAACATTATAAAGGCTATAGTTTGTATGTATGGATGGATGTTAGTTACTCTTTCATGCAAATACTACTGAATGGATTTTAATGAAACTTTGCAATAATATAGCTTATACATCAGAATAACCACACAGGCTATAATTTACACATAAGTTTATGTATGTCTGTCTTTCTGTCTGAATAATACGCCTTCAGCCTATTATACGCAAACGTAGTCGCGGGCAGCAGCTAGTAATTCATAACTATCCCCATTAACGCTTGTTTTTATTAGCAACGATCTTGCCTCGACTCAAGTCATCAGTTTCAATTTTCAATCGACTATAAAAAAG